CAAACTAAAGGATAAAGATGTAACGAAAAAAATATTTTAATATATTGAAAAAATGAGATTGTTTTTATTATTTGCAGAAATTTTTAAATAGATGATGAAATAAGTTGTTAAGTTATTTAAATAAAGGAATCGTGGCTTAGCATTTCCAATCCAGCATTACTATGTTTTGAAATAATATGAGTTGTCAAAAATTACACTGTTTGTAGAGGTATCCCTATATATTGTGGCTATGACGGAATAAATCATTAATGTTTATCTCCGATTCAAATTTAAAGCAAACTTGCACAACAAAAGGTCTTAATGAAATTGGTTGTTTAAGTATAAAGAATTAAAAATGTATTTATAGAGTTAATAAATAGAGATTTTATTGTTTTTCATTCATAATAATAATTGATAAATAAGCAATTATAAGAATATTTTCATTGTTATTGTGCCAATAAATAATTATTTAGGTATTTATATTTGCAAAGAAGGTTGCTCTGAACTAGGAGATGATCAATAAAATAAGATAGGTTGTACTGATTGAATAAATGAAGAAGCCTGTATTAGTGATCCTACTTCATTTGAATATTGTTAATTGGATGGATAAAAATGTTTAAGAATACCATTAAATTAAGATTTAGATTGCCAATCAGAAAGGATAGTTTTATTAAGTAAATGAAAACGTTTGTAAGCGATTTCAAAATAGAAAGTAGGATGGAAATATGACTTAACAACTAAATTCTTGAAAGAAGTATTGGATAGGAGATCTGTACAACTCCTTATCTGAATTTATCAGCATGTGTCTAGATCACTTAAGCTATGTCATGTCGTTAGAGAGAAGAAGTTAACAAATGTGAAATAGTGGAAGTGATTGCTTTAGTCACAAAATGCACAGATTTAAAATATTCAATTCCATTGGCAAGCTCTTAGATTTCTGAGTTGATAAATAAAAAGAATTTAGGATGTTATTTTAACAGCAATACTCAACAATGTGAAGTTATAATTAAAGGGAATTTAGCTGAAATGGAATTTTTGAACAGGAGTTAAATAAATATGGGTGCACTATGATTGCAAAAGTTGGATAGAGATGTAGATGGTTTAGAGGATAATTTGCAAGTATTAGAAATAAAGAATAAATAGCCTCTATTTCATGCAATGAACTCAAATATGTTAATCTTGAAGCTTGTGGTCTTGTCACTTTTAGCAAAGAAGTTTGTAAATATAGTATTGATGGGAACTCATTTGCTTGTTCTTAGATGAGAAGAAATACTAACGGATGTTATTTTGATAAAATCAACAATGTCTGTTTGTTTGGCTCTAGATAGGAAATAATCCTATGATAGTGTGTAAGCTGCTTCAAATCTACTATTAAATACAGCCAAATGTATGGCTAGTTCTCCAGCATCCAATATTTGTACTTCTATAGTGACTTTAGGCGTAATTACTTGAGAAAGTGCATGTAAATGTCAGTATGTCTAATTTAAAGAGAAATGTTTAGATTACAATACTGAAAAAATAACAAACCATTCCAAGAATATAAATTTTTGGAAATGCCAACGGTTGTGCGAGCATTCTTACGAATTATGTAAAATTAAATTATAATTATTTAGCCTAATAAAGATCCAATAGTGTTAACAAAAGAACTGGATTCACTCACAGGGTAATTGTTAATTCGATGGAAAAGGGAATTACTAAAAAAACTCCTTGCATAACTAAATGTTGTACAGAGTTATTAGGAATCAATACTCATGTTTGTAGTAGATTTACAACTGGCTACTATTGTTACTTTAATAAATTTATTAAATGTGTCGAAATAACTGATCAAAAAGTTGACGCAAGTTCAGTATAATCAGTGATGGATATCTATAATTTCAAACAATTCAAATGTTCGTGCTTCTGTTTTCAGAGTCACTACTATACAAGAATAAGTTAAGGTGTTATATTTGCATTGTGTTGGAAATTATGCATAAACATATGGACCCAAAATTGTATTAGTTACATTAAAAAACATGTATCAGTTATTTCAATAGGAATTGAAATTTACGCAATGTATTGATGAAATACAAGTTTTCTAATAGCAGCATCAATAATCTTTTATCTAAGACGAAGAAAGTTTAACAAACATCCTCAAAGAATTTGCAGTATGCATTGGGTACNAGTTTTATTAAGTAAATGAAAACGTTTGTAAGCGATTTCAAAATAGAAAGTAGGATGGAAATATGACTTAACAACTAAATTCTTGAAAGAAGTATTGGATAGGAGATCTGTACAACTCCTTATCTGAATTTATCAGCATGTGTCTAGATCACTTAAGCTATGTCATGTCGTTAGAGAGAAGAAGTTAACAAATGTGAAATAGTGGAAGTGATTGCTTTAGTCACAAAATGCACAGATTTAAAATATTCAATTCCATTGGCAAGCTCTTAGATTTCTGAGTTGATAAATAAAAAGAATTTAGGATGTTATTTTAACAGCAATACTCAACAATGTGAAGTTATAATTAAAGGGAATTTAGCTGAAATGGAATTTTTGAACAGGAGTTAAATAAATATGGGTGCACTATGATTGCAAAAGTTGGATAGAGATGTAGATGGTTTAGAGGATAATTTGCAAGTATTAGAAATAAAGAATAAATAGCCTCTATTTCATGCAATGAACTCAAATATGTTAATCTTGAAGCTTGTGGTCTTGTCACTTTTAGCAAAGAAGTTTGTAAATATAGTATTGATGGGAACTCATTTGCTTGTTCTTAGATGAGAAGAAATACTAACGGATGTTATTTTGATAAAATCAACAATGTCTGTTTGTTTGGCTCTAGATAGGAAATAATCCTATGATAGTGTGTAAGCTGCTTCAAATCTACTATTAAATACAGCCAAATGTATGGCTAGTTCTCCAGCATCCAATATTTGTACTTCTATAGTGACTTTAGGCGTAATTACTTGAGAAAGTGCATGTAAATGTCAGTATGTCTAATTTAAAGAGAAATGTTTAGATTACAATACTGAAAAAATAACAAACCATTCCAAGAATATAAATTTTTGGAAATGCCAACGGTTGTGCGAGCATTCTTACGAATTATGTAAAATTAAATTATAATTATTTAGCCTAATAAAGATCCAATAGTGTTAACAAAAGAACTGGATTCACTCACAGGGTAATTGTTAATTCGATGGAAAAGGGAATTACTAAAAAAACTCCTTGCATAACTAAATGTTGTACAGAGTTATTAGGAATCAATACTCATGTTTGTAGTAGATTTACAACTGGCTACTATTGTTACTTTAATAAATTTATTAAATGTGTCGAAATAACTGATCAAAAAGTTGACGCAAGTTCAGTATAATCAGTGATGGATATCTATAATTTCAAACAATTCAAATGTTCGTGCTTCTGTTTTCAGAGTCACTACTATACAAGAATAAGTTAAGGTGTTATATTTGCATTGTGTTGGAAATTATGCATAAACATATGGACCCAAAATTGTATTAGTTACATTAAAAAACATGTATCAGTTATTTCAATAGGAATTGAAATTTACGCAATGTATTGATGAAATACAAGTTTTCTAATAGCAGCATCAATAATCTTTTATCTAAGACGAAGAAAGTTTAACAAACATCCTCAAAGAATTTGCAGTATGCATTGGGTACTAGGCAAGTCAGAAGACTGTTGATCTTAAGTAGGAGTAGGAATGCATTTCAAGTTTGCTGAAATTAATTTATAACTATCCTTTGAACTTTTAAGGCTTGCCAGCTTATTAATCCCTTTATTCTTACTACTGTATATATTTTAGTACCAACAGAAGTACATTTCTAGACTGAGGATTTAAATAAAAAGATCCAACTATTTATTAAGAACATATATAAGGATTACTTGAAAAAAATAGAGCCAATATCCATACCAAATAATAAATTCATCCCAAATTCAAAATTGGCGAAAAATAGTATCACATCTTCCATCATAATCTGATAAAGAATAAATTAGGTTCTGTTGGATATTAAGGCAGACATATCGGTTCAATCCTTAACAATTATCAATGCTAAATTTTCTGGTACATATGGAATAGAGTGTATTAGTAATTTGCGGTTAATATGATTTTGTATTTAATAAGTTATGGAAAATAAATATATATATCATATTCAAACACTTGCTGTGCGCAACTGCTAACCCATTTGCAGGGTTCTTGATTGTAGACTAAAAAATGCTATTTTTGGGCACCATATTCATAAATTTACTCACAAGTAGCCATAATTGAGCTTACGTTTTCGCATCATAAAGTAGTTGAATTAACCCAAAATGAAAAGGAAGAAATTAAGCAAGACTTTCTCATTAAATAGAACAGTTAGTAAGATTTTAGAATGGATTCTAAGCTTTAAATTCACACAAATGGTGATTTCATCCCAAATTGCTAAAGTATTTGTGCTTAGCTAAGCTCAACTTTATCTGTTTGATCTATGTAAATTAATTTGGCATATTTTGGCTTAACTATCCCAATAGCAACTTTTAAGATCAGAGGATTTAACAACAAACACAATGTTTACTAACTCCAGAATTTTTACAAGTGATATTGTCATAAGTTTTGGGAGAACATAATCAGTATTAAGATAGCAAATATCATTGGGTTATGCACATTCACTTGCTGTATTGAGGCAGATAAATCCCTGTAAATTCGCTCGTAACACTTTAATCATTTTCACAAAAATCCTAAATTAATACATCCTATTCAAAACCATCTGTTAAATCAGCCGCATTTACAATTTTACTTCAATAGGCATTGGTTGCTTTGTTGCTTGTACAATTAATTCAATTAATTAAAGAACAATCTTTAGCCTTGTATAAATTAGGGGTATACGCATTACAACCACCTTAATTAATACCAAAGTTACAACCTTCTCCAATTTCAAGACAACAGCTGCAAAGTAAATATGTTAAAATTTAATTTTTATGGGAGAAAGAGAACATTATGGGTTTGATTATTCATAAGAATCTGAGTCATATAATGCCTTAATCATTGGTTACAATATGCATACCAGGAGCAGTATTTTTCAAGCAAGCATTATTAAGCTATATCTGTGAGAGATGCTTAAGAACAAACCTTTGCTGTCTCATCTGTAGATTTATCAGCTAATAATCTATCAATAAAGGAGCAAACCATTTCGTTGTAATACATACCTTGAGCTATTAATGCTTGAGCATATGTAATGTTATAATTTTTCGTTGGTTTACAAGAAGATTTTTCAAAGTAACAATATTCATACATATTTCTATATTAATTTAGATTAAGGAGGAACAAACTATTATGCTTCTTTGTAATCTTGGCACTTTTTTTCTGGAGTTTGATTAGGATCAATAAAATATCTATATCCTCTAGTGTTTAATAAGCAAACCTAATTATTCATTATAAAGCCGGTGCATTTATTGTTAAAAGTAGTCAATATCGAACATGAAAGTTATTGCGTTGTTATTAGTTGATGTAAAATAATATGCCTTCCTAATATGTTTGTACAGGCTTACGCATTATAATAGGTGTTACTTTTAATGATTGAAAATTATTCTACCTATGAGCATTTCATATTCAGTCATTGACCATTCAAAATTACCTTTCAATAATGTTAAACATAGTTATTTATTAACATTCAAATTTACATTATAAATTGTAGATAGCATCTACATCTCCTTCTTCATAGCAATTCAAATTCATTGGATCCTATCTGCAATTAACAGTAGTAATAATCTAACATCCAATTGAATTATTACCAGGTAAATCACAATTTTACTATTAAGCTTTACTTACAGATTGGCATTTGTTTATATCATGTAAAAATTCACATATCTATCCACTTTTATTGATATTTTAGCAGGCTTTTTAATTCACAAATGCTTCATAGGGATTACTTACATTAAAATTTGAACAATTAATATCCTGAGGATTAGGTATGCATTTATTGGTCGAAGTAAGGAAGGCAAGCATACGGATTATTAATGCATGTTTTTATTTGATATTGATTGCAAATGTAAAATGATAGGTAGTCATCAAATGTGACACGCAAATCCATCCCAATAACATTATTAAGTAGGAGACCAATCAATCATCCAACATGACCTTTTATTCATCGATGTTCAGCTTTGGGTTAAGTAAATCTGGTTGTTTAAGTTATACACTTTCATCTTTCTGCATTTTTTATGCTTAGTACCTGATGTCCAAACTAATCCAATGACTTGTAAAAGAGCAACAAATTAGGTTTGATTTTATCATTAAATTTCAAAAAAAAGTGCTATATTGGATGTAAATGTAATCCCATGGAGTCTTGGAATTTCGTTTAATAAATAAGCCTGTTGAAAATATAATCATCCTTTGTTTTAAGTGAAGTTAATCTGGGATGGCTGCATAGAGTTATCAATAAATGATTTAGCCAATATTCAGTGCGCCTCTCCAATTAATAGAATGGCTTGCGTTTCAATAACTAATCCAGCTTAATTTTGTAATTAAATGCTAATACATCAAACGCAAGGCCATTATATAATACCCCCCTTAATATGAATTCTGTTAGTATGCAAATGATTCTTATGTCTATAATTCATACCCCCATAATTGTATTGATACTCAGCCTAGTATAAATAGTATTGGAAATTGTTTCAACTTGGGTATGAGTAAAGCAATGTGGAATAATTTTGTAATTTTTTGTGCCAATTTCAGGATGAAAGACGCTTTCGTATCGAGGAAACATTTTTCTGTAAAGACGACAATTTAGGATCTTAATACAATAGATTGTTAAACTGCTGTCAATAAGATGGGTTGCACGTCCATTTCAAATCCTTTGAAAGTATGTTAATATGATATTTAAAATTCCACATGTAATGAAATCATTGCACTTACTAAACCATGTTCATCTTATAATAATGTTAATGCTAGCAAATCAAGTGAATCAACCTCTGATTCTGCTTGCAAATTGGATTTCTCAATTAAATTTGCACAGTTTTATTGGAATGTGATAGAGGAGTGAATTATTAAGCCTGTTCCATCTATAAAAGACCTTCATTTTAATGTAAATTTGAAAAGTATTGTTATACTCCAACCTCTGGCTATCCAACTTGTGGAGATTCATTAAATAAAGAAGTATGTCTGAATTTCATTTAATTCTGCACTTGGGATTTCTAAAATTCATAGTGTATCGAATATAATTTAAATGGATAAGCTTGTTAAAAACTTTAAGATTAAAAGACTGCAGTATCTAGTTAGGTTTGCTATAATGCTGAGGTCTCAGATGGAAGTGCTTTGTTTTTGATATATACACATTTACATTTAAATCATCTAACCAAATTCCTGTGCTAAACTTTGAATCACAACCAATGCAAATCGTAAACAGAATTAGCATACCTATGATTGAATGGTGCTTGTTAACTCTTTTAAGCAGTTTCTACTGATACATGTTCTAATGTTGGTTGTTTAGGATCTAAAAATGCTTGATAAAGTATTTTCAGGAAAGGACAATTTTCTCAATATTAAGATTTTAATTGTGTAACATAAAAGAAAATATTTATGCCGATAATTGTCTAAATAACATTAATAAAATAGCCTGCATATCTTAATAAGCCATTTCTTGCGTTTGGAACACTGTTCAAAAGAATTTTAATAAGTCTAATTGGAGTTATAATACTAATACTTGTAAATATGGTAAAGAAACATAAGGATTAAATAAAGGAGCTTAATAGAAATAAAGAATTCCTCAAAGATATGACGGAATTAGATAATCTAATGAATAGAAATAATAAATTCGAGGCTAAGTTAGATTCTCAAATGAGTCCTTCTTCAAGACTTTAAAGAAAATACTGTCACTTATTTCAATTTCAAATAATTGAAAATACAGGCTAAATCTTAAGGGAATAAAGTTCATAATATTTATAAATTATCTTTTTCAAAAATCAAATATTGTATCCATCAACATCAAGAAATTTACAAAATCTCTAATTTTATTTCGAACTTCAATCTCCCTCAATTCATTTTGCAGGTAGTAATAATGATCTTCTTACCTTTTCACTTTTTTTTATAACTCCATGTGTTAATATTATTAATTACGAGATTAGTTTTATAACCGTATACTATCTTATTTTTATCTATTTATTTAGAGTTATAGTTTTTAAGTCTGCTATCCTTAAATACCCACTTCTTTTTTTAGTTCTTCTTTTTAAGATGAAAGATTTGCAATTTGGGATTCCCTTTACGTTTTTTCCTATTGATTTTTAATTATCTAATCTATGTTCTCCTAAAGCTTTTGGAATTTCTTTTAAGTATTTTTAATAGAAAAAATAACTTCAGAGTAATTTTCAATTTAATTCTAAAATTGGGAACAAAAATGGAAAATCTTTTTAAAATTATTTAAATTCCTTTCAATTTAATTAATGTTTGGAATTTTTCCACAATTTTCTATGAAAGTTGTATACCATTCAGAAGCATCTTTAACTTCTGCTTTAGTTATAACCTATATAATTGATTAAGTTTATCTGATTTGCTCACTCTTTATGGAATTATTCATTTACTCACATAATTTCTCTACATTATCATAAATAATTCTATTGTATTCATCAGCAATCATTGAAATTTATTATATTAGATATTGTGAAATAATTGCAAATTTAGGAATCGATTAAGGCTTTAATTAGACTGGTTTTATTTATTATAATGCTTTCCATTATTCATTTCTTTTTTAAGTTGTAAAAACATTCTTTAAATCTTCAGCATTTTACACTTTTCTCATTATAAGAATATTATCTATATAATTATTCTTATTAGCATTTGTTAATTCTCTTCTTATTTTTCGTTTCAATTCAAAATCTGACAAATTTTCTAAATAGCAATTTAATAATAAATTAAACTTATTAATATCTAAATTACTTTTTTTAAATAGTTTATCTATAAATTCTATTATATCTATTCCTCTATCAGGCAGAGTGCTTTCATTATTCTTTATAACATATACCACTTTAATAGGTAATTAAGTGACTACCTTTTAAAATATTAATTCAATTAAAAGTTGATCGAATTGACCATTTGTATCTTAAAAACCAGGGAAGTCAATTAATAAATGATTATATTCTGAATTAAAATAATAATTAGGCTCTTTAGAAACAGAATTCATTCCGCCTTTCATCTCTGAAAATTTGTTTGAAGGATTTCTTAGTTCTAATTCTCTCTCTTGAATTTTGAACTCTGCTCCGCTAAGAAAGTTGAATAATGTGCTCTTTCCTGCTCCTGTTTTTCCTACAAATAGAACAATTTCTATTTTCTTTTCTGCTGTATTATTAAAAGTAGAAAAAAGTCCTTAACATTTATCTACTATTTTTAGGATCTCTGTTTCAATCTAAAGTTGAACTTCATTGCTCAATTAGCTTTCCATCAACAAATTTTATTTTTAATAATAATAGAAATAAACTTCAGATTTGCTTAATAATCTCAATTTATAGAATTGAAATTATATAATTAATTATAGAATAATATTCCCTAAATCTTTGCTAGAATTTCAATTTGATATTGTAAAATTCTATTAAAAAATAATATAAAATGTTAATAATAGAATTATATAATTATATAAATATTATAATTTAGTAGAATTTTGTAGAATGTATTAAAAGAAAATATTTATCATCTCAAGGTAATCATGTTATTTTTATGATAGGTAAATATACGATTCTAATACTTGAACCGATTAATTAGTTTAAAAGATGCTTTGTTTTTCATTTTAATTTAGAAATATGAATTAAGAATTGTGAGATAATTCTATTTGTCGTTAGATCTAAAAGCTGAAACCAATTATTACATAAATATTCAATTTTAAAGTCAATAAGAGTTAAATTGCAAATTCCTTTTATTCAAGTGTGATTTAACTTATGTTATTCTTTTTCTAATTCATCAACTAAAGCATATATTTTCTTACTAGCAGAATAATATTATTCAATATATCTAATGCAGTGTTCAATATGTAATTACGTTAAAGCATTTTATATAGAACTTCTTTAGCAAAGCTTTAAAGGTAATTTTTTAGCATTCCTCTTAACAAATTATATGTGGGGTATATTAAAGAATGAAACTGTGCTTTTGATTATTGTGATTTATAATATGATTTACAGCTATCTTATGTGAGAATAATTTCAGCGTAACATAAAAATCGATCTTTAATAATAATATATGTAATAGAAATTTAAGAGAGGAATAAATATGAAAAAAATAAGGATTTTATCAAAGTTTAGGAGGATGGTGAAAAAATAATAGACTTTGATTATTTCATAACTACATAAATTATTTAAAGTTAATAGAAATTATAAAAAAAACATCCAACAAATAATCACTATTTATTTGATCATCAATTTGCTGTGGCTTTTGACATTTTATCTCAAAATATTTATTCCTCCTTATCAAATCTTTATTAATTTGATTTATATGCTTAGAGATAGAATTGCTGCATGGATCCTGCCAAAAATAATCTTTTTTTTTCCTAAAAAAATTGTTAAAGTCTAAAATATATAGGAATGAAGTAAGCATAAAAATGAATACTGATATTTCTAATGTAATCTATAATTAGATTTTTCTAAGAAATCATGATGGTAATAGATTAGTTTAATTTGGATTATACTTGTTAAGAGAAGTAATTCTAATTATAATATTTGCGAGTCTTGAATATAGATTATAAAAATAACACTTATCTTAAAAAGCTTAGAATATCAATTCTTTAGTTTATACTCATCTTAAATAATGAATACTTAATATTAGTACAAAAGTTGAGAGAATTGAGTACAACTGCATAATATCCAATAACAATTGTGATTAAAGTTGAAATCTGGATAAAATCGAAGAAATTTTTCAATTAAATATTTTTAGTAAACAGTAGGATTTTAAATATAACATCCCAACTATTTAGAGTAGGATTTTGTACAATCCCTGATAAGTTAGAATTTTTTCTAATTTAATTAAATTTAGACAAATTTTATAAAAAGCTCTGCTAAGCTTAAAAATAAAAGTGGAGTTAAAAAATAATTATAATGTTAACATGTAATCAAAATACTTCTAACAAAATATTTTAATGTACAATCTAGTTTTTAGTAATTTAAATATCCAAACAAGAAATATAGTTTGGAACTTTGAGATTTGATCTATTACATAACTGAACATTAAATTAGTTAGGATGAAAGATTTATAATTAGGTTTGTATTTTATTTGTAAATTTAAAATTTTCCTTTTGAATCTTCTTAATATGTTTAAATGTCAAATAGATTAAAGATTTTAAGAAAATATATTTTATCTAAGATGGGTTGGACTGTTCTGGTTTCCATAATATCATTTTTCCGTATATCAAATCATAAATACAAAAATAAATTTCTAAATTTAATGGATATTGCAGATTTATGTAGAGACGATTAAGATGAGTATTTAATTGTTAAACAATTGAAATTAATGTTTCATGTAAATTGTAAATGAACTATATCTTAAATAGGATTGAAATTGCAAGATGTTCAATATTTCAAAGAAGAAATTTCCATTTCCAAATAACAAACTTACTATAATTAATCCAGATAAACTGTAAATCATATATTTATTTGAGTTTTTCAACATTTCTGAATAATCTTGCACTTTTCGGTTAGATATCGAGGGTATTGTAATGTTATAGATTCTTAATAGTTAATCAGCATTATCTACAGTATGATTAAAAAAATAAAAATTGAATTTTTCGAGTAGTACAAAATCGGATTAGACTTTAAATTTTCAATTTTACTATAGCCCTTCTGATTAATTGAGATTTTCAAAATTCAAGTAGTTAATAAACTTAAATTTCCAAAACATACTCTCCAAAATTGGCATATAATCCAACATCCTAGATTATTTGTAAATTGTAATTCCACATTTTCTTATTTAAGTTTTCTAATTGAAAAACGAAGGTTTCAGAAAGTAGTTATTAGGTATATATTTTTACCTATTAACTTAAATAAGATGCTTATATATTATTTATTCTGTGTCATATTAAGATAACTAACAAATAAATTTGGAGATTTAACAAAAATACATTAACTTGGAGAATTAGTTGTTAAGATATCGCAAACCCAATTAGGATCTATTCTACATTTTTTGCATCCATCTATAGCGAAATCATTTCCATCATCGCAGTCCTCAGATTCCTAAAGCAATCCATTTCCGCATTAGATATTTTATTTGCATTCATTTGAATTAGATAATTAATACTAATTATCACAACCTAAACATGTATTGTTATGGAATATTTTTGTGTAATTTTTAAAGAATAAATATTTTTAGAACTAAACTTAACAAATACCTTTATAACATTCTTTGCAATTTTTTGGACAAGAGAGTTTACAATTATAGCAACCATCAAATTCTACTTAGTTGACATCCTCACAATCCTCTTCTTTATTGATAATTTAGTCTCCACAAATTGAAATACAACTATTATTAGCAAATTTATATCCATCATCGCATTTTAATATGTATAATCCATGATCACAAATATTGCAACCTTATATGCATTGATACTTACACTCATAACAACCATCAAAGGGTTGCTCATTCCCATCATCGCAATCTTCGTACTATTTGAGGATAATTTTAACTACACAATAAGGGTAACAGGAATATTCTTAATTGTAAAATCCTAGATTACATTCTAAACATTTAGAGTAATAGGAGGTTCTACAATTTGCTCCTTAATGAAATCTGCAATTCTAGCACTCATCTCAAGTTTCATTATCCATTATTTCACATTATTCTGCTGAATATGGAATTACAATATCATCACCACATAAGGGATCGCAAGTGTGAATCAAATTGATAATAAATCCACTTTCACACTCTTAACAAACTCCAAATTAACAAGTTTTGCGAAATTCAGTGCACGAAAACACACATTCAAAACAACCATTCCTAGCTATTTAATTTCCATCATCGCATTCTTCTTCCCCTTAAATGATATTATCACCACAATTAGGCTGACATATCTGAAATTATATGTTTTTAATCCAACCCTCTTGACAGATAAGGCATTAATTATCGAATGAATCTGCACAACCTAGAGATAATTGTTAGAATAAAGTTTCTGGAGGGGTGAAGAATAATTAAATAGTTTCCATTCTTAACAGCTTTTCAAATAGTCATCTATACATGCTTCACATCCAGACTAACATTTAATGGTGCTTATCTAAAATGAATTTATTCCTCCAAAGCTAAATTAAGCAATACCCATAATGTTCTTCATTTATGAGTACGAACTATAGATACTGAGTAAAATTATTCTGGAGACGAATTTCCAAAAATATTATCTTCTTTTACAGTTATATCTTGATTTGCCAAAATATTTTCAACGTAAAAGTTAGGCTCTGCATATCTGTCAATGCTTATCGATTTAACAATAAATAAATACCTCAGAACCTCTGCATCAATCCTGTAATGAGAGTGAGGCTCTAAATCTAAAATAATTATGCTACTATTGTGAGTCCCTAAATATCCAAAATATTTAATATCTCCACAATCCAAGAATCTTGCCTTACTTTGCCAATCTAATGCATAAAAATTATCAAAATTTACTATCTTTCTATTAAAAATTTGCGTTAAAGGAATATACAACGGTTTCATTAGTAATATAGAGTAAAGTCATAATTATTATCATTATTGTTAATATTAAATGTTTTTTACAAGAAGTATCTAAATATTTAATTTATACAAGAAATTACATGGGTTAAAGAAATAACAATAGGCCAAAATAAATGATATAATGTTATAGTATTTTGAATTGAACCTTTAATTATCCCATTTTCTGAGGAATATGTAAATAGAAAATTTTAGTCATTGTTCAATTAAAATAATAATGAAATCGAAAAAATGAATAAATTAATTCTTATTCTTTTAGTTGAGATAAAATTTATCAATACAATTTATATGTCATCCAAAAATCAAGAATTTTTATTCAAGAGATTTTTGCTACTTCTAAATAATAAAAAAGGATTATAGAATGATAGACTATTAAATAAATCGTTTTGAATCCAAATAAAAAATTGTGATTCTTTAATTTTTTGAATTAGAAAAATCCTAAACAGCCTTTAAGGACTTCTAATTTGAAGACAAATTTTGTAATCTAACGATAAAAGAATCATTTTCGAAGGTAATGCTTTAAGATTTAATATATAAAGCTTTTAACCATATTTCTCGTTTAAAATCACCTATTATCTTCATTTGTGGCTTCTAAATTAAAAGCAAAATTGATAAGAATTAGCCACCTTGTGTATTTAGAGTTTTTGAGTTTCAAATTAGTAATAGAATAATCTCTTTTGTGATTTTTGGATATATGTGTGAATTCTTTTGATTGATATCCTAAATTAATATTCAAATTAATTGAATTTAAATTCGCTCTTATTAAATAACTAGATATAGTAAAAATATGATTCTCTTAATTCATTAATCATAAATAAACTTTATCGATTCGAAATGCATAAAATCATCTTTAATAAGCAAATGTTTATGGAAAATTAATATAGTTAAATCAAAGATTTTGTTACGGTTACAGAGAAATAACTATTCATATAATTAAAGTTAGATTTTTTTTATAGTTGACAGGATGCAAAAATTTAAAAACAGATAAAGGAATTATTCATTTGAAATTATTTTAATTTGAAAAGCCTTTAATTATCATGAGCATTACTCTTATCATAAACATTAATTATGATAGTTTTCAACCTTGTATTTTTTAATGATACTAGGATAGTCTAACTTCTTACATCTAAAATTTAGGTAAAACCAGTTACAAGTATTTATTACAATGTAATCTAATGGAAGAATGTTGNCTATTGTGAGTCCCTAAATATCCAAAATATTTAATATCTCCACAATCCAAGAATCTTGCCTTACTTTGCCAATCTAATGCATAAAAATTATCAAAATTTACTATCTTTCTATTAAAAATTTGCGTTAAAGGAATATACAACGGTTTCATTAGTAATATAGAGTAAAGTCATAATTATTATCATTATTGTTAATATTAAATGTTTTTTACAAGAAGTATCTAAATATTTAATTTATACAAGAAATTACATGGGTTAAAGAAATAACAATAGGCCAAAATAAATGATATAATGTTATAGTATTTTGAATTGAACCTTTAATTATCCCATTTTCTGAGGAATATGTAAATAGAAAATTTTAGTCATTGTTCAATTAAAATAATAATGAAATCGAAAAAATGAATAAATTAATTCTTATTCTTTTAGTTGAGATAAAATTTATCAATACAATTTATATGTCATCCAAAAATCAAGAATTTTTATTCAAGAGATTTTTGCTACTTCTAAATAATAAAAAAGGATTATAGAATGATAGACTATTAAATAAATCGTTTTGAATCCAAATAAAAAATTGTGATTCTTTAATTTTTTGAATTAGAAAAATCCTAAACAGCCTTTAAGGACTTCTAATTTGAAGACAAATTTTGTAATCTAACGATAAAAGAATCATTTTCGAAGGTAATGCTTTAAGATTTAATATATAAAGCTTTTAACCATATTTCTCGTTTAAAATCACCTATTATCTTCATTTGTGGCTTCTAAATTAAAAGCAAAATTGATAAGAATTAGCCACCTTGTGTATTTAGAGTTTTTGAGTTTCAAATTAGTAATAGAATAATCTCTTTTGTGATTTTTGGATATATGTGTGAATTCTTTTGATTGATATCCTAAATTAATATTCAAATTAATTGAATTTAAATTCGCTCTTATTAAATAACTAGATATAGTAAAAATATGATTCTCTTAATTCATTAATCATAAATAAACTTTATCGATTCGAAATGCATAAAATCATCTTTAATAAGCAAATGTTTATGGAAAATTAATATAGTTAAATCAAAGATTTTGTTACGGTTACAGAGAAATAACTATTCATATAATTAAAGTTAGATTTTTTTTATAGTTGACAGGATGCAAAAATTTAAAAACAGATAAAGGAATTATTCATTTGAAATTATTTTAATTTGAAAAGCCTTTAATTATCATGAGCATTACTCTTATCATAAACATTAATTATGATAGTTTTCAACCTTGTATTTTTTAATGATACTAGGATAGTCTAACTTCTTACATCTAAAATTTAGGTAAAACCAGTTACAAGTATTTATTACAATGTAATCTAATGGAAGAATGTTGACTCAACATCAAAGAATAACTAACAATTTATAATAAACTTAATTATCTTCTATTAATAAGAAATCATCAAAACATAGAACAATTTTTATAACTTGATTTTTTGTTTTATAATTAATACTCTTTATATTTCCTGATTTATATTTGTTTCGTTTTGCTGTCCCATGTAATCAAAAAATCTCCTCCTTCGCTCATAGTGCCAAAGATATTCCCCTACCAATTATTAGGATAATCGAATTCAATAGCTTACTCTAATTTACCCTCAAACTATGAAGAATTGATTTTGAACTTGATAAAATTTAAATTATAACCATTTTTAGATAATAAAATGTTCTTTGAAGAAACAAAGAAGCATGGAAATAAATAAGCACAGAATTATCTACATCCTTAAATTGGTAATTCCTGATATTTATAATATAAACCAGTCTATGCTGAATAGGTATAGAGTTCAAGTTTACTACCTTACCATGGTTAAAATGCAAATGTGTCCTTACATATAAATGACAATCTAACTCCCTATCCTTCCAATTTCTAAATAACATTCCAATGATGATCATCTTAACATTTTATGATGTTGATAACATTATCCTCTCCACATGAAATTAAAGTATCGCCTTCTTAATTTAAAGACAACCCACAAACTGCATTTGAATGCTCTCTAATTGTTTATTTACAAATCCACTGTGCTTCCGATTGATACCAAAATTTAATATTCTTGTCTTTAGAACCACTAATTATTACTCTGGAGTTTAAATTACGAAGTGCTAAACATTGAATATTTGAAGAGTGCTCCGATAATTTGATTAAAAATTTTGGATTGGCTTACTAGTTTTAAGACCATATTTTAATGCAGGATGATCCCGATATAAATAATGGCATTTATTTGAAGAAATTAAGGGTTGTTATCCAGGATTCATGTCTTTAAATAGTTTGAATCCTTTTTATTGCCCCACTTCTGAATTGCATAGTATTGATGTTGGATTCAGCTCCCGTTATTAAGAATTTTGTATACTAATCAAGAGCAATTGCCCAACACATTTTTTTTTGAATGTAAATTTGAGGAAGCAATTCATAAGTTAAATACGTTTCCTTTGATTATTCTTATGATTATTATCTTACATTCTAATCCTTAAACATGACAAAACAACTATAATTTTTTTTAGATATTATATTAACAATCAAACATTGAATTATAAGAAAATAAGTTAATTGGTTTAATAAAGCTCATTTTTATCTACCTTAAAGATTGATTTAATATTATTTAATTAAGTAAAATATCAAATGCTTTATAATTGTTGTACAAGCATAAAGAACTATACCAAAATTTAACTGATTATTAAAAGCTCTAAATTTCTTTGATCAATAAATATCACCAGAATTATGCCAATCCCTTCCTCTACTGTCATAAATATTGTACTTTATAGAAAATGTTCTAAATTAACAATTTACTTAAACAACACAATATCTAAGTTCTTCTAACACAGTGTTCAATAATATCTGATTGAATATCCCCATAATTAAACAATTTAATACATTTAGGGCAAAATGTATGAAGCAAAAAAAGGCCGACAAAAAATACTTAATGTAAAACATCAAGCTTAACAACAATATATCACCAAATAATATTTCTATTAATAAAGATACTTAATAGAGAACTAGGATATGAATCCTAATTTAATTATAGGTAAATAACTGCAAAATTAGGATTTTTGTTTTTAGAGAGATAAATTTCAAATAAGTTTATATAAAACCCATTCTGTTAATAAGTAATAGGTTAATGAATTCATCTAATTTAAAATAGCTAAACAATTTGTTTATCAATTTAAGGAATTAACTCATAGTCATATCAATGTTTGAAATTATAAATTAAAATTGACCTAGCTAAACCAAGTGAGTTAATAATTCTATATTCTCCCTCTTAGTAATCAATAAATATACAATCGCTATAATTTATCCTGGCTCTAACGTATATATATTCATTTATTTACTGATATTGTAAATGGGAATTTATTTTTCACCCTTCTTCTAATACTAGTTCAGTATGGGGATTAAATTTCATGAAAGAACTAACTTCACACATAGATACGTTAGAAATCAAATATCAGAATTAATATAAAATAAATATTATATGTCTGATATTAATATTTAATAAGTTAGAATACCCTTTTCTTATGAAATAATTAGAGAAAGTTCTATCAAATAAAATGAATACAGTAGTGCAATAGCAATAAGTAAAGATAATTTACTGGTTTTGGCGACTTCTGACAAGGCTATAAAAGTTTATTAATTTAGATTGGGAAAGCTTAAGCAGTTTCAACATTTAAATATGTTTAGAAAAGATGCCACAGCTATTAGTTTATTTGAAAAATCATCCTTGTTTATCACTGGCTCTATAGACTCAACCATTCGCATCTCTTCAACTACTTTATTCTCTTCAGCTAAATATATTTAATAATTATATGGGCATACTAGTTGGATTTCAAATTTAATTATTCATCCTATTGATTAAGATGTTCTATTCTCAAGTTCTAATGATAGTCAAATAAGAGTATGGCAAAAAATGTAGAGTTGGTGTTGTTGTTAATTAATAAAAGAGCATAAAAATGATGTGAAAGGATTATCTATAAGCAAAAAAGGCAATCAATTGTTATCTTGCTCGGAGGACTTGCAAATCTTGATTATGGAACCAGTAAGCAGTAAAAATTATTTGCTTTGGCAGATAGTCTAGAAAATAAATGTCGATTATTAAGGTTATCGTATATGTTCTATTGATGATAGTATATTCACATTTTAATAGGATTCATAAAATTAAATGCAAATTTACTCAAAAGATGAAAATGGATTGTATCGTAAAACTGGATGCCTTGATGTTGCAGGTGGTGGATAATCATGCGATTTTTTATTTCCATCTATTTATCATTCTAGCAAATAGCTTTTGATCGTTAAAAATGGATATGTGATAAATATAATACGATTCTGTAAAGAAATTCCAGTAAATAACCAAAATACATCTTAATTTCTTTTAGAATAAGTCATAGACTTTGGAAGTAATTCTTATGGACATATTTGGGGAACACTGAGTTAAGATCAAGAATACTTGATAACTTGGGATTGTGATTCACAGGAAATATAAATAAGGAAATTTTAAGAGTAGTGATAAAATTATGACTTAAAATTTATATCATAATTAGTGTTTATAATGGTTGTAAAAACATATCACTAGTAAAATCTTCGATAAATCATTTTTTTCATAACAATCAAAATTGAGTTAATTTACTAGAAAAAAAAGAGCTCTCATTATGAAATATTCTCAGATATTCATATACTCTATACTATAAAATAATATATATAGGATATATTGGTCTAATATTGAAACGCACAGACTCTAGTTTTTGATAATATAATTGTGCTGTCTATTAAGAGTCATGATAAACTTTTAGGTAATATTTTATAAGAATTGAGTTGTAGAATAATCAAATCAGCACATATAACTTTGATGAATTTTAATTAAAATGAAATACGAATTTATATATTTAAGTATAAGGTTATATTCTATCAAATCTACATAGATAGAATTAAGTTTTGATTAATTGTATTCAATACTATTTTTGATAAATGCTCTAATGAGAAATAAATGGATAAATATATATAGAAACCAAAGGTTTGACTTTTTTTAAATAATAATATCGAGCCATATTGATATATTTATTGTAATTCGACTTATTTGTGAGCAAGATTTAGGAACTGGAGAATAACATTTCAATTAAATATTTTGTATAATTATGAATACAAGATTATTTAGAATTATAGATTAGTTATGATAAAAAATGTAACTTTATTTCAAATACAAATTTCTATTGAATCAACATGATTTATACTGCTTTTTGGGTTTAAGCTTATTTTATTTTCACTTTATTCTTTCTTCTCAATTTAATTAGTATCTATTTTTAATTTTATCAACTTCCTATTCGATATTTTTTTTCTATACATTAATTAATACTGATGTCTTTAATAAAGTTTCTAAGTTTCAAAAATTTTATTACAATGATTGCAAGTTGTTTAAACCTTCTATTTTTGCTGACTTTTAGAAATGGTTTTTCCAAATTTTTTAGATTTTTTCTTATTCAGTTATTTTTTATTATTTTTTTTAGTAATTTATTTCTCATTTTTCGAATTAATTTACTCTTAAAGTATATTATTCCAGTTCTTTTGTATATTCTCTTATTCTTAAACTTAAGAATTAGTCTTAATCTGTTATATTGTTTCTTCGTTTTCAATCTAAACATTCAATCTTTTTTATTATGAAAGAGCATCGATTTATTTAGATATATCAGCACATTTCTCATAAATAAGCGCTATAGTTTAATAGTGTTAAGTCAAGGGTATGAATTTCATTAAATTTTAATATTTCTTTAGGTGATAAAATTGCTTCTTAATAATTAATTTATCATTAATATATTTATAAAAAGGTTTCTTATATTTTTCTATAATAATTAATGTTGATTAATCTGATTGATTTTCAAATTTAGTATCTTGACAATTACATTAAAGATTACTCCAAACTATTTTTGATTTAACTGCTCTTTAATTAATATTAGGTTTTTTCAATCAGCTGAAAATTTCTTAATTAATTTAATCAATAATGGTAAAAAACTATTTTTAAATACTAAATGATTGTAAGAAATGGTTTAATAAATATGTTGGATAAACAAAGCAGTCTTTTCTAAAACTTACGAAAAAGCTTAGAAAATTAAGCCTATGAATATTAAGGTTCATATTAACCTAATTAATCTGATTTCCTAATATCTTTCTACAAAATACAATATAAATTTGTCCCATTTAAATTGAAATAGGCAATGGGTACAAAGGATGACCAACTATTTGAAATTAAATTTACAACTATTTTCATAAATTATAAGCTAGAAACTTCAATTATATATTTTAAGTATATAATTGATTGAATTATAAAGTTAATTCTTATCAAATGTTATCTTTATAAATAATTGATTCTGAAATTACCAAATATAGCTCCCAAGAGCCTAATAGTAAAGCACTTGATATTCTTAGTAATGTAATAGGTTGGTGCTATATATTCTGTTGGTCTTTTAGTTTTTATGGATAATTGTTTGAAAATTACAAAGTGAAGAAGTAAGTTATTCTGTAAATTTAAAGCGTAAAGGGAATAGCGTTTGAATTTTTAGCACTTAACTTAACTGGATATTTATTTTTAAGTGCTTATAGTTTGTCTGGTTATTTGAAAGGAGGGGACAACGGTTGGCCATTCAATGGCAACATTACTTTATAGGATCTTATTTTTGCACTTCATTCTGTGGCAATCACAATCCTAACTATACTCCAGACGGTTTATTATTATAAAAAAGGAGATAATCCAGGAGTAAGTTTATGGTGTATAATTGTTTTGATAATTCTATGGGCTTAGGCAATATTTTATATAATTCTGACATACATTTTTGGTTGGGAAGTAATTTTTACATAAGAAAAATTAAATGTCTTATATTGGATGGGCTATGAGAAATTATTTGTTACTCTCATTAAAAATATTCCTTAAGTGTATTTGAATTATAAACGAAAGTCAACGGTGGGCTGGAGTATATTCAACATACTGCTAGCCTTTTTTGGAGGAATTTTATCCTTTTTACAAATGCTGATAGATCAAATCAATGGAAGTATATAAACTTTTATGTTAGTAAGAAAGTGCTAATTTAGTTGACATGAACATTGTTAAGTTTATTTTGAGTTGGATTGTTTTGGGTTTCGATTTAATCTTCATGTTCTAGCATTATGTATTATATAATCCAAAAAGGAATAAATAAAAGGCTATTAAAGATGAATATTAATATATGTAAGAATGATTTGTATTATTTATTTTTAAATTGATACATAATTCAGATTAACAAATAAGAAGTAATGATAACAATAATTATTAAGATACCTAATAATTTCTAGTATCAAATCATAAACTAAATTTAAAATTTATTTGTTAATCAACTTTCTGATCTATTGATATTGTATGTTTTTCGATTTCTAATTTTGTAAAAGGAAATATTTGTTCCAAATACAAATTTATTATATATTAATTCCAAGGCGTTTTAAGATTCATTAGGTATCACATTAGGGAGAAAAGCTATTTCCTTTCAATTTATTATTACAAAGAATAATTACTGATTTATAAGAATAGGAACATAATACCTTTGTTCTAAAGGGTTTAATCGAAAATCATTAGAAACTCTTATGGGTCTTAAATAAAATTATAAATGTCTAAAATTCAATCCTTTAAAATGTCATTTATAAATAATATAAAATAATATTTATAGATTTAAGGAAAAATATATTAATATTTAATTCAATTTTAATACTTTAAAAAATTTATATTTTATATATTCTGGTTTATTCTGAATAAATGGAATGCTCTATTTGTTGTGAAACAACAGAACTTTTAGAATTGCAATGCAGTTGTCAAATCTGTTCATGCTGTATGTTAAAATCAATTGATGCAAAATATTATGAAGTAATTGAGGAAATTCATTGTCCAGGTTCATGTCAAAGCAAACATTCAGTATAAGGATTAATGTCTAATTTGTGGGGGTTGAATGATCTTTTACTAGAAAAATATATTAAAACTGCTTAAGACATTAGGTTATGTCCCAAAAATGATTGTTAGTATGGTGGAATAATAAAGCACAATTGTTAACACTTTGAATGTGAATGTGGGTATCAATTCCAGATAAAAGATGAAAAGTGGAATTTAAGGAGCATATTTTTGAATTTTATCACCATAAAGGATTGTCCAAAATGTTAAAGAAGAATTTTTAAGAATGGAGGGTGTAATCATATGACATGTAAATGCTAATATGAATTCTGTTGGATTTGTACATAGAATTTCAAGGAACATAACAAACTAAAGTGTTATGTGAACATCTTTACTAAGATATCTTTACTAATATTGATGTTCTTAAATATTGTATATTCATTGAGATTACTAGAAAGTTTTATGACTGTAGTATTAGTACTTGTGAAGTAATTATAGTAAATTAATTATTTAGACTAATGCTATTTAATGGAAGTCTAATTTTCCTATATTTGGGTATTAATGAACTCTACTAAATATCAAAATTGAATTTGGAATGCTCAAAATATTATAGTAATGGTAACGAAACCTTTAAAAGGATCATTAATTAGAAATGGATTATGTTTACACTGCTTATGGGTCAGTTTTGTCTACTTTGTTTCTTTTTTTATTTATGCTACCAAGAATAGTATTAATTAATTGTATTATTAAGATTTATCGAAACTTACTGTCATTTCTTATTTTCTGAATTTTCAATATTTATAATATTAGGAGCAACACTTTGGATAAGATCTAGGAAATGATTTAATTATGTATTAATTAATTTTAACAAAATTTTTGATAAAGCTAATATAGTTATTTTACCTTCAACTTCGAATCACTTGAGAGGCATAAATACCCCTTGATTACTATGATAAAGACAGTAATTTTGGCATTTCTTAGAGATATTTTCAAAGTTCTGCATAAGATTAAAGGATATGCCTTGGAGTAAAAATAAAGAGTTAAACTATATCCAGCAAATCCCTTCAAAATACAAAACAAGAATTTAATATATAAAAATACAATTAAGCAGTATATTAATTATATCAGTGCTTAGTTATTAACACTCCATATAAAGTTTGCTAAATAAAAATTATAAATTTACCTAAGAAAGCAATAATTTTTATTCAAATGGAAAGGTATGGATATGCTTCTATTATTTGAATATGTAACATATTATTCACATTATTTAAAAGAAATTTAGATAGATATAATTTTAGTAATGAGAAAGTGTATTTTGTAAAAGAAAAGAATTATCAAAGCTAATTTGAATTATAATATTGATCAAACATATTTTAATTAAATGATATAGCTACTTTGAAATACCTGATAACTGGTAGAACAAATATATTTTTGATGAACAACTTTTAACCCATAGATAGATTTTAATAATTGACATCAAGAGAATAGAATTGAGAAGTAAAGATGAATGAATAGATATATAATTTTGTACTATACTGATATGTTTTAATGAATCATCATTACTTTTCAACTTCCTAGTGATCTTTGACTTATTTTTTTTCAAGTGCAGTCAAATACAAACCATTGTCGTCTGGGAGGGAGATCAATGACTTTTTGCCTTTACCAATAGTGAAGATATTGTTGATTCTGGTGGAGAAGTGTTTTCCGTTAGAATCCTAGTGATATGTGGAAATGGATGATTACTTTAACATGGACAATATCAAATGATCCAAGATGTCTTTCTCTGTGTTGAATGAGTCCAACTCTTCCAATATTGTTACCTCCAATGATGTAACATAAATTTCCTAAAATGAATAGTAATTTTGTAATACCTGGTTCTTCTTTGAGGAATTCAACAACCTTTCCTGATTCTAAATCGATTTTAAGAGTGTCATTAACATGGATATCTGGATTTGGATATCTGATGGTTCTGGCATCATTGGTGACAATGTATGGGACATTGTTTGGACCAACTTTCTTTTAGGTGACTTTGACAAGTTTGAATTTAGCTTCTTCTGGTTTGATGGATTTTAAGATGAATTTGCCTTGAACATCATATAAAACTCTATAATTTTCTCTTGTTTTATCAATTGTGATGACATCTATAAGGATGATATGAAAAGGAGATACCCTATAATCCAACTGGATATCCACTATCAGTTCTCACTTTTCCATCAACCTTAATGTTGCCGTCCTTATCAGCAAGAATCATGGTAGCATCTCTAGCATACAAGGCATATTTCAATTTATGTTGCAATATGACAGAAAGTGGAATTGATTCTCTTAATTTATGAGGTCCTTAAGATGGTCTAGTGGTCCAATTTCCTCCTAATTTTGAAAGCATCCAACTTTTGGGTGCTGTGATTCTTTTCATGTGTTTCTTTGGTCCTCTTGCCTAAAATTGACATCGATATAGTTTTTACCATAATTGTTTCAAGAAAAAATTAAAATCTTTTTTAATTTATTTCAAAATGTTCCCATTATAAACTAAAACTAGACGTTGGCCTCTAATTATTTTATGATCATATATATAAATAAAGAAATTCATTATTTCTTCTGCTGCTGCTAATTAGACTAATTATTAGGATCATTCAAAAATTTAACCACAGGCTTCTTATTCGTGGTCTAAGCAACACCTCCAGATTTGAATCCAGCTCTGAATTGTCCTCTCATTTATTCCTAAAAATGTTAAATGACTTGATCCCTCTCTAATTATCCAGGCACAGCAACAGTGGCAGCATAATTGTCGTAATTTTCATAGGGATTGAAATCTTACCATTTATTTTTAAATTGTCCAATAGACTTAGTAGGTTCAGCCAAAGTAACAACAGGGAGGATTTTAACTGGATTCTCTAGATTTCCTGCATTATTCTATTATTATGATTATATTTTTTTCTATTTCTTCGGTTCCTATTCATCAAATCCCAATCCAGCCTTTGAATTGGTCTATCTTTTGAGAGCCTAATGAAGAATCTTGCTTGCATCTTTACCTCTAGCATAATCATACCCCATCTTCTTCTTCATTCTATCCATTTTAAAATGATCATCCAGATTTGCTATTTCTTCGAGTTCTTGAGGTACAATCTATCCTGCCAATTCGATACTCCTAACCAACATGATTGCAAATTTCCAATCTTATTTCTGCACCAAAGAATATGCAACACCATCACAATTTCCAGCTCTTCCTGTTCTTCCAATTCTGTGGATATATATATCTGCATCTTTTGGAGGAAAGTAATTAATGACTGTTCTTATTTCCTTAATGTCCAATCCCCTTGATGCTATATCTGTAGCAATTAACAAATGGACATGTTGTTTGAATTGATTAATAATTAAAGTTCTTTCGTATTATAATTTATCACCATAAAGAGTGAGTCCCTAAACACCCAACTTTTATTTGATTTCTGAAAGCAATGACTCACATTATCCCATTTGATTTGCAAATATTAGTACTTTGCCATTTTATAAATATGTTTTCAAATTCTACAACAACCACCTCAGTCTTCCTTCGTCATCATCGACAATTACTGGTAATTATTTAATATCCTCATTTACTTAATTTTCATTCTCACCAATCGTAATAACAATGGGATCAATAAGCATATCGACACATAACTATCTTATCTTCTTTTTCATCGTAGCTGTAAATAACAATATCTACTTATCTGGTCTTATTTGACTTATAATTGATCTGATCTAATATTCAAAGCCCAAACTAAACATCTAATCAGCTTCATCCAAAACAACGTAAGTGCATCTCTGTAAATTCGTCGCCTTCTTCTTCACCATCTCAATCAACCTACCTGGAGTAGCTATGATGATATCCACACCTGCTCTCAATTCTTTCCATTAATGATGCTTATTTTCACCTCCCAAAAGAGCGCTGACACTTATTTGAAATAATTGAGCATATTTCTTAGTTTCCAAATAGACTTACTATCCCAATTCTCTTGTGGGTACTACCACTAATCCTATAGGACCTTCTTTTTTCTCTACTGCCCTTTGTGCACTCACATGAACAAGCATTGGCCAAACATATGCTATGGTTTTACCAGACCCTGTTTTAGCTACTCCAATTACGTTCCTTCCTGACAATACACATGGCAAGGCCTAACTCTGAATTGCAGTTGGTTTTTCAAAGTTCTAGGATACTATCTTGTTGACCAGTTTCTAGTCCAATTAGAGATGACCAAATGATATTATTGGTTTTGGTACATTATTGCCTTTAACATGGATTTAATATTCTCGCTTTATTTTTTCTACTTGAGCTACATTTAGATTAGCTATTTCTTCGTGTTCTTAATAGAAATTAGATTCGAATTCCTCATATTAGATTTAAGAATGATCAACTGGTTGCAAGGGTTCTATGTTTTTTTTCTTTTTCTCAACCTCATCTATTTCATCTACTTCAAAATCACTTGGCATTGAATCCTCACTTTCTCCATTCTACTGCTTTTATTTTTCTTATCATATACAAACAGGATTACTTTATTAATTCAATTTATTTTATTTGATTAATTCATATTATGTTAAGATTGGGTCTTCATTCTCAAATTATTCAACCTCAAACTTTTTAACCTTTTTTGGCTCAGCCAAATCCTATTAATACTGTTTCTCTATATCTTGCATATAGGTGTCCAAAGGATCCAATTCATCATCCTGTACTTCATCTTTTTTCAATTGTTCCATCTCTCTTTTCCTCACCTGCTCATTTGTCAATTTCTCATCATCATTGTCAAAATACTTAGATTCTGCAAAATCCTCTACCAATTGCCTCTTCTACATCCTCTTATTATATTTAATTAATAATAATTATGTTTAAATTAAATCCTAAAAAGGTACTCATCAAGACTCCCACTATTTATGATTATTAAGCTAATCTACCTGTCGAAGTAATTGTCCAATGTAAAACTAGACTAGAAAAGCCATAGTGTTACATGTGATGAACAAGAATCCGAAACTTAAGATCAAAGGAGGAAATTCAATGACCAACCCATACAAAATACCCTATGAATTGGCTATTGCAGACTAAATTGAATAAATGGAAAAATACAAAAATTCCATTCTTTGGTCACCCAGAATGACTCCCAAAAAATTCACTTTTGCCTTCATCTATCCAATGGGATTTGCTTTGGTCTTACTTTGGTATATTCATAATGTGGCCATTCCAAGAAGAATGGTTGAGATGAAAAGAAAATACGGTTACGTCTATCCTGAATTAGAATCGAAGGGCTGGCTGGATGGTTGGTGGGATTATGAATAGGAAGAGACAGAGCAGATATTTGACATCATCAATATGGAATTCAAGAAAACAGAGGATAAAGTTAGAAACAAACAATATACAGATTTTACTATTTCTGATTTGCAAAACTTTGGAAACAAACCTACTTATGAGAATTCCGATTAAACAGCTAACATTACTAAATCTGGAAAATAAATTATGCAAACTAAGGAAAAATAGAAAATACAATCCCAATTTGAGAAGATCTTATAGTTGCAGACTAAACCATCGCAATGATTATTATGTCTTTATATATGTTTAAATATAGCAATACAGAGGAAGAACCTAATCGAAATTTATTAATGTATAGTAAAATTTAAAATTCTAATTAATATATCCTTTTAAATCATTGATCTTCAATGTCTTATCAAATCGACAAGTGCAAAATTCATAATCGCGACAAACTATATATAAATTTAGAGAAGGACACTAAAGAATACATGTAAACAGAATGTCTCTATTGTATGAAAAAGGATTCAATTAGAATAGAAGAAATAATGCTGAAATTCAAATAAATGATATCTACGCAATCAAAAGTAATTCAGAATCAATAGATTATGGTTGTCTTGTAACAAATTATGCAGTCATCAAATTTAGCATTACAATCATTCCAATAAATGCATAAAACAATTTAAGACCAACATGACAAGTGGTAAAAAATACATTCATAATTCGAACAGATTTAGAAACTGTCAAAATCTACTTATTATAACCAAGAAGAATTGTCCTAAATTGTAGAATTAACTTTGAATTCAAATCTTACTAATGTACCAAGTTTTGCATTAGGTTAACTAGATAGTTTTCAAAAACTAACTATTAAACTTCGATAAATCAATGAAATTTTGCAGTCAAATCCTCAAATAGCGAAGGTGATTCCCCAATTAACAGCAAAGTAGGAAGAATAATAACTATTATAACCGAAAAACAAAGGTGGTACTGATTAAAGAAAGGATTTCGAACAATTATCTTAATTTTAAACCAATATCACTGTGTACGCAATTGCTTTTAGTTTTGACAATTCTAAAATAGTAATTGGAGGAGGAAATTATAATTAAAGTTAAAATAAAAATTTGATGGTTTTGAGTTTATCTGGCGACAGTAAATTGTAGAGTGAAACCATTTTATACGGTCACTCTAAGAGAGTTACAGCAATTTGTTATAGCAAGTAGGAGCATTTTTTTGTTTCTGGAAGTCTAGATACTACATTGAGATTGTGGAGATATGAAATCAAAAATCAGAATTGGGACTGCATTAAACAATTGAATAAACACACTTCAACAGTATTTGGATTAGCCATAAATAATAATGATAATCTGATAATATCATGTGGTCACGATTCTAAAATATTTATTTGGAAAAATATCAATCAAAATTGGTAGGAATCTCAGACTATATCTGAACATATTGCTGCTGTTAATAGTATAAGTTTATCAGAGGATAATACTTTATTAGCATCAGGAAGTGAAGATACTAAAGTATATATTTGGAAAAATGATAATGATGTGTTTAGTAAGATAAGTCAAATAGAGGTCCCTTGCTCAAGTTTTATTTATTCTGTTCATTTCATAAAATAGAATTCACTTATAGTGGGTACATACGATGGCAACATATCTCTTTGGTAGATTAACGAAAACTAGTATCAATTGTGTTTTGAAAACAATCCAAAATTTGGATATATCAAGAAAATAGTGTATAATTAGAATCAATCTTTGATGATTACCAAATGTGAACATAGAACTATTATTTGGAAAATTATTGACAACAATAAAATTGAGCAGATTAAAGATCAGGAAGGTGAATATTTAGGAATAGGATTATCATAAGGTCCATCAATAATTGCAATGTTTAATTGTGAAAAAAAGGTCTTAGAATTGCTTTAATGTAATATATGAAAATATTTTGTGTTTATTTATATCATATTATTATAATTGAAAATGAGTATTATTACTGAATAATTTAATATGGAAACTTAAATTTAATAAAAAGTCATATCCATTTGAGATAGAATTAATCAATCAGAATCATATCTTCTTGGTTTCTTAGATACATATATTTCCCTATAGATGGTATTCATTATTAAACTTATCATTCTAGGTTTTTCTTCTTTATCCCTTATGAATATTTCAGTTTATTTATTTAACTCTTTCAAATACCCTTACATGATCTGATTTAATAAATCTTAAATTTCATTATTCTTCTTTGTTTGAGCAGCCAAATACTTTAAATAAGGAGAAATTATTTGGATAGGCAGAAGATTCTTGATGACTGCTTTCTTACCATCAGGCTCATCATCATAAATCTAAGGAAGAATATTAATTTTATTCCAATTCACTTTTTTCCAATCAAATTTTAATGGGATTTCATTAACATATCTTTCTAAATAAATGTGTACAAGAATGGATCCCACAATAAGAGCATTTCTATGAACAAAAAACAGAACGTCCTAATCACTTTAGGATGGATGATATTCCCACGCTTTGAAAATCATCTGGTTAACTAGGATTCTGAGTAAAATTACTCCTTCTATAATCATCATTTGTATTGATTCACTAATCTTACCAATCTAGCCTATAGTATTGAATCTGATCCGCTCCACTTCATATTGTATAAAGTAATCAAGAGGTGGAAATTAATTAGGAATGCAAATAGATCTCAAAAAATCAAAAAATAAAGGACTTATATTGTCTGCTTTAACAGTTGATGCTTAAGTGAGAAATCTAGTAATGAAAGCAAAAACTTTATCATATTTTGCTTGATTTTCTTTGTCTCTTCCAATTTCTACCTTAAAGTCGGTTTTATTATTCAAGAATTCTATCATCTATTGTTCTAAAGCTATTTCATATTATCCTAGTAGATAATCCAAAATATTTGGAATTTGAGCATCTTTCTCTCTGCAAATTTTTAACTTTTTTTCAATCTCAGAATTTAAGGTTTTTATGTAATATGAAATGAAAATGATCGATGCTTTGAATATCCTAAACTTCTTAGTGGAAACGGGTAATCTCTTTTTAGCTTTCTTGATAAAATTTTATTAACTCGAATGAGAACTGCTCTACATCAAACTGCTGGATAATTTTGATTTATGAAGAGAGCTTTTGAATTCTTCTTTTAATTTTTAATCATTAAGTTATTCTTGTTATTTGTATGGAATATGTTTGTCATATTAATTAGAAATAAGTAATTTATCAATCTCTTATTTTTACTATTGCTATTTTTGCAACTGTTGTTATTAGTAATTCTAATATTATTATTATTATTGGTATTATTATTATTAGTATTGTTATTAGTATTACTATGGATATTAAGCTAATTAGGATTATCCCAAAGAAGACAATCTGGAATTATTAAAATATTAGGGATCATGAGGGTACAGTATTTTATCCCCAGGCTTTTAAATTGGTTTAGGTTTGCCTTAAAATTTAATGGATACTTAAACCTATATTCATTATGTTTTCTATTCTTTGTTAGCGAATTTCTTATTATTATTTAGATTTCTAGAAATCAAAACCCATTTGGATTTAGGATTCCATTGGCCAAGGCATCATTGTAAAGGGAATGGGAATTACTGGCTATATTGATATTCATAATTACCATTCCAGGTTGAGCAAGTGGAATGCTATCTAATGATGATCTGGTAAATATTGAGGATGGATGTTCATATTGATTGAAATGCTTTGATTATGGAGGATTAAAGATACTTATGGTTATTATTAGAAAAACTGAGCCTTTTTATTTCTAGCTCTTTCTTCTTCTTTCGAATATCTCAATTTAGCTAATTCTAATCCATATAATAATTATTAATCTTGAAAATTATACATTGTTAATAATTATATGTGTAGAAATCAAAATTAATTCTTTTTTGGTAAAATCGAGTCCTCTGAATCAAGATTATAAACAATCCCAAGAACCCCATTATTCATGCCATAATATTTCCATTTCGGATCAAATTCATCAGGAATCTTAAATCTTAAATCAAAAGGACCAGACTTTCTATCTTACTTGATATAAGTTGCTTTGTTTGTATACATCGAGATTTTTTTATGTCCTCGCACAATGGTAGAAACATTCTATCTATAGATTTCCACTTCTTCAAGTGATACGCCTGGCAAATCGATAAGAATTATGTATTGAGTTCCTTGTATAATATCGATCTAGGGTTCATATTCCTCGCCCTCCTCATTGTCAATATCGACAGGTGTAGACATCAATTTGGCTGTAGAAATATTTTGAGTGAATTTGGGGGAGGTTGCTTGTTACTTGACAATTCTTTTTTCATTGGGTAGATGGGTATCTTAAATAGTTAGTTTGATTTGCTTTTTCAAGAGAGTGCTCATTTTTAATTCACAGACTTCAACGATGTCATCATATTTTAGTATCTTCTTCTGATGAGGCACCACAACCAATTTCAACCAATATTTGAGAAGACTATAAGTCCAAGGATTAATACTCTTGCCCAAATCAGAGTTGTCATTGACAATACAGATGTGTCTACTCGTTTCTGTGTTGAACCAGAGAACAGACTTTTCTTCCAATTGATTAGTGAAAGGATTCATTGCTTCAACAGTAGACTTCTATATATTTCCTTCTAAGATTTTTTCAATTTATACTTACCAAACATGCTGAATCAGATTTGGATTTGTAATATCTTTAAGATTGTGGATTACTATAATTTCCTTAAATTGTTTGAGAGAGCTGCTTAATTTACGAGCTAATTAATCTAAATATCTAACTTCGATGCTTGTGAAATCATTGACCACACAAATGAAATAGTCAGTTAATTCGAATGATATCTCCAGGATTGCAGTTTCAATTTATTATTTCTCTTTTAAATTCTTAAGATTCTCAGGTGCATAACTACCTGCTGTATCTATCAACACAAATGAATTATTTTTGTCAACGACGCATTGTTTGAAACTGATGCCTTTGGTTGTGATCTTGGATCCCGTGGGGAGATTTTGATTGGTTAATTGATTTAGAATATGCGTTTTACCTTTGTCATACAACCCAAGCACTGCAACTCTAGCTCCCTTTAGTTCATTGTTGTTCACCAACAACTTGAAATATTGGATTAACAACTACCTTCCATGACGAACTCATATTGATATCCATCACTAAGTCATAAATTTGAGTATCGATCATGTTATACTCTTGGATTGATGGTTTTTGATCATTAGTTATAATATTGGGTATTTCATTGCTTTTCCCCAGAATTTGGGGATTATTGAGTTGCCCAATGATGCTCAAGGTTTCTTCGCATCTGATTTTCAGTTCGTAATGCAATGCTTCATAAAGATCAAAAAATTCATTTATTGACTGCATCTTCCTAAACATTTCAGCAAAAGTTTCCAGCAGATCCAAATTCTCCTTTAACAGATTTCCCAAGATCTGTAGACAACTACGGAATGCATCTTAGTCCTTAATTACATCAATTCCTTTACTAAATTAATATCACCCTCTTATGGAGAACTCATACTACGTAAAACGAAATTTATTAATTAATATAAATATATATTTGGTTTTTATGCTCTTTAAGTTTCTGGATGGATTTACCAAATTTCTAACAACTCTCATAATTAATTAGATATTTATTTATCTGACTCTTATTTTTCCTCTCCCTCCCTTCCCATGTCAGTACCATCAAGAAATTCAAAAAGAAGTCATACTCCTATATATTTCTTTAGATCACACTACCTCAAACAATCACAATTTTCCAGGTCCAGCTAGTTATGAACCCAAAATAGAAGTTTCACATACCAATGCCCCAAAATGGACTATGAGTGGAACTTACTCCAGAGAAATCCCCATCATTAAAAACCTTCCAGGCCCAGGTCAATACGACCCTCGATTACCATCGTCATAGAGAAAAACTTTGATTTACGGCAAAGCCTATTAAAAAGACAAAGAGTCATAACAAAAACCAGGCCCAGGAGCATACAAGGTTGACATCTCACAGCTCTCCAGAATAGGGTTCAAAATAGGCAGTGAGAAAAGGTATAAGGACGAAAAGAAATTATCCCCAGGACCTGGAGATTATCAGGTTGAAGTCAAAAATCATGTTCATTCATACATAATTGGTTAATAAACAAGATCAGGAAAAATCTATAGCAATCATGTAGGTCCTGGATAATATGAAATTCCTTCCTTATTAAAAACCGATGGAGGATTTAGGATGGTTCCTCGTAGAGAGAAAACTGTATCTATGATTACTCCTGGTCCAGATGCATACGAGCAGCTCAGATAAGAAAGAGTAAAATCATTTAAAATTGGAACAAGCAAAAGAGAAGGCATTTTTTAAAAGTCTGTTTCTCCAGGTCCTGCCAACTATGAAGTCTAAGCAATCAAAGAGAGTGTTGCCTACTCAATAGGCAAAAAATAACGATAAGACACAAAACTTGATGCACTTCCAGGACCAGGAAGTTATCAACCAATTAAACCTAGTAGTGCCCCCAAATACTCAATCTATCAGAGATATAGAGAAAAAACTGAAGCTTCAGGTCCAGGACCTTAATCTTATACAATTGGAGAGTTTCGAGAAACAAAAAGCATAATATTTTGTCAGGCCAAAAGAGATAGTTACAATAGGATATAGATACCTGTATGATTATTTGTGTCATTTTAGGGACCAGGGGAGTATGAAACAGAATTAAAAATTAAGAAGCCTCAAGTGAGTATTGTCTTTGGAAGAGAGAAAAGATCATAGAGTTGCTCTGAAAATACAAAAATGCCTGGACCAGGTGCATATGATATAGCATCCACTTTTTATGTGAAAAAGAAATGATTCGATTAGATTCAAATTATTATTATTCACTTTATGAATACAGTTTCACAGTATCAAAATCTCTTTAACATTACTTTTACTTATTTTATTAGTGGTTGTCCAGACTCTAATCTGTGAGAGCATTCAGGGGAGTATTTTAACTCCTATTTTAATGAATACTTTAATGTGTGCTTTGTGTTATTACTATATGATTAATTAAATTAATGGGCTCGGTATGTTAGAAAGGTGATAATATAGTGAATTGGCCTTGTAAAAGCAATCCGAGAGGTTCCAACCCAAGAACAACTTTCACCATAATTCCTGAGGAGGACTCTGTAATATACTCTTAATAAGATCGGTCGGTTTTTACAGCCAGCCAATTTTATCAGAATCCAGATAGTTAAGTAATACAATCTGAGTAATGTAGAGACAAACTGTAATGTTAGGAAATGCAATCGGCGTAGATAACAAACTTTAAATTCTAAATGTGTACATATCTAAACTACTTTCTTCTCATTCAATTAAGTAAGTAAATGATGTATAATGAGATTAACAAATACAAGAAGTAATTCGTATGAAGTATCTTTAACCAATCTAAATCCTGAATTGGGCTGTTATTGTGAATGGCATCTGGAGTCAGACAAGTTGCCAATTCGTTCTGGGGATAAAATTGATGTAAATTGACTTATAATGATTTAGTTGATCCACATTCTGACAGGGAGATATCTTATGGCTACAGAGATGGATGAAGAGGGCGTAGTCTATTGTGGTTATGGTTCTAGTAGATGCTGGACTATTGAATTTGATGATAACATTTTAAAAGATGGAGCAATATTTGAATTGAAACATAATGAAATTACTAAATACTTGTCTTTCATTAATAAAAAAGCATCGCTATCACATAATAGGTAGGTTTGCTTAAATGACAATGAAGGGAAGAATAACTATTGGAAATTAGTTTTGATTTAATGATTAAACATAATTATTATTATTAAAATGATTATTAGATAAGCTCAGCTATTTCTGAGATGGGTCCCTCAACCCAGATACTATCACGGAGGATTGAAAGATCAAGACCGTATCTTTACTAATGTCTATCGCGATGGAGATCCCTATATTCAAGGTGCCTTGAGAAGAGTAAGAATATTCATTATCATAGGGTGACTGGCATAGAACAAAGGACATTTTGACAATGGGTTAAGATTGGATTATAGATGAAATCAAAAAGAGTGGTCTTAGAGGCAGAGGTGGAGCTGGATTTCCAAGTGGTTTGAAATACTCATTCATGCCAAAAGTCAATCCAGATGGAAGGTATTTTGATTAATGCAATTATGAAATAAAGACCTTCTTATTTGGTTATAAATGCAGATGAATCTGAGCCAGGCACATGCAAAGACAGAGAAATCTTGAGACATGATCCTCATAAATTAGTAGAAGGAGCCTTGTGTGTTGGATTTGCAATGAGAGCTAGAGCAGCATATATATATTGCAGAGGAGAATTCTGGGTAGAGGCTAATGCTTTGTAATAAGCAGTGGATGAAGCCTATAAAAAGGGATTTTTGGGTAAAAATGCATGCGGAAGTGGATATGATTTCGATGTCTATGTTCACAGTGGAGCAGGTGCCTACATTTGTGGGGAAGAAACAGTAATCATTTAATAAAAATGAATAGGGTTTGATTGAATCCTTAGAAGGAAAGCCAGGAAAACCAAGACTCAAGCCACCCTTCCCAGCCAATGCAGGTTTATGGGGTTGTCCAACCACTGTTACCAATGTGGAAACAGTCTCAGTTTGTCCAACCATTCTTAGAAGAGGAGCCAATTGGTTTGCATCTTTTGGCAGACCCAACAATCGAGGCACTAAACTATTCTGTATTTCTGGTCATGTTAACAATCCTTGCACTGTTGAAGAGGAAATGTCCATTCCTCTTAAAGAATTGATTGAAAGACATTGTGGAGGAGTCAGAGGAGGCTGGGACAATCTTAAATGCATCATTCCTGGAGGATCATCAGTCCCCATGTTACCTAAAGAGACATGTGAAACTGTACTTATGGACTTTGATGCATTGAGAGATGTCAGATCTGGATTAGGAACTGCTGCTGTCATTGTCATTGATAAGTCTACTGATATTATTGATGCTATCTTAAGATTGAGCAAATTCTACAAACATGAATCATGTGGTCAATGCACACCTTGCAGAGAAGGTACTTCATGGTTAGTTGATTTGTTGGAAAGAATGAAGGTTGGAAATGCTGATTTTGCTGAAATTGATTAATTAGAAGTACTCTAAATATTATATATCAAAAGGAATTAACATATTAAATTGAAGGACATACTATTTGTGCTCTTGGAGATGCAGCTGCATGGCCAGTTTAAGGATTGATAAGATCCTATAGAGAAGAAATTGAAGAAAGAATTGAAGACTATCATGCCAAACATCCAGTGAAGGCTAGATAATTACGTAGTAATCCTTAATAATCAAGCCATTGATATATACATAAAATATTAATATCACCATCTTGGAATATTTTGAGTTCTTTTTTACTCTTATTTTAATAATTTTACACTCTTTCTTTTTGCTTTTTCATCCAAAAAGTTTAGGAGATTATCAAATTATTTAGCTATTTTCCTTACGAACTGCTTTTGTTTTGATGAGTTAAGCTCTCTATATCCTCTATATCTGCAAATTTTATAATTTTAGCCCATAATCCTCATAAAATATCCTCAACTATTGTTCATTGATATCATTAGCCAAATTTTGATATCTAAATCATTTAATACATTAACTACATATGTATCTTCAATTATTGGCATTTGATAAAGGGGTAAAACATCATCCATTTTCTACTCTTTGGTAAAGTTTAACAATATTAAGATAAAAATATTAAGTAATGTTATGTTTAATTATAATTATTGAACAAAATAATAATTATAATCAACTCTATAATTTTGTAATCACTTTAGTAATAGTGAGCATAAATTTATAGAAACCAACAGCATGTTGATACGATCCATTAGCATCAAGTACTTTTTCTGGGAATGCAATTCCGAAGCCATAGTTATTGGAGATCTCTCTTCCTCCATAAACTAAAGTCATATTTTCATCATCATAATGAATCTTATTGTCGATCAGTTCCATCTCATTTATGGATATGATAGGGAGTGTGCTTCTCTGGAATCCAGTAGCAACAATAACTTTTGTGCATAGTGGCATGTAATTCTTGTACTCAGCAGAGTCAATTTCTGAGATGCATTTGGGCTTTTCTCCAATTAGGATGTTTTTGGCCCATTCAGCCACTCTTCCTTTAAGTCCTGTGGAGTCGTTCATGATTTTTCCGTCTGGCAAATACTCAGCCACAATGATGGGTCTTCTTTAGAAAATGTAGATGTGTTTAGGCCTATTTGGTGAGTTGTAGAGATTCATGGCAGCCAAGATTCCAGAGTGACTGTTACCAAATATGCAGACTGTATCCTCATTTGTTATGTGTTAATGAACATCTTCTGGACTCATGGCAGCGTAGAGGTCAATCTCTTAGAGTTGAGGATAAAGTTTGTAGAGTGAGGCATCTACTGTCTCTATTGTATTTCTTTTTGAGCCAGTACAATGGAAGACGTATTCACTTTCGAACTAATAAAATAATCGTCATTATTAATACCTAACAATTATTTTTTAATGTAATTTTATTAGTGTGCCCTAGGTTCTCTATTTTTTCTACCACGCTTTCCATCTTCGCTAGTAACCCTTTGCATGTTTGATCCAATATCACCATGACTTTCTTAAACATCTCATAGGAGAAGCCGAGTTCACAAGTAGTGTTTGGGTCGAAATTTTTGAATACCTAAATTAACTAAAATTTCATACTTAAGCGGGGTCTTCTACATCCTTATGATTCTCAATCCATCCCATGCTCTTTAAGGTGTTGAGGAATAGTTGAATCTAATTGTTATGTTTAAATATACTTTTGTGTTGGATGGTATGTGATTAAACTAGTTCAAAGCACCACAATTGAATTGGGGATCCACCCATGCAATCGGAGTCATGTTGTTTTTAAGCAATTAACACACTGTTATGATACCAGCAGGTCCTGCACCAATTACTGTAGATTTAAAATTCATATATAATATATCGTTTTTAACAAGTGTTAGAAAATGAGTTGTATTGTCACAAATAATAAGTCATTAATCAAAGTTCGTCATCAAATACTACGATTTCCTTTTGAAAATTAATTAATAAAGTATATAATAGTTTATTCATTAAAATTGTAAACAAGTATCTAACTTATATTAATCAAATTATATTAATTTAATTAAATAATGATTAACTATAAATTATTTTATCATTAATTCAAATTATACGTTATTGGTTAATAAATACATTATACAAATATACTCATTTTAAGTCCAATCCCAATCATACTTGAAGGGGAAACAATCCTCCTCTTCATATTTTGCTTATGGCTCTTTGATTCTTAAGATAAATTGATGATTGTAAGGGGAATTTAGGATCTGATTTATATTTAGATTTTTTCCCTTTTGAGCCTCTTCATAATATCTAGATCACTTTAATATTATGCATTAGAAAAGATCTCAACTTCCCGCTAAGAAAATTAGCTTCTTTCAATTAATCCAACAAAAAAGGGATAGATGGTATGATTATAGAATATTGAGGGAGATAAAACATATTTATAGAGTAATTATGGCTAACGAGATCGAAAATAGCATATTTTTTTTGGATTTTATATTCATTATATTGATATCATTTTACACATAATTATTATAAGGAAATTTGCAAATCATAATGAGGGGCAATTTTATTAATAATATATATATATAAAATTTGAAATGACTTTTGAATGTATATAATGTTTAACATATATAGATAAAACAATCAACAAGATTGACATCTAGCCAAAAATTATAAGAAATGTCTACCTAGAGATAGGGTTATGGAATAAAAATACCAAATTAAGTGAATTGATGTTCTTCATATTTATTGATTTAGATCTGAATTTATTCTTTTTGTTTGTCATTGCATTTCGAATAGAAGTTTTGCATCACATAATTACCAAATTAATTGTTGATTAAAATTAGTAACATTGGTGGTACACAATTATTCATCAGGATTTTGCAGATGTTTGCAATATCTTCATCTGATGCCAATGTTATGTATTTCTAAGCCACGTTGCTTAATGAAATTCAATCTAAATAAATACCTGGCATATTTATCTTAACTGACTTCCAGAATTCTGGCTTTGACGAATTTCCCAATTGCTTCAAATCCTTTAGGTGGCCCTTGGGTGATCATGTGCTGTACTATGTAGTTTCCGTATTGACAAAATTGTAATCTCTCACACAATGGTATAAGGGATATGTAGAGTTGTTGTAACTTTTGGTTGGGAAATATTTCCAGGCATTTTTAAGCAATTCTGCATCCATAGGGATGAGACACGATGTGATCAACGTTGTTTGTGACGATGTCAATTATGAACTCAGCGTCGGATGCCAAGTCTATGATTTTTTGGATTACATGATTTCCACATTGATCGAAGATGAGATTCAACACTTGGCTTTTGATTGATTAGATTAATTGTATTCTTTGATGGTTTTAAATGAACTCTAGTAATTTTTAGATGACTCGACATCCGAATTTGTCATAGCACATTTCGATGAGGTTAGGGTAAAGTTATTCAAAGATGAGGGTTCTGAGGTTCTGATTACTGTTCTCTATAATTTTCTGAATGACATAATTTCCAAATTTGTGTTTAGAGAGGAGTGGTAAATCATCGATCAAGGCTTTAAATATTTTATCTCTCTAAAAGTCGTTCCCTTAAATGAAGGACTATTGGATAATTAGGGACGCATATTGATCTTGGCATTGTTGTGACTACAATAGGAATAGAAAATTTACAATGGTTTGTTCTGAATCTGTGGACGATTGCATTCTCTTGGTTCGTTTTTATGAGAAGTATCCATCTTGATAAGGGTAATAGATTGAAGATTGAGAGACCATGTATTGGTGGAATTCGTAACTCATGGAGTGTTACCTTTGTTGGATGAAGGCTGGTTAGACAGTAAAATAAAAGTTGTTTGGATCATTGGAAGGAAATTCTTATTAACTTTTTTTAATATTGACCATAATACCCTGCGTCATCAAGAACAAGAGGACTTTCTTTGACATCTTTGAAGCTTTTGACAGGCTAAAATGGTTTAATAGGGAGTAATGTTTACAGATTGAGAATGCTGTTGGGATTTAGTGATGGAAGATCTGAATTCTGAACATTCTGACTCATCCTCTAATGAGATAAGAAATGTAATTACCGTCTAGCAGAGAACCTATCATATTTTTTTCTGATTGCTCTGATTCTTGCATTGATTTTATTAAGTTATAAATACAAACAAAATTATATATATATACAAATTCAGTATTGTTTTGCTTTAGAGGAGTTGAAGAATTCTCTAATGAGACACTTAAATTTGCTTTGGAGTTGTTGCTGTTTGGGTAAGGGTTTTAATTGTTTCAAGTAGATTTTTTTATTTTTTTGATGAGATTTATTGATGGCTATAGTACCACTTGGCGAGAATTATAGAGATTGTACAGCCTTGCGATCTCTGAGCAATCTGTTGATGGTTTTTTCTTGGCGCAGGACTTGTTGTTTGATATTTTGGAGAAAGCAATTCGAACTTGGGACATATTTATGAGTGCGAGATTGGACAATTTACGGTTATTCAGTTTTCATGCTTTGTTTTTCAGGCGTGTTAGTTTTTGTGGGTGAAGTCTGTTAATGCGTACTTTCATCTAGGTCAGGCTTAGATCGTAAAATGAATAAGGGATTTCTTGCGAAGATTCTGAAATTCTTTCGTTTTTGATCATTTCTTATGTATTTCTTGGTTCCATCAAGTTTGCTAAGGAATACTTCTTCCAATCTGGCTTTTTTGTGATGGGCAATTTCACATAGTTGATTGGGGAGATGATCTTCTTTGAGTGCAGTGACTCCGCAATGATCACAAACACAGCTTTTACGACGAACTTGGGTTGTATCTAATTTTGGGCCGTCAAGGTTCTTGGTAGAGATATGATGTTTGTTAAACATAATATATTAATTAATGGATTAATCTACAGTGGCTTTAAAGGTTGATATAAATTCAATAATTGTTAGGCTGAGGTGAAGGAGTATCAGTTGAGCAAAATAGATAATAATGTCATCCTATTCATCTTGCTGGTGTCCAAGAGGGATGGGTAGTAATGGACATTAGAGAAGAGGTATTCGGAATTTGACGATCTGAATACTAACTTAAAGAAGGTGAGATAATTATTCATTGATTTATAGGTGTTCACCAATTTGCCTCCATTGCCAGGGAAAACATTGTTTAAGTTGAAGGAGCATGTCGATATTGAGAAGCGCAGAGTGGGACTGGATTATTACATTAAGGTAAAAAGATATGCCTAAGAGTAGGAATTATTAAAAAGACCAGATGTGTTTAATTCTGAGCAGATGAAACAATTTTTATAGTTGGAGAAGCATGCTTAAGAATAAGTGGTCAATCCACCCAAGATGTTAGGAGAAATTACAGGATTCATTCACGGATTAAGAGATTTCTATATAGAGAGATCACAGAGTAAAAAAATCAATTCACAATATTGTAGATGTCATTTTCGTGTTATCCTCTGATATGAATGTGGCTAGCAGATTCGATGCCTACTTAACTAATATGAAAATGCCATGGGAAAAGGAAGCTCCTCCCACTCTCTTGGCTGTTGGATGTTTGGAATGTTGGGTTAAGACTAATGACGAGAACGAATTCAAGTATGAGAGAATGTGGAATAAAACCTATCCATCATAAGCAATTTGTTTGTATTGGGATGCAGTGACGTCAACTCTAATCGTTGGATTGGATGAGGGAAAATTGAATTTGCTCAAAGTTCCTCAAGAGAGTCAATTTATCAGATATGATGAAGTACCTCAATCATTTATCAACCTTAGTAAGCAGATATCAAGGCACATTAGGGTAGAGTGATGGGTGTATTTTATGATTCCATAAATTCACATATTCATTCTGTATCAGAAGATAAGAAATATAAAGTACTTGACTTTTAAAGATAAATCACTGTTGCTGAAATCTAACCAAGTCAACATGGTTTGACAGGTTTGGCAGCTGATAAAGACAATAGAAGAATATTTGTTTCAGATAGAGGAGGTTACGTTCACGTCTTTGAAATTACCTCTGCAACTATGGGTCCCTCTTTGGCAGTTTCAGTGGCATCCTAAACACTCTCTCCTATTAGAGGAATCTTTTTTGATCCTGTCAAGAACTATCTATTCACAGCAGGTTTCGACCAAGGTGAAATTGGTATCTTCGAAGTTGGTAAGTCTGGCAGAGAGAAATTTACTAAATAAACAGCAAGTTTGAAAGGCAAACTACAAATGAGAGAAATAGTTTGGTCACCTTCCAGAGGAGAATGCTTGGTTGGCAATAAAGATGGTACAGTCACAGTGTGGAGTGGCAAAAAAGCTGCACCAATATGTACTTTTTAGCTATCACATTCTTAGTTGTAATTAAGGCTCATAATACTGATATCACCAAACTCCAGTGGTATGAAGATAAACACATGTTGGTTACCAGTGGAAAGGAGAAGTCTTTGAAAGTATTAAGCATTCTTAATTCATAGTTTTGGCAATTACCAAAGGAATGGAGAGACAAAAAGATTGAGTAGCAGGAAGAGTAAGAATACGAGCAAATGAAGAAATAAGAAAATATCAAAATAAGTATTGAGTCTACTAAAAAGGTATTTCTATATATATAAACACATTCTTAGAAAGAGTTTGATTCTGATGAGGATGATCTTAAAGGATGGCATAAAATGTGAAGTGAATATCAAAAATATAATAATATATTATTCAAATTTCTCATAATTTGGTATATACCTTGGTTTAAATTTATAATCAAAGATGCTGACTTTGCTAAATAATTTTATTGCATTTTAACGAGTGTTTACTACTATTAAATCCTTACAAAATGCTAATTAATGCAAGGACAGAGGGTTTTTATTTAGCATGATAGAAATAGTTAATAATTATTATGTTATAAGTTTATTTAGTTAGATATGATTGTTTAAAAATACAATAACTCATACCAAGTAGAATATTTTGCGTTATCTTTTACACTATTTGCATAATAGATCTCTTGCTACTTCTATTTTCTTGCTCATTTTTTATTATTCCATATTAATAGCAAGAATTCGAATAACAATACATCATTGAAAAAGTATAGTTGTAATTCACCTTAGGAAACCTCCGATTGGGAACTTGATTTAAATTAATAAGATTTTAAAAAGTTCATTATTGAAGGCCAATTGAATCAAGAAAGGTTCAAATTCAATTAGGTTCACAAAGATCCCTACTTGCTATTGAATTCAACTACTCTATTCCAGAAAACAGGTTTTCATGAATATTTTGGTTACATTAATTATCAGATAGCCAAACTTACAAATTCAAAAAAGTTATGTCTGTAACTAATGTATAATTAGAGACTAAAATAACAAATGATCTAAGAATTACCATGGTGCAATAATAACAATGGAGTGTCCATAATACCTTGGTTTTGGAAGGGTGATTCAATACAATACTTGGCGGAGATCTGTCTGAAGGTATCCATTGAGGATAATTAATTATAATACTAAGGGGGATGCTATAACAATGGATTTATTTACAAGGAACTGGGAGAGGACAACTTACAAACATTTGAGAATTTGTCGATTTATATTCGACATGTGAATGACCCATACATAAGTGGAGTGGAATATTCGCATAATTACGCAAAGCCAAAACAAGATAACCATAACCAATTCCCGAAATTCATATATTATTGTTTTTTATTCGGATGTGCTGGGATAATTTACTTGATATTTATATACTTGATATTGACTCTGAGAAGGAATAGTGAGAAGACACAATTTGTGTGAATAGAATATTGGTGATAAGTTGATGAAATAAATTGTAAATATATCATGATTATTGTTATGTTTGCCTTTATTCGGCCACTCTATTTAATGATAATGTAATGGCTTAAGCCCAATTTTCAACATAGTAATCATATTATTCTTTCTCTTCTGGATTGAAATATTTGAAGCATTCATCAGGTGGCATCTCTTTGCTATTAAATTAATGAGATATTTGATATACGTGGAAGTGGTGGCAAAACAGGAATGATCTCTTAGTAATTAGTCTAGTTTATCTTCTTCAGTGATTCTATGTTTGTTATGAGTGGATTGGACTTCTAAAAATTTGAGGGCATGCTTTTTAGTTCTAACATCTAAGCCTCCGTGATAGATTTCGAATGTGAATGAATAGGGGATCTAAAAATGATAAACTAAAAATAGTTTGCCTTCAAATCATCATAAGCATAATCCATTGAAGTACCTGGAGAGAGATATCCAATTTCATGGCCACAAGATCCCATTTTACATGTCTCGCAATGTTTCTCTCTAACTTCTGTTAGGATTTGCATCATGTTTGAGAGATTCTCGGATGCTAAACATAGGAATTTAAGTTATACGTTATTCTTTGCTATAAGCATAGGGAGTGAAGAGTGCTAGGGTGCCAGAGTGAATGGAGAAGAAAACGTCTGGTGAGAATTTCTTGAGTTCATCTCTCACTGTTTGGGTTTCGGCTTCTGAAAATGCAAAGGGTCCAGGAGCTGTTCTTACCATTTCTGGGTCGTGTTCCTGAGTAATTAGTGTTATGTACTTTAGACCAATGGGATTTGTAGTTTCGATTCAAATCGACTCCATTTTCATTTTCTCTTTTACAAAAGTCTCCAGATTCAACTTTCTCTCTTGAGAGTGGATTTAGATTGACTATCATTCTTAATTCGTAATTGTCTTTGATTGATTTCATTTCTTCATTTTCACTACAGAGTTTTTTCACAAAATGCAGACCCGTTTCTGGAGAGATCAATTCTCTTGCGTGTTCTCCAAAGAGTACGAAGCCCTTATTTGGTTTGTTCTGATTCTTATTGAGAGTGACCATCGACAATTTGGGGTAATCTCTGACCATTTCCAATTCTACTCCATCGCACTTTTGTAGGGTTTATGCAATTTCGACATGAATATCCTAGATGGGTTGTTTTAGGTGAATAATACTGAGGAACGATGGTAGAAGGAGGGGAATCCAAGGGAATGAGCGATGGCAAAGATCAATGTAAACAGAATGAGCTTCTTCATTTTTCTAATTTAATATACTTACTTATAATTTAAGATGTCATATATAAGCTTTAAGGTAATAGCAGAGACGAGATATTTGCAAAATGTCAGAATCTGTGGCAACCATGCTTTACTTGGAGATTGGGATCCAAATCGTTCATTGATGTTGAGTACAACCAACACTAGCTATCCGGAATGGACTCACGAAAGCAAAATTCAAATTGATCCAAGTACGATCAATGTTTCATTTCGATAGCTGCCAGACTGGAATTCAAGTGCTTAATACAAGATGGCGACAACTTCATTTGGGAGGAGGTTCCAAATCGGCTACACAGATGTGATTTCAGACGCAATTTTTTGATTATCACTTTCAATAAGGAAGAAATGAATGTCAGAACCTTTTAGAAATACGAAATCTCTCATGAATTTGTATAGGAAGACTTGAGTAAGATCTCTCAATTTATCCATTATAGTGAATGTGCAAAGACTCAGTAGGTCTAGGGATTACGATCCATTTAATAATGATTTAGATTCAGTATTTAAACTACATTTATATTACAGTCTGACAACGAAAGCCTGCCAGAATTGGTCAAGAAAATTACAGGAATCACCTAGATCTCCATCCGTTAATTGGAAAGCGATTGGAGAGATATTATCAGAGTAATCATATAACTAAACATTCATAGACTCATTTCGAAGCCAAACAAAAGTAAAAGTCCATATCGAAATTCCGCAAGGTTTCAGAGCAATACGGTTCTCCAGATATCGTATTCGATTACAAAAGAAAGAGGTCCCAGTCTTCATCTCAAATTTTCACTGACTCCTTTGTCATCTGCTTGAGCTTGAAGATACCAATTTAAATTACCACTATTGATTAATAAATTTAAGTAAGAAACAAAAAAGGTAATTAATTTACACTTTAATAATAAGACATTCTTAATAAATATAAATTCACTTCTACCTAGGATCCCTACTATAACAACATGTACGATCTATTTAGCAATCGATTGAGTCTCAAAGCCATATGGATCGGATGGTTGGGAATTACAATCCCTGACGAAATAGAATTCAATCTTATCTAACAATACATGTATATGCATTCCCTATCAAATTAAGTTATGATCAATACAAGTGCTATGGCATTCAATTGGATGAATCCAAATTATCCTGTTTCTCCCAATTTATTGAACCAGTCTTTAGTAATTTAACTCCACATTTGAGATTCCAATCGGAAGATGATTATATGACCATCAATCAGATATTTGCCCGATTTGTACAGGATGCCATGTTCTGCACACTTTTTAATAATCAATTCACTCACTTGCATTCGATATTCATATTTGATTACCAACTCTTTATGATTCCTATTTTTCTTAAGGAAGGTTTGATAAAGAAGAATGAGTACAGACCTCGTATTTGCACAATCATGAGAAGATCCTTTCCAAATCCTAAACAATTTAGAATATTCACTTTCAGTTAGATCATGCTCTCATCATTATTAATGAGTGATTTGATTTCACTTGTTGAATTGAAAGATTTACACAATTTTATATAGTGCATTCCATTCCAATACCAAAAATTAGCATAAGTTTCAGGAATGACTGCATTTACAATTGAGGTCTTGGGCAGAAAGATAATACTTGATTATGGAAATGTTGGTTTAGATGAAAAATAACTAAATAATTTGATTTCATCTGAAGATTGTATAATTGAAGATTCAATCACACTCCTAGGTGTTGATAGTATTTCTGTCTAGAGTGGATTGAATCTCAAATTTAGAATTGTAGAATAACTGCATTTAACTGGACTCCATCAAATCTAATTGATCCAAATACTATACAAAAATAATGAGGATGATTTTGAAAATAATACCTCACTTCTCTTACATCTTGAAGAGTTAACCAACTTGGCTTAATCCATTAATAATAAATACTAGAAACCATTAATTCTATTAATATAAGATGCTTCACAATAAGATCGAATCAAGTTATATAATAAGTCTAATGTGTTTATCAAAACCTCATTGAGAGATGTAATTTCATCAACTCACTTGGAGTATATCTATGTCAGACAGTCACAAAAGCAAAGAGCAAAGATCATCTTCAGTCAATGGTGCAAATCAAAGGTGGAGCATTAAAAAATCAATCCCTTTAATATCGAAATTTCAGCTTAAATCATTTCTGATTATATAAAAAATGATCTGCCATCATTAATTAATGTGCCTAGCAGTAATGATTGGCTTCATAGATTAAATGATCATCTAAGCTATTGTGAGGATTATTGGCTTGATAAATAATTGTATGATTCAGCCAAGGAACTTACTGTAGGATTGAAGGACAGATAGTTTTGCTCCATTGAAACCACCAAGATAATCTCCAGATTCAATAACAATCAATAACACGATAATCAAAGAGTAATCATCTTGGCTTATACTGAAAGTTTCAAATAAAAAATACATAAGATTGATCAATTAGTTTAAGCACTCGAACAATTGGCTTAAGATGAAAATAATACCTTGATTTTGATATCAGATCTAGAATGCGAACTTCTAGAACTAACCTTTGGTTCCATCAACAATCTATATATGATTGCCCAAGATGGCTTATTTATTAAGTAAAACAACTAAACGACTTTTTAATAAATTATAGACAAGGATGAAATGGTTGAGGCTAAGCTGCAATAATTATCTTTACAAGAGCATTTCATTCTCTCTTAGAAAAATCTAATCTATACTATGTAATTAAGAGAGAAGATCCAGGACTCCAATGCTGCTGCCAACATCCTTATTTCTAATCTGATAAAGGAGTTAAGACTAGAGTTAGATGACTTTATAATCACCTAAGATAATTACTCCATCAGGATCAAACATTAATATCAACAGATCGAGGAATTGTTGAAGATCATCATTGTGAATGAAGTAGATAAGAAAGGATTGGTTTCTTTTGCAAGCCTTATCTCTTTCGATCGATAATGGCTAGAAAAAATTATCCAGATTTTTCAATTTGCTAATATGCCTTTAAATAAAGTAAGCATGTCATTTTTATGATGTAGAAATTCCACTGCGTTTCCATCTCAGATCAAATAGGAAAGAATAGTAATCTTGTAATTGAAACTACTTAAGATATTATATTATTGTTAAATAGGTATGCTATCGAGAGCAAAGATAAAAAATGAAATTTATATAACTACAATCAACCTACTGATTAAAAAAAGTTGTGTGGAAAGTACCCTCTTACTTAATTCTTGTCCTCTCCATACCACCACCCATTCGTAGTTTTCTTTAACAGTTTAATCTGATCTCCCTTCTTAAAACTTAAATCCACATCCTACCTAAATCAAATCAATTTCTATACTTTTTAAGCTTTATAGTCATATTTAGCAATAACATATTGATAATTTTATTATTGATTCTCCTTATTCCTTTTGGATTACTTATCCTGTTCTCTGAATACTTGCTGATCCATGTAGTTAGTCTCATTTTCGTGATTCTCCTTGGCCATTTGAAAATAATTAGAATTCTCATTGATTTCTTGGTTCATTCTATTGACTACATTTAACTATAAGGCCAATTAATTCCTTTATTTTTCTTTATTCAACACTCTCTGCTTCTCATTTGCGTCTAGTTCTGTGAAATACGGGTTAGCTTAGGTTATAGATAAAGTTCCACTTGCATCCAAAAAGGAATGATATTATTCATGCAAAGAAGCCGAAGCATTTCTAACTGGTTTTAGAGGTTCAGGTGGTGGAGGAGTATTATTGTTTCTTTGAATTGTATGTTTGGAAACGTTGTTGATTTTATTTCGAAAGGATATTTCCAAAGATTCATTCAATTTTAAAGATTCTACAGTTTAAAAGAATCCATTGACATCGAATTCTTCTGGCAACACACAATTCCTAAGAGCTGGTAAGTTGAGATTCTATGTTTTGGAAATGAACTCCAGAATAAATGCTGTTGAGTGTTTCGATATTTGAATGAGGGATTCATAAGCCAATGTGACTTAGGGTTGGAAATGCAACACAATTTTCTAAAAAAAGGATAGGAACTCTATACACAGTAAACAGTTATCACAGATGAATGATTTTAATCCATTATTAATTGCTATTTAGTCCTATAGTTATTTGGTTAAGGATTCGCTTTTCTTCTGTTCCATTTACAGATTTTATTTCAAAGGTTTCATGGATTGAATTTGTTCATTGATATGAATTAATTGATTCTAGTAGAGCTGACGTTCACGTTATAGGTTTTGGTTGAGATCTTTATTAGTTTATTCTGATGTTTAATACTTTTTTTTTAATTCATTTAGGGCCAATTACAATTTTGTCAATTGATCTTTCAAATCTTGGTTGTCTTTTAGAATTTTCTAGTAGTACTCATCTTTATTGAGGATATTTTCAATGATCATGTTGGCCATGGCATTGCTTGAATTCAGGAAGAGTGCATCTTATTCAGTAATATGATTAAAATTCAATTTTCTGTTACTTCTTTATTTTTAAGGTGTTGTGGTGGGTGATATCGATTTGGTTTATCTTTAATTCGTCTATGCATTTCCAAGAATTTATAATAGTTCTTATTTGTTATTTAACTATCTTGAAGGCTCTTTTTTGTTGACAATTTAGATCTGAGTTTGAAGTTATTGTTATGATTTTTATTGAATTTGCAGTACTCCATCAACGCTTTGGTTTAATTTCTGATGTTATGAGAATGCCCCAGGTTTTATTTGAATTTTATTATTAGGTACTAATTTCTAAAGTGAATACATTTTAAATTTAAATATCGTTATATCAGAATTCAATATTATTTTGATTTTACATTACAAAAATTCACTCAATTGATTTGAAAACAATAGCACATCTATTTGGCAAATAAATTTGTATATGATTTGGTCTTCCCTACCAGCCTTCTCTAACTAAAGTGAATGGCTTATCATAAGATGGAGAAACCCTTGAATGTCCCCCGAATCTCACATCGTCGGTATCCAAAACTATGAAATGATCTCCATTGAACTTGGTTCCTACTTTGAAATGCTCATAAGACTAAGTTGAATATGATTATGCATACTTGTGAGGGATGAAAATTGAACACAAAGAGTAAGGAGCCCCTTTCAAAGATGATGACTTTCATGTCGTTATGCTTCTCAGTAACCCATTATTGGCCATCAGGTAACCAGGGATACTTAGATTCTAAGTTAAGCATCTCAATATCAAATTATAATAGTTTAGAAAACCTTAAAGTTTAATTGTCAGCTAAATCCCATCTTCTTGTAGCGTGATGATACGACCACCCATTGCCTTCTCTTGGAAAATCAATCCATTCAGGATGGCCAAACTCATTCCCCATAAATGTTAGATATCCTTCACCTCCAAGGGCAAATGTTATCAATCTGATCATCTTATGCAATGCCATCCCTCTGAAAGTGACTAAGGTTTCTGGTGTAAGAGTGCTCATCTAAGTATATATCTCCTTATCAAATAACCACATTGACAATGTCTTATCTCCAACCAAAGCCTAATCATGGCATTCAGCATAACAGATGCAATTTTCTAGATGTCTTCTATTCGTAAGTGTGTTCGTTATGTCTTCCATATCCCAATCATCATCCTTTATTTCCTTTAACAATTTTATCCATTTGTCTGGTACAGCCATGGCCATTCTATAATCGAATCCTATGCCTCCCTCTTTAATTGTCCTGCACAATGAAGGATATCCAGATACCTCCTCTGCAATAGTTATTGCATCTGGATTGATTTCATGAATTAAATCATTTGCCAACATCAAATACACCAAAGAGTCTAGGTCTGCTTGTTCATTGAAATATTCGTGTAACCCTCCAGTGTAGCCTTGTCCATTGCCATGATGAACATATAACATGGAGGTTATACCATCAAATCGGAAACCATCAAATTAGTATTCGTTGATCCACCAGGACAAATTTGAGAGCAGGAATCTCATCACTTCCCATTTGGAATAGTCAAACACTTTGGAGTCCCATAAATCATGATTACCCTTTGTTCCAGCATGGAAATAATGATAATCTGTTCCGTCCCATTAATTTATCCCATCCTACACATTACTAGATGCATGACTATGTACTAAATCCATTAATACATGTATCCCATATTGATGGGCTGTATCAATCAGTTCCTTCAAATCGTCTGGACTACCAAATCTACTACTTACTGCAAAGAAATTCGTAACATGATATCCAAAACTACCATAATACGCATGCTCCTATATTGCCATTATTTAAATCACGTTGTATCCTAATTTAACCACTCTTGGTAAAACTTACTGAGTGAATTCTTTGAAAGTGTGAACGCGTGGCTCAATTCCTGCCATCCCTATATGCACCTCATATATTTTCAAACTCTTTGGCTTCCCAGGCCTACCATGCTTAAACTCGTATCTATTCTCTGGATTGTAGAAGACTCCATCAAACATCTGAAAATAAATTTATAAACCAAAAATACTTTATTTTCTTCATTTTGCCAGGTTGCTCGAATCCATGCAGGAATCCTATAAACATATTCATCTTTGGCATTCTTTATGTACGTCTTCACTCTAGAACCATGGGCGATCACATAGGTGCCATCCTCATTTCTGGGCAGGAATATCTCCCAATTTCCAAAGGTATCTGAAGTTAAAGAATACTGAGTTTTATCCCAATTATTAAAATCCCCAGTTAGATACACTTCCTTAGCTCCAGGAGCCCATTCTTTGTACAATATCCCTGACTCTGAGACGACAAAGCCATATTTTTCATAACTAAGGTAATTTTAGATGATAATACCCTTTGGCAAAATCTTTGAGGGATGATTCTACTTTGACTATTTATTCTAGTTATTCAAAAAATCGTGCATTTCTAATTGAGAAATGTTATTTGTATGGTTGAAGTTGGTGATCATCTTTGAAGATTTTCAATTCGTCGATGTTCTTTTCATATCGTTGAGTAAATTCTTGGTTTTCTAGGATGGATTGCTAGATGAGATGGGGTGTGGTACTTAATAGAAGAGGGAGTTCTTTTTTTGCAGCTTTCTTCCTGAGACTGATTTGGTTGATATGGCACTTCCTTGATCAATATATTACATTATTATTAATAATTTAGGATTAATGTGAGTAAGAGATGATCATAATCAAATGAGGGAGTAAAATAAATGATGTCAAGGGGTTTATTGATTAAGAAAAAAAGGGAAAAATCGTATCTAAATATATTATAATTAATTTAAATGGCTGGAGAGAAAATTTCAGGATAGGGGAAGCGCAAGTGCTAACCAAGATGTCAAGAGCATTAGTTTAATCTCAATCCAAAAAATTAAAAGTGTTGGTTTAAATCACCCACTAACATAGATTTCTGTCCCTTGTACAATGATGCTGTAATAGATATATAATATAATGTATAGCTGGCCTGTTTTGAAAATATCGTTCCAGTCTTTAATTAAGATGAACAATAATGCTTGCCCGGTTTCATTTTAGAAGTGGACAGAGTAAGAATTGGCTGTCTAATATTTACATTAGAATGAATACTTGAGGAGCATGCAAAAATACAAAGAAGATCATCAAAGAAAGATCCAAGAATATACGATGAAGAAGACCAAATTGGTATTGGATTTAATTAAGTTTAGTAAATTCCGAAACCAGGTCGCAAGCATAGGTATTGTGGAGTGTGTCGTAAACCTTATTAAGATTATTTGGAAGTAATGAAGATATTCCTAAAACCTAGCATATAAAATCTTCGGATCACATAAATTGCTTTAACAGACATGATTTTGTCCAAGTGATACTCAAAATAATAGATGAAGATTATAAATCAAGAGATGAAAATAAAAATTAAAACGATTCCAGCACTTACCCTGCCAAAGCAGTGATGCCTAAAAAAAGGGGTCCAAAGCCAAAAGTCCAAGTGGAACAAGGGGAACCTAAAAAGAGAGGAAGAAAACCTCTTGAACCTCAGACCTCAAAGCGAATTAAAACCCAATAAATGAGAGAAGTATTGATCCCAGTTAGACAATAACAACCTCATCCTCCTCCACCTCCACAGCCATTCTTCCCTTAGCCATACTACTTTCAATACAATCCTTTGAATTAGATGATTCAATATGGGGCATTGCAAATACCACCACAATTTCGTGTTAGTTTCCCATTCCAAATGCCAGTTGTCTCAGATATGTAAATGGAAATGAAATGTGAAGATATGAGTAACTTATTCAATTACCTTAGTTATAGATGGCAAAATAGAGGATCGTCCTCAATTTGATTGAATATTATAATAATTATTATATTTCAACACCTAAATAAAACCATCCTAAATTCTCTCTTCACATACAAATCAACCTCAAACACCCCCTCACGACATTAATGTTTCCAAAAAAAAACCAAAGTGCTGTCTACTCAAACAGCATCATCCTACATAGAAAATAACTCAACCTATCCACAGAAACATTCATCTGGATGAATTTTGTCAATATCCTCACAGGAATACTTCAAAATACTAAAACTCATCTCATTTTTGAACCTAATGCTATATATTTGGCAGGTATTTCTCCCATTAAGACATAGGTCATGATGAAGATTAATTGCGAGTAGCCCAATTCAAAATCGAATACATAGCCTTCCAAGAGTTCAAAATGATCTATGTCATGAAGGATCAGCGAACTATCCACTCCTATAAACCATATACTTCCATATTCTATTCCAAAAACTACAAGGACCTCTATTCTAAATATCGAGGAACTTGCTTATTTGTTAAGGACAAGTTGATTAAGGAACAGAAGCAATTGCAAGATTAAACTGGTTATCTAAAGGATTTTGATTTAGAGAATTATGAATCTTTTGTGATTGCCTGGGTTCCGAAGAAGAAAGAATAAAAAATTTCTAAATTATTTCAAACTTGGATTGCTGAGAACAATCAATCGAATACCTTTACTCCAAAACTTGAATTGAGACCAACAATCAATAAAGAATACTTTAATGATGCTGATCCTCTCTAATAAATTGCCATGACTTATATTGATTTTATTCTTTTCTATACTGAAAATGATGTTGAATAATTCCAATTGCAAAATAAAATTTTGATTAAATTGGTTGATGATGGAAGGAAAATTCAATTAAAAATCTATTCTTCAAATCTACTCTATTGTTAATAAGCTTAGCAAAATATCAATGATTTTTTGAATTTGCAATCATTGGAAATATTCAATATGGAATTATGTGATCTGTGCGAAGACTTTGAAAAGTTCCTTTTTGATTTGGAAGGAATATTGAAGAAAAAATGCAGTCTGCCTGTCAGGTTATATAAACTCGATTCTATTCTATCGTTAGCTAAAGAGATCGATCGAAAATTCGACACTTAGATACAAAATTATGTATACAGCTTAGGATTTAAGTAATGCTTATTTTATTCTAAACAACGAGAAAACACTCAAGCTTCAAAAGTAATAAAAGATATTGTTGAATTAAGGCTGAAATTTAATTAAATAATGAATAAGAAATAATTGGAGATGTCATACTTGTCATAATCATTCCAAAGTTGTAAATCCACATTACTTAATTCCCAGTAGTGTAAATCTTCTATTCTGCCTTAAACAATTAAAGATAAAGACTAATTTATCCAGAAGGAATACAGAAAGTAATCTGTTCATCCAGACATTACTTCTCAATATCAATAGGATAAGAATTCAAGTAGTTTTTAATTCGAACAAAAATCAAGAGTAACCAAAGAGAATATTTAATAGATTTAGAAAGGAACGATGAATGATTAATTTCACAAGCAATCAGAATATTCAAATGGGGGAACTTATAACTCTGTGGAATCTTTAAAAAAAGATTAAAATAGTTTCGATAGCAATTATAGTAGTGATATGAATGAATTGCAAGAATTTTGCAATGATATCTAAGTAAAATCGCAAGTTCAAAACAAAAATCAAAAAATCTTTGAGGAAGAAAAGGTCTCTTAAATGATTTCAATTCATCACATTTCACATCAATTTGTTAGGTAGATATTGTAAATAGGGTTTGATTAATTGTCAATTGTATATAAATTAAAAGATTCAATAATATTGCATTTAGAAGATTGGGAATAAAGTTTAAGATATTTCTTAACAAATTAAGATATTTAAATTAATGATTTAGAATTGATCTTTGGAGATGATTAAATAACAATAAATACCAAATTGAATTATCAATATGTTTCTGCTATTTGCGATTAGTTTTTTTCAGGTACAACTTGTTTCGTTGTAGGATTAAATTAAAATTCTTAGGATTTTAGAGATGAATTAAAGGATACTTATGAAATAGAATCAAAGCAAACATAATTCTAATAGATTGGATTAATTACAAAAAAGTAATATGAATAATTGCAGGCAGATGAAAAGGGCAAGTATCTGGCTATGGAGATATATAATTATCTATACTTTGAAACAAATATTCAACAAAGGATTGATTAATTCATCAATATAAAAGAGTTCGATGAACCTCAACCTAGTATTGAATTGGGTAAGTTGATAATTGTATTGTCACAATAGTAATTAAACTACTTAGAAGAAAATAATCAGGAGCTAGAATGCAATAGATTGATTAAATTTGGAAAATACCTATCAAACACTTTTTATTTTGTGGAGATAGAGAACAATAAAAGATAGTTTTATGTGGGTGCATAGGAATAGCTTAAAAAAATAGGTTATGAAATGGTAGATAATTATTGTAATAGGAAAAAGTAGAAATACAAGAATTAGCAAATAATTCAATTAAAATAAAATAGCTGGAAGTTATGCATATATTCTAACATTTAAAAGTTTTATACTAAATTAATAAATGATCTATTGGAGTTCAAATTTAATGAGAAGGAATATCTCTCAATATTTTAAGTAGGCTTAAAGCTAACTGAACTTTAAATAGATTTGGGGTAATTTTAAGTAAAGCATGAGAAGGATATAGGCATGTTGGAATAAATATTGTAGGGGGATTAAAATTGTAATTATTGTAATTTAATTAATTAAGATAAATGTGCATCTCAACAAATAGATCAGTTTACACCAAGAAATTACTTGACCATAATTGTTAGATCTGATCAATTGCATATAGAAAATACAACTCACCTTCAGCCTGATACAAGTCTCATCAGGTAATTTATTTAATATTATAATTTAAGAGGTTATTATGAAGTACAAGAAAATTATGTCAAATAATAAAACTGTTGAAATTATATCTATATATATACATATATTTTAATTTTTATAAAAATTTACTTCCAATATTAAATTGGATGATTGAAATTCTTACCTTGATATTGAATTACACTTTGATTGATATATGTTGTGTATATAAAAATTATTGGAGTTAACACAAAATAATTATAATTAATTTATATGTTCTTATATTAGTACTTGTAGAATAAGAACTTACTTTTAACAATGTTAAAAATGGCATTACTTGGATGGAAGCGATTTACAATAAAAACTCTCCATTTCAATATTTCATCTATCTACTTATTCTTGCAATACGACAATGAGAAAAGTAAAAGGATGTTTTGCTTCCAATCTCTATTTTATATGATAGAAGAACAATTAATATGTCGCATCAAAATAATCAACTTTAGAATATTTTGTAGATATTGGGATTCTGTAATATGCTTCAATCAGATATTCTGAATAGATTTTTGAAAACATAAAATTTGAATTGATTGAGGACTATTAATCATCTCAATGCACAATAAGTTTTTATCATGAATAACTTTATATTGTATTTTATAATTAATTATTAATGTCTGGTAGTGATTCAGAACTTGAGATGGTACCTTTTGAGGTAGCAAAGTAAGCAGAGGTTCAAAGAAAGAAATAAGTGGCTGAATAGAAAACATAGGCACATTTAAAGAAACAATAACAGAAGGAATAGATTAAGCAAAAAATTAAAAAGGAGAAGGAAATACAATTAAAAGCTAAACAAAAAAATTTATTTGAAGAGGAACCTCCTGAATAAAGTAGCAGCACTTAGTCACATTTTACAAATAATAAAATTGATGAATCATTCCAAAGGAATTTGAATGAAAAATTATCTGAAAAAGTCATTAAATCCATTAAAATGCCACAAATATAATAATCAGCAACAATTCCAATTGAAATCAAATCTAAAAAAAGTATGCACTGTCTATTATCATAGTAATAAAAAAATTTAATGAAAAAGTTTCAATAGAAACATTAGGAAGAGAAATAAATCACAAGCAAAACTCGCAATAATCACTCAATTTCCTGAAGTAACATTTGGTTGACAAGCAGTAGAGAGTTCCGATTTCCAAGATAATTCCTAAAAAAATTTGAGTTGTCCTTAGTTTTGTTTAATATTTATTTTGATAATTATTATGTCTGAATAACTCAACTTTTGGAGTTAAAGACCGAAAATCCTGAAAAATAAACTTAGAAAAATAAAAACCGTGGTATCAACTTAGTTTTGATTATATAAGCTAGTATAACTCCTCCTCAAGATGCAATTATATTCAGATTGAAGTTTGCTAAAACTGTCAAGAACATGTTTGGTGTATACATAATGATGAAGAGAAATATATAAAGTTATTCTTTGATTTTTAACAATCTAGTAATTAATTTATTCTTTTATAGTGATTGAAAGTTCTATCCAAACAGTTTTTACACTTTCAATTAAGGAATCAGACCTAGTATAGGATCTATCGATATTAGACATAAAGGTTAATAAAATATCAATAATATTTAGACGTACTCATTTATTCAAGAAGAAAATATAATCAATTCGGCACCTCTTCTTTTAGTTGAAAGACTCAAAAAGTTTTTAGATGGCTTTAATAATAAAAGAGATGTTATTAAAATGTCGACAAAAAAGAAGTTAAGCATAAATGAAAGAAGTAAGAAGGATGAATAAAAATAACTAATTATAGTATAACAATATTTAATACGTTAAATTATAAGTTTATTAATGTTAGTTGGTATTTCTTGAAAATATCTGAATTTCATTCATAGTACTTATAGATGTTATACTAATTGGAGAAAACTTATATTTATTTTATTTCTTTTTGATATAATTTTTTCAAGATTCTTTCCATTAATTCAAAGAATCTGAATTGAAGCATCCTTGATAAAATTTATTTAAATATTTTATTGGAGGTCCAACATCTTATAATCTCTCCGATCCTAATAGTTGATCGAAGAATTCAAAGCTAGTTAGATACTCAATTGATATTTTATTTATCATAGGATCTTGGAGCATCTCTCTCAAAGTTTTCAAAGAAGGTGACTTTTTGGCAAATTTAGAAATTTTCTTTTTGATCTAAGGACTTTGCTTTGGGTTTTTCAGACTTAGACTTTCTAAATGATTTAAAATTATATTGGCATAAAGTTTGGGCAAATTTTTGGTTTCTGATTATTTTATTTGTTCCTTCTTTTCACTTCTTCCAACGATGGGCTCTTATTTAAATTCTTCTTAGGGTTTTTTAGATCTATTTTTTTTATTATATGTTTAATTTCCAATATGATATGTGCTTTTTTATGATTATGGCGAATTTTCTTGATCCTAACCTTAATCTGACTCAGGCTCAAGCATCTTGTAACTTCCTCCAAGATCGTTTTAGCCTTAAAACTTTTCATTCAATGAATTGGTTTAAAACCTCTCGCTTTATTAAAAAAAAACACGATTATTTTACTCTTACTCCTATTCTTGATCATATTGATATTCCTCGCTTGCTTGGTTGTAGAAATCAACTCTTGATTAGCAGCTTTCTTCCTTATAATGCAGCATATAAAGAATAAAAATTATTATACTCCTGAGTGAATAATATTAAGAGAGCTAAATAATATAATAAAAAAATGGATAAGATATTAAATGAATTATTGTCCCGAAGTATTAATTAAAAATATTTTTTTGAAAAAATTTAACCAAGAATTATAATGTGATGATTATTCTATTTGAGCACAAGTAATTCAAAAAGAACTAATACTAGAATAATGTCTTATTCTTATAATAAGATAAATTATTTCTTTTAGCTCATTTTAAAAATATTATCTATGACCTTATTTAAAGGTGCTATCTATTTTTTAATATTTATACTTATGGAAAATAAATAATAAATAAAATTACCTTCTAATTATGACCAAAAGAATAATTTTAGAAGATTAATAATTAGATCATTGAAAAGGAAAAGTTGGCCTAGTCTACTCTCTCTTATCCTCTTTATAATAATATTTATATTGTAAAATAGTTGCAAAGATAATAATTGAGATCTTTTTAATTATTTGAAAACAATTATTTTTTAGTAGAGTCTTCTTTATAAGTCATAAATAACAAATGTACATTAAATAATCATATTGAAAGGTAATTGCACAGATTTTGGATATCTGCTAAGCAATCTGCTTCAAATTAATATGTTAATATGTCCGAAATCAATTGAAAACTAGAAAAGTAATGCAAAGCCAACTACTTAGCTTGAATGTCTTCTTTAAGTTTCTATAGATTATTCAAGGTTTTCTTATTGAGCAATCTTCTAAAATTTTGGTTTTGCGCAAAAATATTCTTATAATGGGTCTCTAAATAATACAACAATTATTTACTAATATGATTTAACAAGAGACAAGCAATTTGGCGATATCTTAACTTACTTGAAGTTGATTTGGATGTATTAAATATTGGCAGCATGATATAATTATAATTTTGTGATATCAATATAATTGGAATTTAAAAAGTAAATGTCATTATTCTATTTATCAACTTAATTAATAAACCAAAAAGATTTTTACTTAAAGTCTACAAGTATTATTTAATATTACACATTTATAAGGTAAAAGATGCAATCATCCTGAGCTTGATAATTTATATATGAGAATTCATGTGAAGGCTCCACATGCATACTTTATAAGAGGAAATGAATGAGATTGAAATTTTTATTAATTCTTACATCTAAAGATTCATGGATTATTATTGAGGGATTTTCTAAGTAATGAACAGAACTATTTAAGACTTTAAAATCGTGGGACCACTTGCAAATTTTGATATGCCTTATGAATTTTCTGTAATAAAATCTCTTTTGATCGGAATCTAAGATTAAATTTTTCGTTGCATAGTTATATTTTGATAGTATAGATTTCAATATGCGCTATTTAAATTCATCTATGTAAATTTCTGTTTGATAACTAGCAATTTTTTTCTTGATTCTTGGTTATTCATAATTCAAAAGTTGAGTGAAAAATAGTTATCATTTTAATTTGCATTTAAACAAACATCTTTAATTAAATGATATGATTAAATGTGAAGTAGTGAGAATTATTAAATAAATATCAATAAATAGGACCATATTATTTACTTAATTATAAAAAATAAAAATTTTCATTTTCCAATTATATCTAAAATTGTTTACAAACTATTGCTGATACCTCGATTCTCGTTCAGAGCTATTGATTTAAGATTGATTTAATATTTATTCAATATTTTCTGTTTATATAATGTTTGAGTTACTACATCAAGCCTAATATCAAAATGGCAGGATCCATCAATTTCAATAAAAGTATTGTCTGTTTCATTCTTTCTATCTTTTGTAACATCATCATATTTATCTTATTTAGCCTCCAGAAATTCTGTTTACAAGTCATTACTTTTTTGCATTTATTTTAGCTCTGCAATATTTAAATTCTCAAGATTAATATCCCAAATTCTATAATCAATAAGATAACATCCGACGCGACTTTCTTTGATATATTTCAATAATCCTTGTTTTTCAAATAGGAATAAATTGTATTCAAAGTTGTTTTCCATAAATCCTTAAAAATACTTGAATTGCCTCTTAAATTAAAAATTTTAGATGAATTTTTCAGTTTAATCTTTTTTTATAGTTTCAATTAATTTCATTTATATTTTCTTGTCATCTTAATAAGCTTAAAGAACTTTAACCATAGGAAATTGATCTTCTAATAATTATAAAGCGATAACAAATTAAAGGTGTTTTGAATTGTTTAGACTTTGGATTTCATGAGCATGAATATTGATTATGGCTGTTAAGCAATCATTAATTTATTAATGAAACTAATGAGAGTATTTTTCAATGCAATATAAGAATGATACACTATCTTATAAGTTCATATGAAAATTTTAGATTTAATTTTAAACCTTCTCTAGGATTAATTTTTCAGACTCGAACAAGCTGGCCATATAGAGAATATCTATGAGTGATTCATTTGTAAAATGCTCCATATTATTAAGGATAAATCTTTCATATGAATTAATCGATGTCAAAAATTTCTATCTCATTTCATTATCAATTTGTGATGGAATGTAAAGCAATATTTTGATACCCATTATAGAATGTTATAAATCTTTGTCTTCCATTTGAAAGTATTCATCAAATTATTCTTTCAAAGCAAGCACTATTGGATATTAATTTTAGATTTGATGCATGGGATTTTTCAAATATTTTGATAAAAGCGACAATAATGAATGTGTACTATATACTTTGAGATCTTTAACAATTGAATCTATGCATTCTTTATCATTAAATCGAAACTGGCCTAAAGCAATTAAGACTTTAGCTTATTAATCTTCTTTCAGTTTATGAAAATCAGCCTTAATTCTGTCTATTATTTATTTGTTTTCCAAAAACTATACGCTAAATTATACTAATTGCTTATTAGATCCAGAAACTAGACTCCACAATAGAAAATGAATGTCAAAAATGCTGAAGGTAGAAAAGTCCTATTTGTTCAATAATGTATCCACAACTTTACCAATATACTCAGGTTTAATGTCGTATTGATTTATTAATGCCATAATGTGGGTTATATTCTATGGGGTCTAATCCTTTAGAAAATTTGGAATGCGATCAATTAAGTAATTGCTACATTGTTGATATACAATTATATCCTCCTTATTTTATAAGTAGTTCTTTCTTCTGAGTTATCCAAAGATGTATGCTAGCTAAGCAAGGCAGAAAGGATTATCAAATTTTTTATTTTGCTTAAATAAGTGAGTCAATCTATTCCCAATTTATTTCCAAAATTCTAAATTATTACATTCATTTTGCAAGTAGTAATACATTATACTTTTGATAGCAAAGAAGGAGTTGAACTTAGGGATATTGGTGAGAATATTTTGATGCAATCCTTTGACAATATCATCTTAGCATTCAAGTCCTTTGCATGAATCTCTTAGATTTTCTATTTAGGACTGATTCAGTTTAAATAATTGGTTTTTGAGATCGACGTCCAAGAATCTGGTCTTTTCATTGAAAAAGTATGCAAAACGAAATCTACATATTAGTGAGCGCATATTAAATTTAATAATCATTATTATTTAACTACTTTTCTTAAGGCATAACAAATTTTGTGTTCTAAAGTGGTCTCAATGTCTACATCGACTTCGAAAGTCTTTCCTTATAGTGGGAATTTGATCCTATACTTAACTGTTAGTAGTCTAAACAGGAACAGATAATCTTTATTTTTGTCATAAGCTTCTGCCTCCTTCTTTTACACAGTAAAGGCTAAAGTTCCTTCAAGCCATTTATTAATATTATTTCTGAAATCCATGTCATGTTTAAGCAATTTACCCATTGCTAATTCTACTTTCTAGAGTAATCCATTCTGAACTTTAGCATCTATAAGGATTGGCACAGAATGCCTTAAAGCCTTTCTCAATTTGGCATAAGTTTCTAAGGCTAGCCACAATCCTTTGCTCGATTTTTGCTACATTTCCTTAAGAGATTCAAAGAATAGAACGAAAGAGTTAAGTTTTTTATTATTAGCTTTATTAACACTTTTGACAAAGACATCAAAAACTACGTTAGATATAGCATCTCTGGCAAATGTAATGGCAGCCACAAATGAATCTACAAAATATGTGGTTACTCTCATATCAGTTCCTCCACTTACAACAACGCTTTTCCCAAGATTTGAATTCTCTTCAACCATGGCTTTATTCTATTTGTTTCTTGCTTTTAATTCCATTTTTGTTTTCCAGAGATTAAGACACAATTATTTTAAAGATTTTGCATGATTTCTTTCAAATAAATCTAAACAAGCATCTATTTTGATATGGAATTTTTCAGCCCAAGCTGGAGGCATTCTAGGTTCCATACCACCTGATTAGACACTAATTTACTGTGGCATAGCAGGTTTCTAGAAATGATATGATAAAATACTGCATCCTCTCTAACTTTAGCAATCTCTTCCTATTTAAATCTATTGTCTCTTGCCAACATACTCAATTCTTAGGCATAACTTCTATTCAAATCTAAGATACGTCTAACTTCATGTTCTAAGATTCTGATCTTATCGAATGCATCTACTAATTCATTGTCTTTGAGATAAAGGGCTTCAGCAAATTGTTTGTCGAGTGCCTCTAATTTAAGTACTTTTTCCCTTAGTTCTGCTTCCAATCTAGCTGTTTGATGATCGAGTGTAAATCTCAAGGATGCTATTTCTTCATCAGCCTTTCTTTTCAATTCAGTTAATTCATTAATTCTTTTTCTTTGATCTTAGATCTCTGCATTCTTATCATTGAGTTGTTGGGTCAAACTTTGTACATCAAAATTGTATTGTTTATCACCCAGTTCTAATTTATTAAGTAAGAGATCTCTGTCCAATATGAGATTTTACACATCATTTTTAATTTCAAATTGCTTTTCATATGTTTTTTCAGCATTTAGATTTGATTCTTGAGTTTTCTTTTTGATAGTTTCAAATTGAGCAGTTTGTTGTTGATAGATGGTGTATAATTTCTTTAATTGATCCTTGTACAGTTGTAATTCATAGGCTACTTTTTGATAATCTGCTTCAAATCCCTGTTTGGCATGTTCAGAGACATCCAAGTCATGTTATAATTGCTATGATGATTAGGGTTAGATACTTGAATGTAGTCGTTCATTTTTTAGATCTGATAATTATATTGTTCTTCTCTTTCCTCGAATTCTCGATACCTATCATCGTAATAATCTGGCTGATTGAGTTGTTGGGTTGATTGTTGGTATTGCTGAGGGATTGGATATAGTGGTTATTATTTTTTGGTGACATATGGAGAATTGTCATAACGTTGAACACCTGTAGGGGATGTAGACATTTTAAATTCTGTCTGTTATTTAAATAAAATTCTAGAATAAATTAAAATTAATGAAATTCGTGTTGCTGGCAATTTTCTTATTGCTTGTATTGGCTGGAGAAGATTATTATCAATTGCTAGGATTGAAGAAGGGTGCAAGTGACGCTGAAATCAAGAAGGCTTTCAAGAAATAATCTCTTAAATACCACCCAGACAAAAACAAGGGAAATGAGGAGAAGGTAATCAATCATTCTTATTTTTGTATAGGCTCAGAAATAATTCTAAAAAATAGTGAATGCCTATGAAACATTAAAAGACCCAGAGAAAAGAAAGATTTACGATTAATATGGAGAAGAGGGTGTAAATAAACATGAACAATAATAACAATAAGGTGGTGGAGGAGGATTTCACAATTTTGGAGGTGGGTTCGAAGAAATGTTCTCATAATTCTTTAGAGGAGGCAGTGGTGGTGGCGGTGGTGGTCGCCAGCAATTTCATTTTAATTTTGGAAATCAAGGTGGTGGAGGATTTGGTAATCAAGGTGGTGGATTTGGTAATCAAGAGTTCTATGAGGAAGAAGGTCAAAGAAAAAAAGAAAATCTGTTTGAAAATACAGATGTTTATACCCTTGATATGAGTAATCTCTCTCGATTTTACAGAAGAGAAGAAGTTTGGTTAATTTATTTCTATTTACCAAATGGCGAAGGATAGAAACACAAGAAACTTATAATTGAATTAGCTGAAAAATATGCAGGCATTTTTAGAGTCGCTGCTGTTGATTGTGAAGATGATGAAGCATTGTGTGAAGATGAATTCTCAGTCAAACGTTATCCCTCTGTTTCCATTTATGCATCTCGTCTCTCTGCAGAACCTATTAAGTATAAAGGAAAGTGGGAATTAAATGATTTAGCAAAGGAGGCTGTTGATTTGATGGAAGATTTTGTTATTGTTCTAAGTGGTTTCAATTTCCAAGAGTATATTGAAAAATCAAAACCTAAGGTTATTCTATTTACCAATAAAAAATCAACTCCTCCTTTGTTTAAGGCCCTTTCAAAAGAATTCAAAGGCAAATTAGAATTTGCTATGATTAGACAATCTGAAACACAATTATCATAGATATTCAAAATAACAGAATATCCCAGTTTGATAGTTGCTTAAAATGATCAAGATTTCAAAGTGTTTGAATCGGAATTCAAAAAAGATTAGATTGTTAAATTTTTGAGATAATTTGCATATGGACAGAAGAAGGAACCATAACAGAAAGTAATTTAACAATTAACTGGATAAAATTATGAATAATGTATATCAAAAGGGAAGGATTTATGTTTCCTATTGCTAATCAAAAATGAAATAGATTTAGAGATGGTATCTAAAATACCAAGCAAATATTAAAACGAAAACATTTCCTTCTATTTTGGATCCCTTAAGTATTTTTATTTCATCATAATAGGTAATTGACATCCAAATTTGAACCAAATTAGACTTAGTCATATGCTGTCATTATAAAACCAAAGCGATAAACTTATGCAGTTTAAAATTCAATAGAAACAAATGATATCATAACGTTTATTGATGATGTACTTGGCGGAGGTAGAACTTTCAACAAAATGCATTCCACTATTAGAAAAGAAGAGTTGTGAATTATTTTTGTTAATTTAATTTGCTTTTATTCGTTAATTTTAACAACTAACTAAATGGATAACATTGCACAACATGTGGATGATGAATATAATGAAGGGAAATAGGATTCCTATTAGCAACCTGAAAAACTATCAGACAATTTAGCAAGAACAGTCTTCTTTGATTCCAACAATCTTCCTTAAGTGGAATGCTACTACCATAAAGGATATTACATATCTAACATGTGTAGAGCACCTCAATGTATAATACCTTTATGTCCTCTTTGCATACATCTTCATTCTAAGGAGCATGTCAATGAAGGCACATATCCAGTATTTGAATCATTGGAAGTCTTACTAAATCAAGCAAGTGATCATGTTAATAATGAATGTAAACATAGTCTTATATCCTATTAGTGAAGAAATTTACTAATTCATATTACGATATCAAAAAGCATGTGAATACTTTTGAGGTTCATGCAGATAAAACTATAAAAAAGATTAGAGAAATTAAGAAACGTATATAAGATGTCGTTGAACAATTCTTCAATGGCTTAGAGAATGAAGTCTAACATAAATAGAAAAAGAATGTGAATAATTAAGAGAGAGATGCTAAACATTTACTATCAATGATTGAAGAAAGATGGAGATCAATGAAATAGATGTTAAATACATTTTAGAGTTCTGATTGCTTAACAGCTCTCATTCCCTACTTCACAACAACCTTTTAAGAGGACAATCATGTTTATTATAAGAAAATAGGGGAGTACATAAATGCATTCCCAACTGTCAGTAGTGAAGTCTAAATCGATTAACATAGAGCGTATCTTAATTCATATATAAAAGCTCTGAGTTGAGTTTATTTTTGAGTTCAATAATACGAGTTCAGCATACATCAATTCCTGATTTTATTGGCATCCATCAATTACCTACTACTAATGTCACTGAAAGCACTAAAATCAATTCTCTTTAGGGTAGTAGAATCAAGGAACAATTGCGTGTCACAATCCAAGAAAAGAAAACTTAATTTGAATCTTAAGATCACCAGAAATTCCCTGTTTCGAATGTTCGAGCTCAAAGAAGTCCACCTCCGAATGCTTAATCTATCTATCCTTATCCAGTACACCCCTCTATGCATCAATATCCTCCTCAGCATTATTTACCCCCTCAATATCATAGATTTTGAAAGACATTATTACAAATAATATTATATAATCATGCAATTATTAACCTGAAAATTATTTCCAATTTTTAAATTACAGACTGAATATTAATATTAAATAACTAAAAATCAATTTTATTCTGTATTTAGTTCTTCTTTATTTTTATTGATAAATACAAAGTATTAAATATAGATTTACCCTATTCTACTTTAGTATAAATAAATAATAAATAATATAAAATTAGAAGGAATTTTCGATTTATTAATTTATTTTCTGTCAAGAATAATTAGTTTCCTTTGAGATACTCTTTAATTGTGGATGAACAAACTTTCTAATTTATAAAACTACTAGAATATAATGTGTGTATTGTTAATCCTACTTTTTGTATAATTCTTTCTCTCTCTTCATTATTAAAATATAGATATAATTGGTTGGAATTTTCACTATTTGATTTAGAAAATTATTCAATTAACATTAACCAAGGACGTCTAAGAATTTAATTGAAATTGATTTATAGTTATCATAATTTAAATTCAAAGTTTATAAAAGATAGTGTTTCAAGATAAATTTATAAAATTGATTTTTGGTTTCAGAAACAGCAATAGAAAGATGTTTTGGAATAATTAAACATTCTATGTTATTCTCTAAATTAGGTTAATTCGATCCTGAATGTTCTATTTGTTGATGCGCATATGAATCAGAAGAAAATATATAACATGGACTTGTAGTAGAATTCATGAAAAGTGCATCATGTAAATTGAGTTAATTATAGAACTTTAAAGTTGAGTGAATGTAGATTAAACATGTCATTTGGTAGAAAAAACATTTTATAACATTTTACATATATATATTTAGAATTTTGAATAGATATTCATATAAAACTGAATATGCCAAAAGGTGGAAATTAGAGTTTATGATTCTGAGGCTTTGGAATTTCCTTAATAGGTAATTTTGAATATTTAAACTCTATCTTCTTTGGTTCATATGTGATGAATTTAAACATGCCATAACTAAAAACGACTAATAGGATCATAGGCATGAATCCAGCAGTGAAAATAACAGCAGGAACTGATCCAAAAAATGCATAATGACTTGCCAATTTATTTTCTGTAATCGGTTAGAACATTCTTGCAAATCCATCTCTTAATGAGCAAAACCAAGTATATAATCTTGGTTCTTGTTAATCATATATAGACATATCATTTTAAGCTTGCTCAAGTAAATTCAATGCTCCTTGCAATGTATGTTTCTCCATCTATGCATGAATACACAATCCGAAAAATATAATTGCTAGAATAACTTATTTCATTAATTAACAATCATAAATTCACATTAATCACACACTCATAAACTTAATAAACTATTAAAATTTCAATTCAATTATCATGATGTAAAATATTGCATATAATACTGCAGACTTATACATAAGGATCATCATATTCAATTATCAAACCTATAGATCTATTATTCAGTTACATAAAATTGTTATATAAAATGCAAATTATACAAAACGTGTTTTCTGCTACAATCTAGCTTAAACAATAGCAATATTGGAGACCGAACATTTGTAATTGCACCTACAATACATATTATACCTTTAAAGAGGTAAATTAACATTCTTAGAGATTTCGGAATAAAAGAATGAAAAGTGAAATTTTCAATTGCAAAATTATTTTATGACAAAATACAGAAAACTATCTGGATAACATATTGAGTGTAAAATTATCTACTCTATCCTAATCTAATCATTTTTCACAATGATCATATATGAACCATTTAAATTGGAGCCAAATTTAGCATTCATTTTATGGTAAATTAAGTCAATGGCAATTAAAATTTAAAGGTGTAGCTGCAAATAATTGATAATACTATCAAACTGCTACATTCTAAGTGTTGAATTTATTAAATCATAAACATAAAATTGCTCGTTTTAATTCATTCAGATTTACTTAATTTAAGTATTTACATCTTTCTATTTTCTATCAAGCCCTCTTAAATTATTAAAAATGTTCGAGAGGAAATCTAAGGATTGCTCCTATATCAAATAGTCCATCTCCCTCTTATATATCAAGATATTTCTTAATCAATTTGATATTTTATAGAAATTCTTCATTCATGAAATCAAAGATAAGGTAGCAGGTTTCCTACAATTCATGTCTTGCCAAGATACTAATATTAAAAAACAATATTAATTACCATAAATTAAACATATCTTTATTAAAAAGAAATAATTAAATTATTTTGAGTGTATAAATTAGGATATATGATTTTAGATTTAATAAAAATAACTTTAAAAAATTAAAGTGTTCAATGAAATAATAGACTAAACCTCACTCATGTTGCCTGGATAATTCCTTAAAAGCTCCTTAGAAATTTTTTAAGAGATTAATATAATTAAGTGAAAACTTTCAAGTCTCGGAATCTTTACAGGAAGGAATTCAAGCTATTAAATATCATCATCAAATATGCTAAAACTCTCTTCAAAGTCGAAGAAGTACAAAAAAAAATCATCACAATTTACCACTAAAACATTTACTGACTATCTTAGAAAATAAATCCTGTCTTTTATCACAATTAGAATAATAATGACAATTTTGTAATTTCTTTATTATCAATATTATTTTTCACTTTTCCTTCTTAAACATTGTAGCCTATGGTTTACATTACTTATTATCACAAATTTTTTAATAAATACACTTAAATATTTCATATATATTATCAATTAATAAATGAAAATTATATAAATTTTAGTGAAACCTCTTATTTTCGAGAAGTTGATTTAATATAAACTACTAATAAACAACAGAACAAATTGAAAGGAACTTAAAAGTTTACGGCAGGAATTTTTTTAAATATTAAAAAAACGATAATTAATTTGTAATTATATGAACTAAAGAAATAGTCATATTAAAACACATAGTTCTATGTCTAAAATATATTAAGATTTATTATAAATAATAACAAAACATTCCAAAATCTATATACAAAATACATGAGAGTAAATCTGCTAGTTCATTCTTATAAACATTACAAAGTTTATCGATTCTAAATTGATTCTAAATCAAATATAAGTATTTTAAATTAATTGTAATATATTGTAAATCATATCAATTAATCAAATATTTAATGTAGTATAGGGTGCATTGCTGTTAGTGGACATAGTGAAAACACACATTTTTTTCACATTAATACAAAGAGTTTAACTTGAATAACATACATTGAGAAGTAAGTTAATCAGCAATTACTTTACAGGTATTGTTGAATCATTTTTTGTATTATTATAATTATTAATTCTTATCCGTAAGGAATAAATATTGTATTTGGAGAAGTTTCTGATCCAAAATTTAAATTATAAATACCTCTATTCAGAAATAGAAAATGCATATATGAAATTAATTAAATAAGTATATTATCATGACCTCTTAAAATCTTTGGTTACTCTATCAACATATTTAAGGAAGGGAGCTCTTACACAATGGACAAGTAAGGTTAATCTACATCCATTATATCAAACAAGATGGATGAAATATATGATTCTAATAATATAATTAAGTCTTACACATGGAGTGTTCATCAATAATTTCAGTTATGTAGCCATATTTAAGGTTTGAATATGAATAGGTTCTTCTGAATTTAGGATAAGTTCTGGTGGACTTGTTAGATTGACCAAGCAAATTGAACAATCTATTTTGGTATGGTCATTTGTTAGTTTGATGAGATAATTAAATTTCTTATTAGAAAGGATAAACAACCCGTTATGACATTGAAAATAGTAAATTATGGATTATATTAGAAAAATTAGTATGATGGTTCCAAAAGTAACTAAATTATTTTTAAACATAAAAACGTTATTAGAATATCCTGTAAAGTATAAGGAATATAAAACTCTTGGGAATATGATTCCAATATAGTGAGAGTTAAATGTTTATCTTTTTCCTGTAAAAAATGTGAATAATATTTAAGGAAATAAAATCAAATTCAGAAGGATCATTCCATATGAGTTTTATATTTAAAGGAATAAAAAAGTAATGATTAGAAACTAAACGAAGAAAAAAAGAATTTCCTTCATATTGTCATTTGATGCTTGCTATAATTTATTATAAAATAATTACTGCTAATTTAACCTTCATTTTAAGATCAAATAAAATGGTAATCATTTGAGAACCTAAACAAGGAATAAAAAAGCATAATCTAATGGTATCAAAAAGGAGTAAGTTAATTATGCAAATATAAATGTCTTAAGTAAGTATAATTGACATCGTGATTAATCCACCCTAATTTGGTCTAGCGTCTGAATTAAAAAAGTGATGTGAATTAATTATTTGGAACATTTAAATGAAAATGATAAGTGTTAAGTAGACCAACATTTGCAAAAAATTTTAAAATATGTATAGGTTTATTTTCTCTTCAGTCAGCTAACAATCGTTGTCAAAATCACTATATATTTGAAGATTATTAGGGTTTTGAATTTCTAATTCAAGAGTTGCCTTGCAATACTATGGAGTATGATTCCTGTTAACTTGCAGAGTAATTTCAGTTAAGACTTTTTTCCAAGTCATTCGACTAAATATGTTATCAAATGTAGATACTTTTTGACTGAATCAAAAAAATATGAGCTATTATTCAATAAATAGCTCAATCGCATAAAGTAAGGCTCTCTTAAGTTATCATTCTATCTGAGATAGACTTGCAAAATGAAGTTCTCGCTATCAAAACCGATGCTTATGTAAACCGGGTGTTACTAGCTTACTTTCCATTAACCAAGTATCGACTAATTCTCATTTTCTATAAGATATTGATATGCTGATTGTATGTCAAGAGAGGCGACGGTATTATTAGTTAAAATCTCACAGATTGTGCATCTAAATATCAATAATTACAAAATTATTCTCATTATATATTGTTAATAATAAATAATTTAACATTTATTTATCAAATTTAGATACCAAGCGTTATTACTTCTCTGAAATATGATATCTAATTTTAGAATGCATAAGATAATTACTATGAATTGAAAACATATACATCATTTAAATATATCAATCAACTTGCCAATTCCAATTGCTATTCCGATGACTAGGATAAAGGAATATAAAGGTATTCTAAGATTTTTAGGCATGCGCTTTAAAAGCTCAGTATGATCATTACACTTCAAATCTTCCTAAATGATTATTAAAACATAAATAAACCTCATCGTTAAGTGAGAATTTAGTGAAATCCACTTAATCCACTAAATACTCCGTTGATTCCACACTAGCTTAAATTTAATTGTAATTTGGCTGATTTTATACCTAGGTCCCTTTTTTGCTATACAAACAAGTCAAATGCAAAGCAATTGGTATGATATATTCTTGGAACAATCCAATAACAGCTCTGTATAATATATATGAAATTCTCTTACCCGCATAAACTAATGATTAAGGACAAATCAACTTCAACACATTGAACAATCAGACAGGTTATTGCATAAGTCAATGAAAAAGCATAGAACTACCATTTGGGTTATCTTTCCAATTCATAGATGAGACCGAAGAACTAAGATCTAGTTATGAATTGTAAAACAGGGAAGACAAGGGTCAATTACAAGAAGAGTAAAACCTAAATAACTATTACTAAGGGATCGTCAGATGGATAATAGTCTAAAAGGGTCGATCCACTTTTTCCATCTTACTTCTAATTATTTGCTAATGCTCCAGCAACAGCGAATGCTCCAAATGTGCCAGCCATACAATATACAAACCATGTCCATCCAAATCCAATGGCAATATCTCGATTGTTATTTTATTGGATCATATTATTCTTCATAATTGGTACAACCATAGATTATATCAACAAAGCCAAAGCAAATGTACCAGCCATAGTGGATACATCCAAACTAAACCATTTCAAATTATCTACAACTCCTTAGTGATCTGTCACTAGCATATAAATTCCTTCATATATGGTGAATAAGATGAAAGAAAAGACTGAAATAATTCCATATGGAAGAAGTTGCAAAATGATCCCCAGTTTCTTTTAGAAAAACATAGGCAAAATAAATAAGGTGTAACCAATTCCGATCCATTGGTATGAAAGTTTGGAGAGGGTAATTTCTGTTAGTTGTGCACTTTCAATGCCAATATTATCACATATTATTTAAATTAAGGGGTAAAGTTGATTGCATATTAAGATCATATAGATAATTCCACTTGCCCAGAGGAGGATGACATTGCTAATGTTAAAAACGGTTTTCCATTTGGATCCGAGGACTCGTTACAAAGTGTCTGGCAAATCCATCTATATATTGATGAATTGAGTATACCTCATCTGTTTTATTATGTACAATTAACAATTGAGTTGTTCTGCACGAAATCAACCCAATGATGACGGCGATCAGAATTCCCAAGCCTATTCCGGATTAACAAAACAGAACTGGGAAAACCAGAGTACTTGTGCCGACCATCGAATTTGAGACAGAAATGATGGTTTGGAACGAAGAAGCCTTGCCTGTTTGAGCGATTGAGCTTTTTTTAATGGATTTGATTAATGATTTCTTTTCCCTCTTGGATACGGATTGTTTAAGCACTTTTTGGATCTATTAGCTGACTTCAGCTTCTTATGCTAATTATGCCATAAAATTTATTAAACATTGAATTACACTTCCAGAATTAAAAAAATAAGATGTTACTGTCAATCGATGATCCTAAAATTGTTAAATAGTGACTCTGCAAGGGTGTGGAGTCACCAAGAAAAATTGTTTTTGAGTTCCAGGAATTAATTAATAATTGATACGAATTAATTAAACAGCTCAAATCTTCTGATGTTGCTAAGTTTTGTTGGGGTCTAGGCTCATTAAAGGAATAAATCCCAGGCAACTTAGTCATACATAAGGGGGAATGCAGTGGTATTAATTGGCAAACAAATCAGAACAATTAAAATATGGGAATAATTTATTTAATTAATAAATTTATGGGAAGTACCTTTGCATGCCAGGGTTAGAAGAAGGAAAGAAAGAAAAATGCTGAGTATCTCTTTGTAATTACTAAATTTATTAATATATGTAATGTTATCGTTCTATTACGCAGTCGACAATTATGAATTGCAAATGCTGCTTATGATTTACAGAGACTTGGCAGACCGTTCTTAAAATCACTTAATTTGTAGAGAGACCTTCAATACTTATTTTAAAATTATAGTTTGTAGAATAGCGATGATTAATTTAGGGAATATGGGGTGAATAAATATTCAATAAATTTACTCACAAACAAGAGGATTACATGAGTTTCGAAGAATTTCTTACAGGATTGTAAATGTATATAAAATGTTCAGACGATCAGCAAATTAAAAACTTATTCAAATTGTATGATTTACAAAATCAAAACGGAATTGCAAAAACTGATTTTTTACAGATGGTATTCTCAATTTATAATTTAGTTGCATAATTATTCTAAAGAAGAAATTAAACTCATTTTAAATGATCAATTATTTTTAGAAGAATAATAAATCATAAACGCCTATCATAGGACAACAAAAGTCAAGCCTCGTAAAGGGAGTGAGGACTTTCTCAAAATGTCATGTAATTTTTTCAATTCATTCTTCATAGTATAAATGTTCAGAAAGTACAGCAATATTTCAGAAAACAGAGAGCCTATTTAAAATGACCATTAAAATCACTTATAAGTAGATGTTCTACAAAGTCAAAACTCCAGACAATCAATTGACTAGATATTCACATTAGACAGCAAAGCATAAATTGACGGTATACCCATGAAAGGCTTTGGGATCAACCTCACATTTCAAGTATGCAATGATGTCGAATCTGTAGGTGAATGGACAGAAGATTGAAATGCAAGCCAACTTGAATTTGTTAATTAAAAAATATGTTGAAATGGTTTATAAGGCTAAGAATGATTTACCAATTAACCTGGAGGATTTTACGATCTTTGTCAGACAACATCCCAATTTAATTAAGCCTTTGTATTGTGTATTCAATTTTGATGTTTGGGGAATGTACAATAATATACCCAAATATAAGAGTTTGTAAATAATTAACTAATTATAGACCTTTAGATATTCAAGGAGAATTATATAGAATTTCAAAGAAGAGCAAAATAAAAACTAAGTTCTGTCAATTGTATCCGAATATCTTGATGGAATTTTAGAAGAAGAATGACATTAAACCTACAAGTATAACGAAGTAATTGAATAATTAGGGATTGTTTGTTTGAGTGGATTGATAATTGAAGAGAGAGTGGATCATGCCAATCAGAAATTCGGATTTGAAATCTTTCATATGAGTCCACATTATAAACACAGAGTTTATCATTGCTCGGATGAAATATCATTTAGAGAATGGCAAAGAGCTTTGTCTCTGTATTTTAATGGAGAAGTCAATAAGAAATATTCTATTCTTGATAAGATAGGCGAGGGTAAATACTCAATAGTCTACAGATGTCAATCTAAAATCGACAAAAAGTTTTATGCTTTAAAAGTAATCAATAAAATGAATCTTCCTCAAGAAGAGTAGGATATTGTGAAACACGAAATAAGCATCACAAAATTGTTAAATCATTCTTGCATTATTAATTTGATTGATTCGATCGAGAATAGAGATTAGATTCACATTATTACAGAAATAATTGAAGATGGAGATCTGTTTGATTATGTTTAAAATAAATAATACTTAGATGAAAGTGAAGCAGCCATCATTTTTAATTAATTGCTTGATGCTCTGTCCTACATTCATTCGATTGGAATAGTACACAGAGATATAAAACCAGAGAACATTTTGATGATCTTGGATAAAAATACTGTTAAACAAATTAAATTGATTGACTTTGGTTTGGCTAATCATCTCTCAAAGATCCAAAAAAATAATGAATATCAAAATTATCACTGTGGAACTTGCAATTACTAAGCCCCTGAAATGCTACAATTTTAAGAAATTACATTTTCTGTTGATGTTTTCGCACTTGGAGTGATTTTATATTATATGTTAAGTGGTTACTTGCCATTTGATTCTGACATACCCCAAGAAATCATACAGAATACTATTGATGGCATATACAGTATGGATGATTATCATTGGCAATGTGTAAGCGAGGAAGCCAAAGATTTGATAGTGGGATTACTACAGAATCAACCAAGCAAGAGGCTAACTTTGAATGAAGCTAAGGAACACATCTGGATTAAAAAGCAATTGGCTAAAAATAATAAATGATCAATATATTTCATATCAAATGGCTGCCAATAGTTTTTATTTTTCAGCTTCCTTTTTCTCCATTTCTATCAACTTCTCTTAAATCATCTTATTCTCAACAACCTTCTTCAACCTTCCTCCATAATAGGTGGCCAAGGCTTACACAAAGTAAAAGCCGAAAAAAATCACAGCACTTATTATGCTAAATTGCTTGGAATTGGCCTTGGCTATTTATAGAACTAATCACATTACCTCCTTCAACGAGTCCATACCAAATTGGGAGGCATACTCCAGCAGTTACCAGGGTGAATAGGATCACGTATAAATAATCCTTGAGCTCGAAGGGATAATATCCTGGGAGGGATCCTTGGAACTTTGGTTTATATGCTCCAAACTTCCTAAGTATTGATTAACTCTCTCTCTTACCTTGTATATCCCTCATCCAACATGGGATCATCAATTAATGGATGGTCAACAATATGATATCTGTTACTTAGTTCCATTTTTAGAACAATAAATATGAATAATATAAATAGAAATCACTTAGAGTTTATATTAGATAAATAAAATTGCAAATCTTTAATAATTAATAAATTCTGATGCCGTTAAAAAAGAACTTATAAGAATATCATACTTAATTACTCCATTGTTAATCTATAAGAATTTTAATTTTATAAGACTATTTTATTGATAACCACTTTACAGTTATTTATTTTTTTTCGATTCAATAATAATTGGTTTTCAACAATTTCAAACAATCAAGATGAAATATATGTTACTATCTAATTAATTATTAAATAATTTTAATTTAATTACATGACAGTTTATATTATTCTATTAAAATTATGAATATAAAGGAATTTCCAGTTGCCTACTCTATTAGTTGATTTATATATGTTCAAATAAAATTGACTGCTTTATAGTGAAATTTCTTGAACACCTTTAGCTGGCACATCAAGTTATTGGAATTGCGAGGCCTATATTGCTAATGGTGGTTTCAATGAGCCATATGAATTCCTTTAATAGTTATTTATACTTTAAAAATTTAGAATAAAATTAATATTATTTATGTCTGAATCAGAAAGTAAGTCAATAAAAAAAGCGCAAAAATTATAAGGCAAATTATCAAGGAGCCAGATGTTGGAGGAGAAATTCAGAATGGAAGAACAGTTGAAAGAAATTAGGGAATAATATGGAAACTTACCTGAAAAAAAAGCAGAGCCAAAAACAAATACGCAATATAGATGGAATTATATTCTAAATGAAATGGTATTATTTTGAGTGATAGTAGAGTGAAATGCAATAATATATGACTAGGAGACTTGAATGTTTCAAATTCAAGACAAAGAAATTAGCAGAATAAGCAATTAATAAAAGGCTAAAATATTACGAGGCAATCAAGGAGAAAGAGAGGGTAAAAGTGAAAATAATATAAAGAATGAAGAAAAGAACCAATTTAGACAATTACAAAAAGTAGGCAAAACAGTATAGAGAGAATTTTGGAAATACGTGTGGTAAATAAGGAAGCAAGTGCAATAATTCAAGGATGATAAAATAAAACAGGAGACTCAAAAATAGAAATTAGGAGACATAGTTACTAGATTAAAAGAAGTTACAGAAGAAATTGGATAGAAGTTATCTCAATATTAAAATGCATAATAAGAGGATGAAACCAATTTGATACCTATAGAGAAGTTCAAAACACTCTATTTTGAATTAAAAAGAAGGTAAAATGCATGGCCAGGATTCAAAAAATAAATACAATCAGTTTAATCAAGTATTATTTTGCTCATTTAAAATCAGATATTGTAATTGACCTAATTAAAGTAGGATAAGACAGATACGAAATAGCTAAGGTTGAGTCTAAAGATGAGGAGGTAGATGAAAGTATATTGGATGCAGACAAGTGTTTAAAAGTACTTAAAAAATCTAAATAATTCCCATTTCTATTTGAAGCCGAAGACAGTAAAAGAATAATAATACGATAGGTTTATTGGAATAGTAGCCATACCTATTGAATGGACAATTGAGAATATATTAATTAGTAGGAGTCCATTGGATGGCGAGTTTGCATCAATAATAGATGAATGGAATTTTGGCAGATGAGATGGGTTTAGGAAAGACAATATAGACTATTGCTTTATTAGCATATTTAGCGGCAAATAAATAGATTTGGGGTCCTCATTTGGTGATAGTACCAACAAGTATTTTGATGAATTGGGAGATTGAATTCAAGAGATGGTGTCCTGCTTTTAAAATAATGACTTACTTTGGTTCACCCAAGGAGAGGAAATTAAAAAGACAAGGGTGGAGTTAATTAAACAGTTTTCATGTTTGTATAACAAGTTATAAGATTGTTATATAGGATAGTAAGGTGTTTAAAAGAAAGAAGTGGTATTACATGATATTAGATGAGGCTTAGCACATTAAAAACTTTAAATCTCAAAGGTGGTAAGTCTTATTGAATTTCAATACAAGAAGCCGATTGCTCTTAACAGGAACTCCTCTTTAGAATGATTTAGGTGAAATTTGGAGTTTACTTCATTTCTTAATGCCTTCAATCTTTGACAGTCATTAAGATTTTTTATAATGGTTTATGAGTATAGAGAAAGCAATCTCAGAAAATAAAACAATTTCAGAAGAAGTCTTAAGATAATTGCATGATATATTGAGACCCTTTGTTTTGAGAAGGTTGAAGAAGGATGTAGAGAAGTAATTGCCAGAGAAAAGGGAGATAATAGTGAAATGCGATTTGTCAAGAAGACAGAAATATTTATATGATGAATTCATTCAATCTTCTGGCAACTTCGAAATCTAAGGAACAGATTTTGTGACTATGATGAACAAAGTGTAATAATTAAGAAAAGTCTGCAATCATCCTGAACTATTCGAGTAAAGACCAGTAGAATAACCATTCTTTTTTCCTGCTCTCAAATTTACCTATCCAAAAAGGATTCAAATCAATTTAAGATAATCTCCGATCAAATTACACATTACATTTATTAAGCAAAGGTTCCCCTCCTAAGAAGTGTTGTAGTTCTATTCAAACATACTTGAACAACGCATTCTAAACAAGAAAGCATCTAAATTTGGGAAAAGATGGGTTGAATTGGAAAATTAATAAGTTTAATCTAGATTTAAATCAAATATGTCAAATAGCTATTTAAAAATCATCTTCTATCACGCTTTATTGACTTACAATCCAGACCTACTTTCTTGTTGTAAAGATAAGATTAAGAGTTTCTTGATGCCAACTGTAGATTACTTAATAGAAAAAATGCAGGACACTCTCAATGAATTTAGTTGTGTTATTAGAAAAGTCGATGCATTACCATAACAACTCTACTATAGTCCTTATCAAGCATAATAACAGGATGTAACACCAAAGGGCGTTGATTCTTTGTTCTATATGATCTAAAAGTAGAGGATGCTTTTCCCAAATAAGAAACTATTGATCTATGATTGTGGTAAAATGAATACTCTGGTGTCTTTGATATATAAACTAAAATCACAGAATCATAAAATAATCATTTTCACATAGATGACTAAGATGCTTGATATTTTTGAGGCAGTATTATCTCTAAGTAAGATTTCTTATTTAAGATTGGATGGATCTACGCCAGTTGAAATGAGATAGAAAATAGTTGAAAGTTTTAATTAATTGAATATTACATGCTTCATATCATCAACAAGAAGTGGAGGGATTGGATTGAATTTAACTGGAGCTGATACTGTGATATTCTATGACACTGATTGGAATCCAGCTATGGATAAACAGGCTCAAGATAGATGTCATAGAATTGGTTAAGTGAGACCAGTTACCATATATAGATTAATCACTAATTCTACTATTGAAGAGAATATCTTTTTGAAATCGCTATAGAAAAGATAATTAGATGATTTTGTGATGCAATCTGGCATGTTCAGTCCAGAATAAATATTAAAATCATTTTAACTCTTTGATGATGAGAAAATGGATTAAGCCATCAAGCAAGTTGAAGATGTTGATGACAGATAGGCTGCTTAAAAGGCTTTGATTGAAGAATAAAACTACTAAATGAATGGGGCTGAAGAAATTGAGGAGATTGAAAAAGGAGACAATATGGATTGGTTAATACCCAATTAGTTGCCTCCGATAGTGAAATATGGTTTGAAAATGAGTGATTGTATTGTTAGTGACAATGCTGAAATCTAGAAATTATAAGATGAGATGGATGAAGGAGAGGAAGATGGAGTAGATGATGAAGTAGAAGATGAAGTAGATGAAGAAGAGGAGTAGTCAAAGAAAGAGGAAGAAGAGGATTAACAATAAATGAATGAAAAGAAGAAAAAAAGTAATAGTAAGAGTGTTGATTATTCTGATTCAGAAAACCATGTTTTTTGTGTGGAAAATTAAAAATGAATTATTGATTTTGATTTCTAAATTAAACTAAATTCTTAACAATTCAAAACAATTTGTTATTCGTATATTTATACTCTCATTGTTATTATTTTAGAATAATCTTGGAGATCTGCTCCAATATCTCCTTTACTTTTATTCTGATTTCTTCAGATTTATGGGTTATAATTTACACCAATTAAGGCATTAGATAAAATAGATGTCCAAATTCACTTTATAAAAGTGATGTCTCAGGATAAGCTATAAAGTCACCACTTAATTATTGGAATAATAGAAATGAATTATCAGGAATAGAAATCGATTGAAGATTGTTTAGCAAATCTAAAATTATTTTTTAATTATGCACTTCATCACCTATTCCTTTCTCCAATATTTTTTGGCTTGCATCCAATAAATATGGTATGACAAATTGATTCTAAGACAAGAGGCATAACTTATTTATGGCTATATAAGAATTGGCAGACATTTCATGTAGTTTTTGTATAAATTACTGAAACTCAGAGGTCTCTGACAATTGGGGATTACCTCTATAGATTTCTGTTATTAACTCGATCTAATAGAGTTCCAACGATTAATTTTCTTGTTGCAGAATCTTGTTCTACCCCTATTATTTATCTAAAAGGAATCTGTCTGGCAGTATTTGTTGTAATGCTTAAAGGACTTTGAGGGAGTCTTCCTTATTGGTTTAAAGGTAAGTTTTAGCTCTAGATAAATAGTTTTCAGCCATCATCATATAGATGGACTTATCCTCATTGAGCAATTCTGAATAGTAAATGTATTGATCATTGTTTCTCATTGTAATTAGAATGTATTCATAAAGTTCTGAAAATTAAAAGAAGAGTTGGATGTTGTTATCCATCATCGTATTAAATTGAGAAAAATGCCTTTTCAACAGCATATGCTTATATTTATCATTAGGAGGGTCTTTGATTAGTTCCTTGACGTTGTGGATGATTCTTGGTATTAATTTAGGACTTTGCTTTGACAAGGTTTAGGACAAGGTTACTAGAATTTGTTTTGGCGCTAAATTGTCTTCAAAAAAGATTTTATTTTGAATCAAATCAATCTTCATATGAGCAATCAATGGAAATTCCAAAATTTTATAGTAAGTGTCAATGACTTACTCTATCAAGATATCTTTGCTTAATTTGATAATGTCATTTAACAACTCCAACACATCAGGAGTTATATGTAGAATGACTGTTTTTAAATACTTGATATCTGAAGAAGGGAAGTTGAAGATTTCTGAAATTTGATTCAAAATCTCTTCAAAATTTTAGAGACAAATTACTGGTTGATATAAAAATAATTCTCTTAATTGCTTCGTTGCTTCCATACTCAATAAAGCCTTACTCTATTAAAAGACAATAATGAAATCGGGGATCGATTAACGGATTATTGCTTCAATGTCTTAATCCCTAAATAAGATTCAAATATTGATTTACTTATTAGGTGAGGACTCCTCAATGACCAGAAAGTACTTTTTGACTAACTTAACAAATGCCTAATACACACTTTTAACAGTTTCTTCCCATTGTGATACATCAAGCTCTTTGGCTTGATTTTTATCCTAGAACAATTGGGTGATCTTATGCATTAATTCCAAAAAGATCTCTTCCAAAATCTTCTTCCATTCAAGATACTAATTTTATGAATTAAGATGTATTAGTAGATTACTAAATATATGTATAGCTGAATGTCTTATCTCAGGAATTGGATCTAATGCAATAACTGACAATTTCTGAAATATCTCCTTTAAATTCATTTCTAATTATTCATTTGTAAGTAAATTTCCTTATTCCTAATTCGAATTATTTTTGGTGATGTAATCTCCAAGATGCCAAAGCATATTGCAAATTTAAAAATTGATATTCTGCTCATCTAAAAAGATAATAACAATGAAGAAATACTTGAGTTTGATTTGAAATTATCGATGATATCAAATAATTAAAATATTTATTTGCCATCCAAATTAGACAAAAATTAATTTATGATCTATTCAGTGCATCCCAATCCCTATTTAACAAACAATGTGGTTTATTCTGAACTAATATTTAATAATAGGATTAAGATGGAATCCCAACCCTTATTTGAGATTTCGTGACCATTATTTTGAATCATCTTCAGAATATTAGCGAGAATGATCTCTTTAATATCATTCAGTCTTAATGTGCACATGTCCACCCATGGTTAAAATAGAGTTTATTGATATATAGAATCCTTATTAGACCATTTGTCCTTAATAAATTATTGGTTGTTTTGTTGTTGGTTCTTTTTATAGAATTTAGTTAAATATTCGAAACCATAAAAGATAATTTAAGATAAAGTATCGGCTGCATTCAAAACTAAGTTGGTATTACGTGATGATATTACCGATATAAAATGAGCAATTATCAATTCCCAAAATACATCTAACCTAAAAACATTAAACTTAATCAATTCAACCAATTTTGAAAGTGAAAAATACTTCTTCTATTCTCCAAATTGCACATTTGATTTTTTCTAATCCATCGTCTATTGCTATTCCAAACACTCAATTGTTATCTGATTTATAGCATCCATAACAGTAATCAGATGTTCATTGCCGTAAGTAGGACTTTAGGAGAACAACTAATCCAGACTTTGGAATAGGATCGTGATGTCAAAGGTCTTGATTTACTCCTCCTAACTTGAATTCTTGGCCAACCTATTTCTTAAGTAATGGTTTTCACACTCCTCAAATGTTTTAAAGATGCACATCCAACTGCTACATTCCAATAAGTCTAATGCATTTTAATAATAACCATACTTCCTAAACAGTTTGCTATGTTCAATACCATTTTGTTTATTTGGATATGTTTCTTTGCAAACTCCTCTCCCTACATTGGTTTACAGAACTCACAAATAGTTTTGATGAAAGCATTCTATGCAGATTTCATTTAGATGGAACCCACAATGTTGATGTACTGTTAGAAAGCAATCAATAGATTTTGCAAGGTCTGCTCATCGAGTTCTTTCAACAACAGGTACTTGATTGCCCTCAAGTTGTGTTTCCAAGTCAAATCTATGAGTTGATTAAATTTCTCATTTGATTATAATTTTATTAGGTTTCCTAGTTATATTTTTTATTAATCTGCATAAACACATAATGAATTTGCAAATCGTGATTAAAATTCACTTAACATTCTACAAACTAAACCATTATCACTAGGATATACTTCGCTATTATCTACTAGATTGATTGTAGGATGAGCCAGTTCGCCCAATCTTTTCCATTCAGCTTCACTTGGCTCCTACACTTCCTTAGCCAAGTTTGACAGAGTTGTTATAATTTCTAATATGATATTCTATATTATAATTCAATGATTGATTTACTTTTTCGCTGTTGAGTGATTAAACCAACTTATTCAAAAATACTTGATTCTAAACAAAATAAATCAATGTTTAAAAAGCTAAGTTTTTATTAATGGAGTGTTCATTTTGTTTAATCTGACTTATCACAATAGTCCAAACCACTTCTGACTGCTCATTCTCCACCAATATTTTCAGACATTTAAAGGTTTCAATGACTACCTAACTTCTCAACAAGGGAGTAGTAATGATTTTCTTTAAAATTAAAATTAGATTATCTGTTAATAACTCTGAGATTGTTTTGTACTATATAAAGAACTTCCCCATGCTGGTAAGAAAATTGTTGATGCTTATCAATCCGAACTCTCTATCCAAAGGAACTAAAATAGGATACCAGTGGGGTCTGACATTATCACTTAATTTGATTAAATCCGATAACATAGAATGCAAATTCTGAAATTCCTTTGAATGATCGATTGGTTAAGTCATTTATTACTAATTCTGCTCCTATTGATTATCCAAATCTAAGACAACATTCATTTCGTCAAAGCCCTATCCTGCTATTATTAATTGAGTTGAATCCGAAAGCAATTCGATTAGTCTTTATAAGGAAGTGGCAGCTGGTCCATGAATGATAGGAATCTTAGAGTTCTTCATATACAGGACTAGGGTTAAGCACTAGGAATGAGATGAAAAATTCTACTTTTTCAACAAAACTAAAATTGCCGAAATTGATGAAATCCGAATGGACAAAGGTATTGAAACTTTAGATGAGCTTGTAATAGAGTTCCTCTTTCTGGATGTCTTTGATTTTCAAAAAGTAATCAAGGACATCCTCAATCATTTAAATCTATAAATTAGGAGTGTGCCATTACATCGTTAATAACTTTCAAATTGATTAGCTTGAGAAGGAAGGATATAAAGGAAGTATGAAACTTGGCTGATCTCAGTTGTCCTTGAGCTGGGATTAGACACTTTTGAATTTCTGCTCTGGGAATGTCTTGCACACCATTTTTTTTATTCTCTTCCAATACTCTCTAAAAGTTATTGAGAGCATCCTTCATGGGAATGTACTTTTTTTTCGAAGAAAGGGATTGCCTAATGAAAGCGATTTCTCGCAAGGCCAATTAAACCCTAGATTCTTGCATTTCAAATAAGTAATTGAAATAATTTATTCAATTCCTTTTATATACTCTTGCCTAGGTCACTCTTGGTAAGTTCATTGAGATAAGATTGGATGTGAATTTCTTAATCCTGTTGTAACCCCCTCTGGATACTATATAAAATGGTTGTAATATGAATATAATTTTGTTTCCATTTCTTAAAGATGTCCATAATCATTTTACAAGCACTGAATTGGAGATCCCTAAGTTACTTATTTTTTTTATCCTTGAGTTATTTTGAGATTTCGATATGTTTATCAATATGCTCAACAATAGTGTCATCATTCCCTTGACATAATTGCAAAAGCACCTTCGATAACAGTCCAATCTATTGAGCCCCATGTTTAGTAGTCTATTATTTATTATTCCTATTAACTAAATGATGAAGTAACTCACAAATTTGTTTTGTATTCCGTTCCAATTTGCAAGTACTACTTAAAAATCCTTCATTGATCATTTCGAAATCATGAAATGGAATTTCTAAGTCTCTAATTAAAGTTCCAAGAGAACTAAATAGAGCATCCATTTCATTATTGTTATTGTAGATGGTAAATAAAAGATCTTTAATTCTTTTACGTAATCCTGTGTTGCTTAACTATGTTATAGTTTCAATTATTTTCAAGGAGAAACCCTGATTCAACACTTAATCCAATAAACTGCACAGTTCTTCACCATCCCCATAAGATGATTTACTTAATTGACTTAGCATGCTCTTATTCTTGCTTTTGTTGTGTCTTGTTGATTGTGAATTATAATTACTGCATACGGAATTAAAACATTTAATTAATTTGTCATCTAATCCGACTGAGAATCGACTATGAACTTCGCTTGTTCGAGTTGTGAAGTTCGATTAGCATTTCTTCAAAGTTTCATTCTCCTCTTAAACTGTTTCCAAATCCTATAAGGACTTTGCAAATAAGGATGTTAATTGAGCAATTTATTCATTCATTGAATTTATTTGGTTTGATTACAATGTAATCTTATCATTCATTTATTGGCTCAAACTTAACAACTCCTTTCTTTAATCATCTATAGTTTTATATTCATCCTACAACTTATTATATTGCTCATTCAATTTATCAAACTCTTCATTATTAGTAGCCTTGTTTTTCAGTAAAACCACCTCAGTTTCTTTCTATTGCAATTAATATAGCAAGTCTCGTTTATGACTAAAGTCTATAAGAGTTTCTATTAATTGCTCATAGTCAAATTCTTAATTTTCATTTTCTTGATTCAATGACTAGGCTACTGCCAATAACTCAGAAATTGGTTTTTTATAGTTTTGATTCATTATCAGTTTTAAAGCCACTTTGTACTTGTTTAATTGATCTTCCAATTTATTGATTATATCGGTCTACAAAGCTAAATTCTACTCATATTTAGTATTCTAAGCCATTAGATAATATTCGACAGCTTCCTAGAGTGACTTGACTTTCTCAAAGCTTTGTTGCTGTAGTTTCTTCCATAATTTCAACATTGAATCTTCCCTCTTGCATTGCTCTTCCATTAATTTTTGGTAATAATCGAGGGATGTTACTGGCAGGATGCTTTATTAGATCATTTGCTTATTTGATGTTTGGAGTGGGGATGAATAAAGACTTCTTCTCTCTTTTTTCCTTTAGATTACAAATTAATTTAGTTATGCTATTTCTTCGATCTGTTTAGATATGATGTGTTTCTGCTATGCAATTTATTTAGTCAATTCTGCATTTCTAAGTTAGACATTGTATTTACTTTAACAACTCGGAGTCCAAACTATTTTAAGTTTGAATTTGCATATTGTTCACTACATTCAATAGTTTCTCCTTTTCTTCCATATTGTTATTAAGAAGGTGTTAAATGTCTGAAATGACAGAGAGCAACTCATTCTATTATTGTTCATTAAGAGTACTCAAGAATTTGGTTAATCCACTATGTCTTTCTAAGTTGACTTGATAGTTATTAAACATTTTAAAAAAATAATCGTTTAATAATTTGAAATACTAATTGTTGTAATTATAAATTAAAATACTCTTTAAAGCCATCAATTTAGTTTTCTTTTCTTAATTGTTTTTGTAAAATATTAAATGTTGTATCTAAAGCAGGTTTCTACATTTGTTTTGCCCTCCTTTGTTATTCCATAACTCCATAGACAATTTCCAAAGAATTCCTTACAAAAAATACTACCAATATCACTTTGTATGAAGAGATCAAGTTTTTGTTTGGAGATTTTCTCAGGTTTCATATCAAGGAACCTTTTGATTTCTGGATTATTTAATGTGTTTTTAAGTTCAGGATCTTCGGAATCTTGTACTATAGTTGTTATGTAGTCTTGGATGCGTCGAGCTAGACATTTTGGAAGGTTCTTGGTTTCCCCAGGAATTTTCGTATACACTTTGGTTGAAACAAGATTATTCTATATATTTACCATTTCATGTTCTTATTGAGAACAATTTTGATCTTATTAATATGTTTCACATAGATACCATCATCAAAATCTCCATAGTTAAATATTTATTAATATTTATTGTTAGATTCCTATCCAACCCCATAATTAGGTGGATTTTGGAGCTCTAGATTTATTTCTTCAAAATTTTTGCTCAGAACCTCTCCAGCTGAAACGAATTCTTTGTCAAAAATATCTACAACTTAAACAATTTCATCGTGAAACTCGAGCTATTATCCAAAACCTTGTAACTATACAACTCAAATAATTACCACAATCGTCCTCCTAATTATTCATAAAGCTGTCCGATTCTTGGTATTCTAAGGTAAACTAAAGTATAATTACTATCTGTTGAAGTTATCTAAATTTTATCAGTATCTCCTTCACATTTTTATACAAGTTAAATTTTTCCATTAATAGAGGGTTCCAAGACTTCTTTTGTTATTCCATCCATCATTTTATTATTATAATAATAATCAAAATCAAAAATATCAAAGCCAACTTATGAATCAATTATTTGCTATGATTAATCTTCTTCCAAATTCTATTACCTAATATATTCCCTAAAGTAGAATTATTTTTCTTTTCCTTTTAATTTCTATTCTCAATCAAGCTAAGAATAGAAATTACCCAATTATGAAATATAATAAACAAAAACTTAATAATTTAATATCACACTGTGGTTCAAGATTACTCTAAACCAAGTTCTTGTTTATTTATTATTATAATTGAACAGACATACATCCCATGACATGATCCTACTTCTAAAATTTGTTTAAATTTATCATCATCCCTTTTGTTATTTTAGTGCCTTTTGCTCAGAGGAATCTTATTATTCGATTCCAATAAGTTGATTCTTGGATCCTAATGGATCACTTGCCACTTTTGGCCTTCCCAGACTCACTAATCACACATTATATCTACCATAATTTAAACTGAAAGTTAAGGTTTTGGTAACTGCACGCTCACCCACTTGAAGATATTTATGTTGGCTTGGGAGAATTTAGAGCTTAGCATGGTTGAAATTGAAGTCCACACTGCAATTGCTTTGAGTAAATTTTGGTCTTAATTCAATATTTTTAAGCAAAATTCAAGAAACACTTTCATGTAAATTTAACCAAAATGACAAGAGAGCTTCTAGCCTGTAAGCCTGTATTCTTCAAATAATGTTAAGGAAGGGTAAATATATGTTTAAGTAAAGAGTAGTAAGGTGTAACAACCCATGAGCCACAAGTGCATGATAACACGGAGAATAAGTTCCACTTTTGACGGCTTAATCTCTTTTAGATTGACTATCCCCAAAATCTTCGCATTTTCCTGAGCAAAGTGTTATTGTAAAATCCCCATCCTTATAATAACAATTATCTTTAAGTTATATTGCTTGGATGCATCTTATAAAATACCTAATTCATAAACAATATTATTAGATTCTGTTGAATGATCAAACCCTAAAAATCACTGAAATCTTCTTAAATTTTTGGCATTCAAATCCTCTTTAGTTTATTAAGCTTTTAGAAATTCACAGCAGAACCTTCCGAAATCTAATTTGAATCTCTTTTAACACTCTAAATTTCTCTTGATTCTCTCTTTTTATCTTCTTATAATGAGAAATAATCGTAATTTCTTAATTGTTCCTGTGAATTGAATTGATATGCTAACCTAATTTTAAGGTGATAATAATGATTAATGAGGTAGTATGTCTTTTGTGTTTCTTTACATATTGTTTTATGATTCTAAGGATATTATAAATCGTTATTATTGGATTATTTAAACATGTTAAATTTATATTTTAATATTTCAATATTTTTGGTATGGGTATCCTGTATTGTTCTAGCTTGAAGATTGGGCTCTCCATTGGTTTAAGTGTTAAACGATTCCATCTTAGAACTCTTTGAAAGTGATTTCATGGCTTCGATCAACATCAAAAACCCAAAATGCCTGGCTTATATCTTGATCTGTTAATTGACTATCGATTTTCCTATGGAATAAGATTAGGTTAATTGAAATACCTGAGCATAACTCCAAACTCTTTCACATCTAAGGTTTGTGAGTCTGATTTATCATACTTTCTGAATAATTCAAAAATGTTGATATTATATTTTTCAATAGCAATAACCAATTTTTAGATGGTCATCATGGCTCTTTCTTAAGCCAAATTTTGAGGTGGGGGATATTAATGATTTGGCACATAAGTTGGAGGTTGTTGGTAGCCTTGATTGTACTATTAAGAATTGTTCATTTGAGGATAGGATGGTTGTGGTTAAATTGGATAGTTTTATTAACTCTAGGAGCCAGACATGGGCTATTAACCTGGAGGATATTGATATTATTAATATTATTATTGTGGATAATACTATTATTGTTATTGTGGATGTTATTAATATTATTATGGATACTGCTAGGATGGTTATAATGGTTATGATGATTATTACTATGATAAAGAATGTTAATTTGAATATTATTTTTAATATTGTTATTGTTATTGTTATTATTATTGTTAGTATTATTATTATTGATTTATTATTTATTAGGAATGTTAAGTAGGACATTTACTTAATTAGGCCTATGAACTATCGAATTCTGGTACAGGTTAATCTGAATTGTTGGGATTAACCTTAGGCATTTCCAAAGTTCCTCTTCTTGAAAAATTGGATTTAGGCTAGTTTCTCATGGACATTTAAACTTAATTTTCTTCTAACCATTTTTTGAATTCATTCAATTCGATAGAGTTACTTCCATCCAGATCTATTTTATTGAACATGTATTCAATCTCCTCTCTCTCCAATTTTGGATCAATCTCATGCAATAACAAAGTTAATCTAATAAAATTACTCAGAATACTCTTTCATATCAAGTGACTTATCTCCTGATTTGTCATACTTGTCAAACACCTTTTCTAAATCAATCTTGTCCTTCATAACCTTGAATCTCAAATCTTGAACCAAAAACATTGCCTTATCTTCCAGTTGCTTGGCTTGATTTGTGTAAAATGAAAAACTCTAGCCAAAACAAGGATGTCTATACAATTGATCCCAACCCAATCTGTCCTTCTCTTGCAATTACAGACAGCCCTTGAGCATGTCTATGATCTAAGGGTCGATATTTTTATCCTGAGGGAATTTCAGAGGTTGGGAAGTAATATTCTTCACTAATTCTGGAATTGATCTAGCAGTCCAAGGAGCTAGGAGATAATCTGTGGATTGATTACTTTGTCCAAAGAGAGTCTCATAGAAGATGAAGCCCAGGGACCAAATATCACTCTTAGAAGTGTATTTCTCAGCCTTGAGTAATTGGAGAGACTGATAGAGAGGGGTACCGACAATCGATTCTATCATCTATTTCCTAAAGTTATCGATGGCTTTTGAAAATCCGAAATCTAGAAATAGCGTTAGGATATGAATAAAGTACCTGCAATTTTATAAATGCCCTTGTTTATGAGTATGTTAGCTGGCTTCAAGTCTCGATGAATGATTCCTTTCTTCACTAATTCCATCATGCCCAGAAGAACGTCCACAAAAAATTACATGGCCTCTTTCTGAGGTAAAAATTTCCTCTTTTTCAATTGGCTAAGAATAATTCAAATCTTACTGTTGGAAATCTCCACCGTCGCAAAATTCCTAGACTATATAGAAATTGTTCGTTGTTTCAAGCACATCAATTAGCTTGACAACATTGTTACCCTACAGAAAGCCCATGATCTTGATTTCATTCAATAAACCCTCTTTCAAATATTCATCCTCATTAATCACTGCCTTTTTGAGCATCTTTATAGCCACCCATTCCTTAGATTTTTCATCCTAACCTTTAAAGACCTAAAAGTGCTGAGTTCTATTACTTGTCCATAAGATCCCTCTCCCAACATGTCACTAATCTTGAAGACAAATCGATCAACCTTCTTTTCTCCCATTTTATTTAAATTATATATATATATATATCAATCTTCACTAAAATTCATTGTATCCAAAAACCCAATTGGATTACCATGGATTGATGCACAAATTGCCATGAGAGCCTCTCTAAACAACAATCAAGATAATCATCAATATTAAGAAGGCTATGCTCAGCCAAAATGCCCAAGTAACCCAAATGCCAATAGTAGAATACTATGAATAAGCGAAATTATGCAATTATTCAATAGCCTAAAATTTAAATATATGGATTTACATTTTTGATTCCTTTATCATTGAAGCACTCATTATCCAATTAGGACTTGAATCTTGAATCTACGTTTCTTAGACCGGCCTAAACAATTAGATCACAATACTTACATCGCCATTCAAATTATAGAAATAGAGGGATCCAAACACAATGCACAATACAGCTACAATAACAGCAACAAGAATCAAAATCTTTGGTTACTTTATTTATGACACATTCAAACTTTGGAAATTCTAAAAATGATACTAAAATATACTCTGCTTCTAATTAAATAAAGATAAACAAACAACACAATTCCGACCACACAAATCCAAAAGATAATAATACTGAACCATTTTCTGTATGAATAAATATCTTCACTGTCCTCCACAATCTAATTGACGTCAGCTGGTGAGACTGAGCTGCATTCAGGAGTTGGATTCACTGTTATTCTTCTGATACCTTCCAATGTGTACGAATCAGATTCTACTTCATATGACAAATATCCTGGGGTTCCATGGAGAGTAGATAAAATTCCATTTTAATCGTGAACCTTCTTTGCTGTTTGAGTATCAATCTTAACAGCTTCATTCTAGAAGTTACCGAATTCATCACAACCAGTTGCTGGTTTCTTCAATAATGGATATGATTATTAAGATTCAAAAGATGTTGAGGTGATATCATTGAAACATGGAGCTGAATTCTTGTTTTATTCTGAATTTCCAGGGATAACTTAGAATTAAACAATTGGAATTCCATCATATGATTTTCTATACCATTTATCGCCGATCTTCACTACTTAGGTGTTCAAAGAGGTTGGATCTGAATCTGTGGTTGGATCAACACTTAATAATGTCAAATCTGAAAGTGGACAGCTCTTTGCAAGATCTCCGCCAGTTGGAACACAAACATTACCACATTTCTTGTATCCTTCAGAACAACTATTGCCATTCAATTTTGTCCAGCCTACTGCTAGTTTCTGACAGACTCTTCCTCCATTCCAAGTTTAAAATTATTTAGCATCTTGACTGTCTATTGAATCACATCCACTTCTAGCCCAACAAAATCCTTCCTTCTTGATTTACTTATCACAAATGCATCCTGAATTTATTCCTGGCCATTCTCCCAAATTTGCTATACTGAATCCATCAGGACACAATTCTGTCACTGCTTTGTGTTAGAAATGGCTGTGCATACTTGATGAACTTACAGCGTGAGGAGCTACTATATCTGCTATTGGGGATAATGCTTAATTGCGACTAAATGATCTCAAGACATTGTTGATTGGTTCCTGATTAAAATCTCTGTTTTATTGAGCTATTATCATACTCATAAAGCACAATATAGCCACAAAGAAAAGGATTGGAATGAAATACACACACCAATCAATACAATAAGATCCTTTACTTTTTATCGTCGAAACTTATTAAAATGACACTGGATTTTAATGAATTGTTGGTGATTAAACCTAACCAGTAGTAATAACTTTGTGCTCATACACAGTTTATGTCCCTTATTGAGGTGTCTACTAAACATAGCTGCTCTAGGGTTGTTATTAAAAACCTAAAGAACCACCCTATGCTTTTGGAGGACTTCTTTAAGCATATGTGTCCACTCCCTAATATTAAGGAGGGAACACTTGTTATTGTTACTGTTATTAGACTCCAAACAGTGTTGGCTGCTATTGATTTCGATTATCAAACATAAAATAAAATTTATTTTTCAAAAATAAAATTTATTGAAGAATAATAATGATATATGCTTAACCCCCTTTCCAAAGATCAGTTGAATTTCTTTGAAGAGAAATTAATTTTAAATAAATAAAAAATATCTTATCATTCATTTTTTCTTCCAAACAATAGCTTCTTTGATTAATTCATATAAAATCTCCTCGAAGATCTTGTGCTTTCGACAAAACTGCTCATTTTATTAGGAGACATGGATGACTTCTGAGGTGTCTCAAACTCACTGAAGTCATCGTACTGCAAATTCTTAGTTGTCATCAAATCATTGAAATCTTTCATGAGTCCTTGCATGATTGCACGTAATTTACATAAGTATTTCTATTTTTTTAATTTAATCTTTTATTTCTCATCCTGAAATATCTCAGAAGCCTTTATATAATTCTTCTAGATCTTCGGAGCCTCTTAATAGAACTTTACCAAATCATTCAATTCCTCCTGACTTATTGAATGCACCTCATTCACATTTTTCAATGAATCCAACTCGTGGTTTTTATTTTCTTGCAAAGCATTATAGCTTTCCAATAATTTATCATTCTCACCATCCAACATGCTCTTCAAATCACTTTTAATGCTTGTAAATCTATATTATATACAAGAAAGACAATTCTCTAATTCTTTCTCAATTTGCTTCTCCAAATCCTATTAAACTTCATTTGCGATTGGTTAGAATTCGATTTAATCAAATGAATCCAACTTTTGCTTCACTTAATCATGAAATTATTCAACAGTCTTCCTTTAATGAGTAACATGATCTTCCAAAAAACAATCAGCACAACCTTGTCACATTAAGTAAAATACCAATCTTTTGTTAAGCCTAACAAATTGGATCTACACAAATATATTTGTTTTTCTGTGAATCATGGTTTGGGTTTTAACAGTTGATTAAATCCATTAATTTTATTAACAAGAAAAGCGCGAAAGAATTTTGTTGTATTTATTAATATTGTTTCACTTAACACAACTTTCATATTAATTATTTATATATAATCAATTGCTTGATTGCCATTTAAATAGATTTAAGGCATCAATTGTCACTTTAAATGTATATTTTTAATTATCAACTTAGATATTATAATTAATACATATCTAGATTAATTGACTTTTTCATACATATCTTAATGTTTAATTTTCTACTTGGAGATTCAATTTCTTTTCATATGGTATTCTAATTATTATTAATCCCTTGTGATGATTTCTGATTTCTATATTGTTATTTTAATTCAAAATTTTATCAATGTTGAAACAATAATACCTTTTATTTCTTCTTTGAAAATACTTTTAATGAATACATCCTTCTTTTAAATTCAATTCAAGTATGCTTTTTGCATTCAAATAGCAAAGTAGTTCTATTTATTTAAGAAAATGGTTATCTTCAAAATGACATGAACTCAATTAAATTTACAAATTTGAATAAAACAATTAGGATTATATAGATATTCAACTTTTTAAATTGGAATTTAAAATTTAAATCAAGTTACTATTTATATACATCTGCATTTTAATTATACTACACAAGTATTTAATAGATCGTTAGTAAACATTGTAAATTAAATCAATACCAAATTTCAATAATCGGCATGAATTTAAGAAGGCCATTATTTAAATCAATCAATGAATATTTAAATTACTATTCCAAACTTTCCTATTATATTAGAAGGAGGATTCTTGGAAACAATGTCAGATGAAAATTTGAAAATTCAATTATTTAAATGGTATAAAATATGTAGATGGAATTTATTTATGTTTTAATGTATTATGTTAATGTATCAATAGACATTACCTTCAAAGGTTTATTTGAACCATTCCATGGCTTCCTTTTTGCTCACTCTTTGGGCAGTTCCAAGTCTGGCACCTCTTGACTTTCTTTGAGCAACTCTCAAACCTGGTCTGGATAAGACAACGTAGAAGTCCATACCGAAAATACCTACGCGATATTTATATCATTAATACCTGTATATGGGTCATATTTCAATCCCAAATCAATATGTTCTTGAATACCAAAACCAAAGTTTCCTGATTCAGAGAAATTTCTCTTTTTCAATTCCATTTCCTTAACTCTTAATCCTCTAAATAAGATGTCTTTTGCTTAATCTCCTCTAATTGTACAGAAGACAGAAATCTTTTCATTTCTTCTGATACCAAAAGATCTGACTGTGTATCGTGCCTTACCGAATACAGGCTTTTATCCTGTTAAATCCTCTAAAACTTTGGCAGCTTTAGTCAATTTATCACCAGACTCACCAGCACAAATGTGAACCATCAATTTTTCAATTCTAATCTTTCTCATCACATTTTCCTTAGTTTCTTGTGGTTTGACGACTTTAGCTGGGGCTTAGGCCTTTGCTTCTGGCTTAGCTTATTATGCTTTTCCTCCTTTTGCTTATTGTTAAGACATCTCAAATTTAATTAAAAAAATCTTTATTTTTAAAATCACACATTTAATATTTTTATGCTTGTTATTTTTTCCCTCTCATTATCAAAGGAATGAATCGGAAATTGATAATAACACTTTATTTTGATGATGAGGCTGTAATAAAGAGGTTTTAGTATTTAAGTCTAATTAAATCGAAATAAACATTGATGATTTTAGATTATGTTTTAGTCTTGAAAATATTAAAAATGAATAAATTTCTCATTAAATAAAGGGATTTAGCAATTATATTTATATATTTTATTTTTGATTTGTATTTATAAATGTGCTGCTTCTCATATTTATTAAAAATTATATAATACGTTAAGAATGGGGAATATTTAAGCCTATATAAACTATCACACAGAACTTTCATTCACTTAGGATTTAGATGATTAAATTCACTTTTGCGAGACGATATCTCATCCTTCATTAGGAAAAATATAAATATGGAAGACTAAGGAAAACTCATCATTAAAACTATTTTCATTTGTAAAATTTATGAATAAATCTAGACAAGACATGTTTATCACTCTGATTCTACATTATTGTAGATTCATTAATAGAGATGTTCATTGTAACATCCAAATTTACTTTAATACTATGCATGCACATAGACAGAGCCATCATTTTGTGGAAGCGTTGAAAGTCAGAATTTTTTCTTTGAATATCAACCCTGCACTCTTTAGAAAGTTTTAGATGAACGAACAGGGTCATTTCCAGAAATTGATATTTGGAAGGTAAAATTATGAAATATAATATGAAAGTTCTTAGAATAATTGGTTGATGTATTGGATTACTTGGAGGAAAATCAATGTGTTCATGGTAACATTGGTATTGAAAATATTTTTGTAAAGGAGGATGGCACAATTAAAATTTTAGATTCTTTTAATAAATAATTAACTGATTATTTATTAAAATAGGATGTTTATGATTTAGCCTCAGTCATAATCGAACTTATGACAAAATAAAGTATTTTACAAGTTTATAAAATTTAGAATTTCATAAATAATACAAAGAAACCCTAAAATCTTTAACAGATCAATATTCCCTTTAATTATTATCCATCTTAGCAAGAATGCTCAGCAAAAACCCAGATAAACGACCTAGATTTAAAGACTTATCAGTTTCAATCAAAAATAGAGCTACTCAACCTATTTAAGAGAGTCAAAATATGGAATAAGTTTAGCAATCCTTTCATACCATATAAAACTTGAATGAGACAAGCTCTAAAAATATATTAATCTAGAACAACACCTATACATATATTTTAGATAATACAATCAAATATTATCCAAAAAAAGTGTGTCCTGAACTCAAATTTCCTATAAATTAAATTTAATTTGTGAAAAAAAAGAATCATTTGGTGGGGGCAGGACAATTTAAGGTTGATTATTAAGAAATTAAAAGCGATATTGTTGATAAGAATAATCAACCAAGTCTGCATGGTTCTTAAGCTTCTACAGTAGGTAGTCACCATAGATCCTTTTTGGAAACCTATAGAGGAAATATTATTGCCACAAAATAGCCAAGTTGTTTAAATAAAAAAAATATTTAAAAATAAAATAGCTTGGACTAAAATATTTTTATCTAAGATGATTTAAACAAAACGAGCTCTACTTTTTACTGAATAACTGATATGATATTTATATTTGATATAAGTAATAATGATTATGATTGTCGAGACTGAACCTATTGGAAAGACCAAATTGTTAGTGAGTTAAAAGTTGAAGTGTTACTATCTCCATCTCTTCCCTATCAAGAATCATAGCTTTTACGAATATTTTAGTTGTTATTTTTTTTTTAAATTTCATATTAGTATGATTTAGGTTCATGAAGAAATTGTAAATGTTTTCGAATTCTCTAAATCCATATCATAGTTCGTTTTAGGAAATTTAGTGAAAAGTGAGGACAAGCTTGAAAATATTGAAATAGTTTAAATTTTGATTAAAGGGAAAAATAAAGTTTACAATTCCATTAAACTTATTTCTGTCCATAATAATTTTTAAATTAATTTTTCCAAATATTTTTCCATAGAACATTTTAACAAACACAACCTTCTCTTTTCTTTATTGGAGTCAAATAACTTTTTAGATTATTCAACGAAGAATACATGATGATCAAAAAAGGCAATTTTTTTGTATAGTTTGAGTTTATATTAGCCCTCCATTTTTATCCATATTAAGCACGATTCTTCGAGTTGATCTAAAAATAGCACTAATGTCAATTATAAAATATATTTAATTGAGGATTTTGCAATAAAATTTGAATCAATACTCATGGGTGTAAAATAATAAGTATATTAAGAATCTTAATATTACGATTAATTTAATTTCAATAAATGAATTTTTAACTTTTTATATGAAAAACAAAAATCTTAATTATATAAATTATATTTCATTAAAGCTATGAAACAATACCTTAAGAAAATACTACATTTGAGACTAGCAGAATTATTAGATCATCTATATTTTCATGACATAAAGTCCTAAATAAATATAATGATAATAGCAATATTTTTAATGTAAAAGCTGTATCTCCTATTTTGGCCTTCATAATCTCAAACAATGCACTCAGATGTATTAACAATTTTATGTCTTAGGAAGTTTACTTAAATATTAGTGGATCCCTTTTTTCTTGGATTACATTTTAAAAGCCATTAGAAATGATAAATTCAGACCAATTAAATATTCTTATTAGCGCGTTATATACATTTCTACATTCAACCATGTTCATAGTTTTTTGCTTTTCCCTATATAATTGGTAAATAATTTCAAAAGTTTTTACATTTTATATTTCATACTTTTAGTTGTTAATCTTATATCACACTGAAATACATCATCTAAATTAAAAGTTTGATTTGCCAATTACTGTACCTTTGGGTGTATAGCTTTACATAAACTACTTGATTATTGTTTATTGTTCTCGTAATTACTTCATCATTTCATAACAACACATGCTTAGACGATATTCCTTTTATAATTATCTAATTGTACTTGCCGATTTTTTATATTTTATTACGTTTTCACTATGTACTGATTATGTATCCAAATATTCACTACTATTGCTGAGTTTTGTATACTTTATAGACGCCATCATTATGTAACCATATTGCATTAAAATTAATGTACTTATTGATAATAATAATTATAGCTCTTTTACATAGGAGCGACAGCAATTCTACTTATATCAGTAGTCATTAGGATTGCACTTTGGTAGGAATCTCTATACACTCAATTTTATACTATCAGCTTGATAGTGCCACTTTGTTCATATGTCCTTATGAAAATTTATTCGACTATTTGTGATAATATATTCCAGTAAAAGCTTTCAATATCCTTAATCCTTCATTTAGGAGAGATAATTAACCACCACAATTAAACTTCAATCTAAAAGGGAGTGGGAGACTATATAATAAAAAAGTTTATAGATGTATAAACTTTGAATGTCTAAAGTATACTTCAATTGCTAGAGTTTCACTTAAGAAATCTAGAGAAAACTGGCGATTTGGAAGAAATCTAATTATATAGAATCCTATTAAAGCATGAAATTTAGGGAACTTATTTATAAAGTTTATTAGAAACAAAAAGATACTAGATTCAAAATAGAAAACATTCATTATTTTTTAAAACAATAGGGTTTTTGATTAGTAAAAAGTATGATCAATAGATTTAAGATTTGTATTCAGGTGAGAGCAAGTCAGCTTAAAATCATCATTATTAAATCATTAAAATTAAGGAGACAGATAATTTATTTTAAAATTATGTTGGCTTATTCACCAGCTTACTTGAGTAAAAGATATACATTTGGAATTAATTATAATAGGGGTATGATAAAATAGAGAATACTGTAAGCGACTTAACTAAAATGTATGAGATTCTGAATAAATTGAAGAACTAAATTCTTTCAATGTTAGAACCTTAAGAGATGGGATTAATCTTAAAAGTGTAAACATTAAAAAGATTGAATATTGTAGAGTTAAGATTGTTATCACTTTACTATTCTTTTCTTTTAAATGATTATTAGTAAACTAAGAATGTTGAAATCTATCTTGAGGAATTGATAAGAATGGAAAACAATCAAATCACTTCGTCACTTTTAAATTTAAATATCTTGAATAATGATTTAATTATTATTAGTTCCAGTATTTTAGAATAAACTGGAAAAATGATAAAATCTAATACTGAAGAGATTAGTAGATTTTTTGGGTATGATGAAAATTATAAAAAATAGAATCTTACTCTTATTAACTTGTATATGCCAAAATTTATTAGTTAAGATCACGACAAATTTATTTAAAAGTTTATAAATAAAGGAAATTCAACTTTATACAACTAAGGAAAATAGGTATTTTGTAAAGATTATGAAGGATTCATATTTCCAATTATGTTAAGTTTTTTGCATATAAATGAAAAATCTGAAGACTTTATACTGACAACGTCTTTGTAAAAAATTAAGTCAAATTAAGATTATATTCTTTTTGACTAAAATGGAAAAATTTTGGGAATTTCTAAATATGCTTATTCTATGTTAATTAATAGTCAGACTCACAATGGTTCCACTTAATCACTGTAATCTGCAATCGATTAATCAATTTATGAATGTTATATATAATTTTGGATTCCCAATATAGACACTTTAATTTAGCATTCTAACTTTGATCATGACAAAGGTTAAATTAACTAATTGATTCTTGAATTATCAATATTAGCGAACTTCATGCAATATTTATATTATTTTAAATAATACCAAAACATTAATCCTCATTTCAGTAAAGAGGCCTCTTATTTTGAGGAATTTTTGCAATATTTTAAACGACAATTGTCTAATCAATCCTATATGATTAGTGTTTTTTAGTATGAAGTTTAAATCTAAATGCATTTACTGCCTACTGATTAATTCTACTACATATGTAGCATGTCAAAATAATAAAAAGATGTTTAATCGATGCTTAGTCTTGATAAAGAAGCATCAACATATTAGGAAGAATTAATGAACAAGTAATATCATGATCATGCTCAAACTCCAATTATACAAATATCACCTAAATTAATTACAGAACTAGAAAAAAGTACTGAAATGGTACTATTAACTAATAGAGTGATAGAAAAATAATAATTAATCAAAGAAATAACAATAGATAGAAAAGATGAATAAGTGTTATCTAATAGAAACAGTTAATAAATTATGAATAAACATAATAGTAGTTAGTATGAAAGATAAAAAAGCGATGTTATAATAGAATTTGATGATTAAAAAATATCATAATCAAGTCGACAGCCCAAAAATACTAACTCTTAGGTATAGGATTAAATCAGAGACTTATAAAAAAATAAAGGATAGTGCGTTTCTATTAAAAAGATTTGGATTATAACTACTTTCCTATATTTTAGTATATATTTATTGGTAGTTATAATGTTAAGCATTTTATCTTCACAAAATTCATTGTTACAATACGATATTGATTTGGTTAAAATACCCGATTAATTCAATAGACTCTATTGTTCATTTGCCACTATAGGATAAATGGATTTAGAAAGGTCGTTATTGGGAAAAGATTATGGACCGTATTTAAGTTATAGAAATATAAATCATGCTAAAAGTATAAGAAATGAAATGGAAAGTATGATGACAAATTTAAAAAACAGATTCTCTATTTTAGAAAATGAAAACAGACTGTAAAATCTTACTGTTAGAATTCCTACTCAATTTAACTATAATGAATTAGTAGTAACAATTATATAATTTGACATGATTGCTGATATTTATACTGAACAATTATATTAACACATTGTTCAAAGTTTTAATTACTCATTAATTAATAGGCTTTCCCTCATAGATTAATACTATAAACTGTAATTTCTCAAAGCAAACCTTATCAACCAAATAACCTCATCTTAAAATTTAATAAATGAAATTGTTGTTGAGATTTAAAACTCACAAGGCATTACATTGACTGTACTCTATATTTTATTGAGTTTTAAGTTATGCTTTGTATTAGTAAGCATCTTTTGTTTAATCTAATTATGGAAAAAACCCTTTTCAATAGTTTAATTGTAAGTCAAGCTCTTAAGTTATATATCTGAAGAGTAAATTAAATTGTGCATAAGTGCAGCTAAAGAAGCAAAATAATTAATTTTTCATCCATATAGATGGAAAAGAACAAACTATTTGATTGAATGCTATCAAAAAACTGTTGTTTAGGACCAATAAGGCATTCTTACTAAAGTGCAAAATAATATGGCTGCTGCAAAAAAGAATAAATAAAACTTATAATTGCTTGATTACTAATTTAATTATTTAAGTATCTATCTCAAAAATTTCATGTATCTTATACTACTTTTAAGTTTTATATTATCAAGTTTTTTGTATATGAAGTATGGCATAGATTCAAGTTAACAAGAAATTTCACTCACAATTTAATATGTTTAATTTAAATAAGACCTGGATTCTTTAGTGATTTTAAGTTAACTAATAAAAACTAATTCAATTTTAACTGGGAAAGTCCGTGAGTTGGGATTTCTAGATTTAAATTCTGAACTTTTGGATCCAAATAAATATTTTCATACATTAGAAACAGAATTATTAGATTAATTCAAAATAAAATCTGCGAAAGCTTAAGAAGTTAACTAATATATTTACTAAAGTATAATAAATTCTAAAAAAATATCTTCAAGTGATAAATCAATACTATAAGCTTTATATTAGGATGACTTATGTTCTGTGATGGCTGAGGATCTTCCATTTTGTAATTTCACTAATAATTAATTCTACTATTTCCCAGATTATCCTACTCCAAGAGCTGGGGATAACAATAGAGAAATCTTTAGGAATGGAATTAATGGCATTTTTTAAAAGTATGTATAAAATCATATTATAGATTATTAGTTATCCTTGAATCTTATTACTAATTCGAGTTGCAAGGACTCAAAAATACTGATTAAAATGAAACTGAATATTTATTATCTACCCCAGAATTTAAGCATTATGTTTAGGAATATTTTTTCGACATTAACAAGGCTGTTGTTAAGTTTTACGCTACTATTTTAGGATCAACAACTGATATATTACAAAATGACTTGAAAAACGCTCTATTCTATTATTTAATCTTTGGAATATCAGTTCTAGTTGTATAGGGTACTTTGTAAATATAAAATTTATCCAAAATTCAAGAACTGGTGTAAGCAAGTAAATTTGCTTTTATTTTGATGCCTCTTGAATCTCTAAATGAAGCTAAATGCATAGCTATAATCAAATCAATCATATAGTAATATGAGCTGTGATTAACTTTAAAATATATGTAATTATACAAATTTATTATTTCAACTTTTTAAACAAATTTTAGATTTTTATTTTTTTAATTGAGTCATTTTTTTTATGGACAAATAAAATGATCATTTTTCTTTATGTAATTTAAGAAATTCTGATTCTAAAATATATAAAAAGGTTGAATTTACAAATTTTTTATAAATAATATTAATAAATTGATAATTTCAAGTATCCATCTTTCCGAAGATATCAAGATTTAAATCAGGTTAACTGATTTTTATCATGCCTACAAACTACAGCATTTTTGCTAGGGTGGCACCCAAAATAGTATAACATATTGCAAATCCATATATTACAGCCAGTTAGTGATAATCTTGTAATTATTAAAAATATTACACTCCTTTGATAATTGACTTAAAACACAAATAACCCAGATTTCATAGATGTTGGTAGACATTGATAAAATTCCAAATGATAATCCCAAAGTTCTTTAATTTGCTTTTTGAATACCAATTAATATGGTGCTTGAGATCTTTTATGATAATAATCAAATTTACAGATAGAATTGTTTGATTGTACTGTTGCATTGTGATAGTTAGAATTGAAATGAATATTCTGAGATCTCTTAAACTATGGTAACAGATCAACTAAAGTGTGCTTAGAATAAAGTAAATTAAAGAACTAGATGTAGCATTATTTAAATATTAAAGAGCATCCATCTAGTTTTTAATTTTATGTCCCAATCTATAGGCAATCAATAAAGCTAGATTTCACTTTATTTATACACAAAATAATTGGGAATTCAGAAATTGCAAAAGTCAGAACTACTAACCACACATCTGTAGTTTCGCTAGCATCCTTGTTATAATCCTTATAGAATAAAGACAGTTTAAACTATTCCCAGATCTGAATGATGCTTATTACCGCACTGGCAGAGGCTGAAATAAGAATTACATCTGTTTTGCATACGTCTTTCAGAGCTTACAACATATTGCTCTTAATGGATATTGGGATCTATTGCAATTCTGGGATTTTTTCATAAATATCCTACCGAAATATTGGAAATGATCTATGAATGCATATTGCCAAAGATAATAGTATTACAAATGGAATCATAGATAATATTAATTAAATGTTCTTTTCATATTTAAGTCTATTCTAATTAAGAGTAATAATTTCTTGGAAGAAAAATAAAAAAATACACAACAATCGACCACCGCATTCAAATTAATAAAATTTAGCAATTTAACTAAAAATTTGTAATAAATCTGTTACTAAGGTATTTCTTTTTAAATGAAATGCTTTGAAATCATAGTTAAAATAATTATGATTTATAATTATTGGCCAAGAATTTAAAACCCTATAGCAAAATATAGATAGTCCTCTATTTCTTAATAGATATTTGCTATAAAATAGATATAAGAAACTATTGTTAACCATTATCCTATGAATAGAATGTTTAAATTAAATTAAACGTGATCTATAATAAAACCACCTAAAGCAGGACAAATTATCTTCAAAATGGTCATAATTAAATAAAAAGATATCTAGTTCACTTCCTAATATAAACTAAGATTCAAATAGTAATAAGCAATGAAAGTATTCCAAAAATTGGAAAAGTAAATCATGAGAAATAAAAATCTGATTGTGGATTGTTTGATCATCAATTAAATATATTATTAATGCAATTTTATAATAAACTTATTCATAATTAACATTATTTATTTTGATAAATTTGTCAATGGCAATCTGCAAAATAAACTAATAATTATTGAAATAGCATGACTTCTATTAGTTATTTTAGTGAATACTTTTATTAAATATAAAATCATTTTGAACCAAAATTGGCAACAAGCTTTTTGAGACATTTATTTGTTATACATTATATATATTTATTTGAACTGCTATCATCATTCAAACATTTTTTCATCTAAATTTAATATTGTATTTACATTTTGGGCAATTTCAGTATCATCAAAATCTTGATTACAAAGTTGAATAACAGAAAAGCAATACTCATCCTAAATACAAGTTTAGAGTTCTTATTTGCAAGTTTATTTTATGCATGAAAACTAATTCATTTCTGATTCTCCAACCCTCCTCGAGGATGTTAATATGATAAATAGCAGTGAGAGTAAAATTATCTTGTTCATAATATTAATAAAATTATAAATATACTATATATCCTAAATTGAGTATTGAAATAAAAATGAGGTTTATTTTAATAATTCAATCATCCAGAAAATAGAGTAGCACTTCTTATTTTATTACTAACTTTAGAAACTACTTCTAAATGAGTTTAGGTTTTTTTGTGCTTTATATCTAAATCTGTAATGTCATTATCTTTCTTTACAACATTACCTTCACTCAAGGTGTCTTCATCCATTGCTTCTTGTTAGATTTCTAAAGATTTTTGGTTTTCTGAGAATAAGGTATTTCCAATATTATTCTCAAATTAATGAAGGTGTTATGCAATAGGTCTCAGATCTTTTTTCTTTGATAAATATTTAAGAAAAGGAATTAATCTTAAAAGACAATCATCGTCGTCTGAATCAAGATAGGAGGGTATGAGTAACCCATTTTCTTGGCATCTATCAAAGGCATTAGGATTATTCTAATATTTATAGGAAATTTTACATCTATGAAAATTATATCCTCCATAGGTCTATCTAGTAATGACAAATCTTTGAAGCAAACTCCATTGATAAATTGGCAACTTCCTCGAGCGTAATAATCTGATATCAATCTATTGTTGTCAATGTAAGCTAACACTTTCTCACAATAAACTTCGTAACCTGCAGTAAAGATTATTATTTCGTAATCTCGACTAGCTTCAATTAAGAATTAATTTAAGTGTGGTCTAGTTCTTAAATAAATTTTGTATTCTTGTCCTTTATGATTTACTTTCAGTAAGGCTTCATGCTAAAAACTATTATTTTCCTTAAACTCGCAATGAACCAAGGTTTCATCTAAATCTAAAACAAGCACCTTTTTTTTCGAATGCATTTTTGGAGATTGAGCTGGGATGTATTATTTTTAAAACTTGCCCCTGAAATGTTCATAGCAATTTTTGAAAATAGCCATAATACTCATAATATAATGTAAAATTAAGTATGAATAAAGGACTGAATATTTTATAAATTAAATCAGAGAAAACTCTCTTATTTCTTACTAAAGAATGAAGGAAATCAATACATAAATAATCATTATTCCGCAAAGCACTTTTCTTCCAATTTTTAAAAATATTCAGCCCTTTCTGCAGAATGAGACCGACTGACTCTGTGACTTCTATTTTTCTTAGTTGTTTAGGGTTTATTCCCAGATATGTGCTAACTTACCTTCTCTTTAGTGAATTAGTTATATGATAAGATAATTTTATCATAGTTATAATTAGGAAAGAATAAAGGAAAATTGCACATTCTATCAATATTGTTTTCTTCTGAAAAATAAGGGAGCTATCCTTTCGCACTAATTTTGAAAGGATTTTCATCTTCTTCCTCGTCACAATTTGATCTAATGATTATATTATTTTTTTACTGATTCAATTATGTTTAGAATTCATCTTCGCTTTCACGGATGTGATTATATACGAATTTGATTTCATCAGCTACGATATTGGTTAATTGAGAATTAGCTCTCGAGTTGTATTTGATTCTTCTACTCTATCTAATAAATTATTTATTAAATAGTTTTAAATGTTATGCTTGATTGTTTTATTCTTCTTTAATTATTTCAAGACGTCTCTCCTGACTTATAGCATAATGAAGTTTTGGGCATTCGTAGGCGAAATGAGAAGCACTTTGACAAGCAAAACAGCATTACCCTAATGGAGTATAGTCATTATTAATTTCAACAATGTGTTTATTCATTAAATAAATCTAGTTTTAATTGCTATTGAGTTTCAATTTTTCAAAGAACTTTTTTTTGTTAAGTATCTAAACATAAACAAAATTCAACGTGTATGCAGATGCACTCCTTGGTTTATCAGTAAAAAATGCTAATTCACCAAAGGTAGCTCCACCTTCAATTATTTTTAAACAAGTGATAGTCTTCTAAATACAAATTAGCACTTAACCTTAATTTAGAAAATACAAATTTCTGTCTTAGATATTGTTGCCATTTTCCTTTTCTATTGGATCAATTCCTTCCAAAAATATACATTCCTCAGGTCCATAAATTTGCTCTTCCAAAAGGTATGGCAATTAAGATAGTATTTCCCTTTCAAATTTACCTGAATTAAACAAAGCAGATTATTTAATAAGGGAAGTATTCACATTCTATAGCACTTCGTCTTTTAAAGTAGATGATAGTACTGATAAAGCATCTTTCTCATTCACCTAAGATGATTCGGTTTCATATTTATATTCTAAATATTTTCTTACTCTTGCTTACAAATCTTTTGGTATCTCATTAGATTTCAAGAATTAATTTGCTTGTCCAAGTCGTAACCTTATGGTTTTTTCGTTAGTGTCTAACTTAACAAAGATGCCTCCTATACTATTCATTATGTAAGCAAAAACACAACAAGCCAACAACATGACTATGATACCGAACAATTTCTCAACAGAAGTGACTGGGACAATATCACCATATCCAACAGTAGTCATTGTAGCAGTAGCCCAATAAACCGATGCCACGTATTTTATGTACCATTAATTGCCAGCAAGATTTGTAGCCTATAACCAGCTATAACCATTGGAACTATTTTCTTATTCAGCTATGAAATGCCAAATACAGGCGAGCCAATGTGCTACGAAAAGCATTATAAATGTTAATTTAAGTAATTAGTAAATGGTTACAACTGATCCATTAATGTCTATATAATCCTCTAATTTATTAAAGAGCTACTTAAGTTTTAATACACGTAAAAGTCTTATTATTTTTATTAATCGAAAAAATTTTAAGATTCTAATCAATTTCATTGTTTATACAAGGGAATCCTTTTAAGCTTAACTTTATTCTTACGTTAGCTCATCTTCATCTACTTGCTCAACACTTGAAGTAGCTGCTTCAACAATTAAATCAAATGGAAATGTAGAGACTACAATATAAATCATTATAGATACCTACATCTATCCAAAACCACCATTTTAAATAGTTTTAAATAATCAATTAACGATCATAAACGTACTAACCCTTATGTTAAAAGGCTGTATTGAAATTAATAAATATATCGAGAGTGAATACTGCCAAACTAAAAAGATTAAAATCATCTAAGAAAGTTGATTAAATATTAAAAGAAATATCAACTGGCAATATTAAGATGGCTAAAAAGATCACCAACATTGTAAATAGATCCCAAACTATTCTTATTCTATCCTCTTAAGTAAATACTTTAATATAAGAACAACTTGGTTATTTTTCTTCTTGTTCCTTTTTTTGAATCATAACACTCATCTTCCTAGATATTGAGGGTCTCTTTGCTTTTTCCTTAATTTTTGCATTCTACACAAAAGATAAATCATTGATTATTTTTAATTGTCGATCATCAAAAAGTAAATTGATGTCTTCTATTTATTCATCGTTATCTATTTATTAAACAGTAAATTGGTATTTCTTTTTGATTAGAGACTGTTTGTTGTTTTCAGTCCTAATGCTAAATATTCTTTCATCTCCATTGTCTGAGTTGTCAAAATATTTACTTGTTCCTCTAGGAGAACTTGAATGCATTTTCAATTTATAAAATATTATAATATTATAGGTATTGACAATAAATTATTTTATTTACTATTGAATAATTACTGTATCAAATTTAGATGTTGCTCTACTTTATTAAGAATATTAACAATTTTATTGTCTATATGGCGAACATAATTATTAATTTAAATTGAATAAATATGAAGCTAATCCTTTAGATATAAATTAAATTCTTAATCTTTAAGAGTTCTTTTTAAAATCTTGCAATCTTCAAGTGAATTTGTTAATAGACATTTTTTTAAATAAATCATAAATAATCAGAGGATCAGCAATTTTAGGGCCTTTTTTCCTCTTATAAATTCAATAAAAAATTTAAAGAAAAATGTTTGAAACATAATTTTCACTTGATCAACAAGAACTGGAAACACAATAATCATTGCCTATCCTCGAATCCTTTCCATCTTCTCCTATTATCTAATTAAGAATTGATACTTTAGAAAGTATTTTACGATTCAACATTTAAGAAGAGGAATCTTCAATGAATGAATTAGGCTCTTAATATGTTATTCATTTAGATATCAATGACTCCATCGAGTAGAAATAATGCCTCAAAGATATTGTTAATACCACCTATCATCCATCCAGATTATTTGGAAAAAAACATTATTAAGCCTATTAAAGATTATGTTGGAATGAATTAATGGGAATTAACAATATTGAAGAACTTTCGGAGGAATCATTTGAAGAAGGCTAGGGTATACGAAATAATATACTTTCAACCTTAGCTCAAATATAATCTACATTAATATATTAGGATTAGGAGGAAAGAAATCCAGCAGGGCATAATATTAAGTCAAATTAGTAGATTTAATCTGAGGGGTGTAATTTAAATAACATTTCTTTGGCATCTGAATCTATTTCTGATACAGAATTAGATAATGAATACAAGAATGATGTAGAACAAAAGATACAAAATTATAATTCAAATTGTAATATTTTGGAAAAATTCACAGCTTAATATAAATCATAAAGCCAAATTGATAATTTCTGATACTAATAAGATTGAATATGAACATTTATATAATACTCTAAACAAAATAATTTATATTTCTAGCAATAAATATATATATTTCTCTTTTGAACTATATCTTGCAATATTATCATTCTAGTGTTAATCATTCCATCATTTTGCAATTTCTAGTTCTATTTAAATAGTTTTAACAAAATAAAAAAAATTTGTTAGGACGTGATCGAAATAAATTGTGCTTAGTCGAAACAACTATTTTTTTAGAAGGGGAGAGGGATGAATTTCTAATCATAAAATTAATTGTCTTACTTTCTCTTATCTAAATTTCCAAGACTGCAATCTGTCTTAGATATACTAAATGCACTAACTTCAGTATCTGCTCTCAATTATTCTAATTTGGATTAGGTTTTTGAATGAGACTTCATTAATTAATAAGAGATTATTTATTTTCTATCTACTTGAGATGTATCCTTATCATTAAACATAGATCGTAAGATTATACTTTACTTTTATTACTTTTTTAATTTATCTTCTTCATCATTTGGCATTAAATATGCTCTTTTATAAGTGATTTATTTCATTTATAAATGAGTATCTTACACATTCATTAGACTTGATTATAGCTATTATTATTATTTTATGAAGCTAGTTCTGGTAGGTATCATTCCTTTTTTTTTATAATCATCAATCTAAGAAACTAATTTTTTTAATAATCGATCGGATTAAAAATGTTTTGAATGTTATTATTATAGAAGAGACTTTTAAGAATTAATCCCTTCAAACTATTCGGTTTTTAGTTTCACACTCATTGTTCTCTTAATTTAATCTTTCAAAAGTTGAGTTTTTTAAAGTGTGTGATTTTCGAATAATTCTTGCAAACTCTGTGTTTCTTCCAACATTTTTTAAAATTAATAGTATTTAAGTAAAAATAATGTTACTTTTTCCGATACTACTATTACTGTGTATTCACGTTTCCCTTGTGTTTTAAATTCAATTGCTCCGAAAATATTACCCACTCCCATTCTAGAGATTTTTACGCTTTGGTTTTCATTTACTTTGTAAGATTCTACTTCTCCCTTATATATTATGTAAAAACAATCAGAAATTTCATTTTATTTATAAATTATTCTTCCTTTTGTAAATTTTATCTTTTTAAAATCATAGGCATATTAAGTAGCTATTTATTGTTTAGTATCTGAAGGTAGAAAGTGTTCATACAAAAATTGCAGTCTTTTATTAATAGAGCTAACTTAAGCGGATTACAATATCATTTTATAGGAGGAAGCATCAATCTAAGCCAATTCAACAAAGTCTGCTGCTAATACCGTCGCTGATCTAGGTTATTCTAAAATTAATCCAAGTTCCCCAAATGCCTCTCCTTATGATTACTTTGTAATCAAATTTTATGTAAAAACACCTTATTCAAAAAAATAATTGATATCACTAAATTAATCAGGATAAAGATCACCTGTCTCCTTAAGGTAATCTTTATATTGCCTTATTTATCTTAATTTTGAAATGTGATTATTAATTTGATTGACAGACTTAAAAGTTAAGATTTGATTTAATCTTTCAATTATCTCTCTTTGATGATTTTTCTTTTATTATTCGTCCAGCATGTAGTATTATTCAACATATTATTCTATCTCAATTTAAAGAAACTTCTTCTTTTAGTATATATGAACTGTTCCATTTAAAATTATGTAAAAGTTATTTGCAGGTTGACCTGAATTGAATTTGTATATGAGTACCCTCCTTAAAAATGATTTGCCCAGGCTGAAAGGATATGTATTTCATCACTCGGCATGTTTGATAATGTAATTATTAAAGTTGATTTTTTCGATATAAATTTATCTCCTTAAAATATTTCAATGGCTTGGTTGCTCTAACTAAATGCCAAATTTCATCTTCAGTTCTTTCATCTTGTCTTAAGATGATTTTGGCTTCCAAATATAAAATAATTTATTACTTCCAAAAATGGCTATTATTTCATTAAATAAAAATATTTAATAAAGGCTGGTCGAGTATTGAAATGATGGGAAGGACAAATTATTAAATATAGATTTGGAGTGAAAAGAAAAACTCAAATATAGAAAAATAACGAAGATAATTATTTAAATTTGATTTTGGAATATAAAGTATCATTACCAGATTATAATTTTTGTATATATTATGAATCGCCATTAAAAAGATTTTAATTGTTATTTCATTCTATATAAAAATTCTGTGACTTAGTTAATTAGAAGCATTTTTAATATATACAGTTTTTGTTACAATGCGATATCATTATGAATATATTTCAACGAGATTTTTATATTTGAGTATATACTCTTATAACCAAAATTTCATTTGAAATAAATTCGAATAATAGTTGTTGTTTTAAAGTTATTAAACCATTCTTAATTAAATTATTATAATCTGATATATCAATATTGATTCTCTAATTTATTATTTTATCAAATCTAACTATGCTGCACTAATAGGTCATCAATTTTCAATTCATTAAAATAAAAACCCTAAAATACAATATTATTTATAT